CGGTTTCACCTCCATTTTCGGTTCGATGATCGTTGGAGTAAATGGTAATTCGAGGTCAAATTTCAAAGCACCGGAACGTTCAGAATAACTACCAATCATCAAAATCCGAGAATTTTGTTTCCTAACCTCAAAAAATGCAAAACATCGTAATTATGCTCGGATCATGGAATTGAGGATGTCATTGGGAAGACGGGGACGAGACAGTTTCCAAACACTGGCTGTCGATTATATTTGGATAGTAAAATCAGGAGATATTCCTGAAAAACTGCAAAACATAAAAATGTTCATAACTTCTATGCCAATAATGTTACGGAGCTGATCGAGGACTCATATGAAAGATCTGGACATGTTGAAAAAATCGGAAACCCCCTTAGTCTTTTTTTTTCCTGCAAATAACTGGTGGCAAGAGAAGTGATTATAGCTATTTTTAGACCCCGGGTTGGCGTGCTATCTTGCGGTCATTTTTATGAATGCTGGGTGCATTTCTCTGCTCCCACATGCACTGAACTTTTATACTAGTCTCTCTTCTCTGACAAGACTGAAGGTTAAGGATGAGAATACGCATGCGTACACAAGTTTCTGCTATTTTGACGTGCGCTTCAGCAGACTCGCCAGAAAGACAGGAGATGGCGTTGCTATGAAAAGCGGCGCTCAAGACAGTAATGTCGGGGAGGAATAGAACTTGTGGATTTGCAAAATCCTAAGGAATTCTACATTACCATGCATCGTGTACATCTATAGTTTGTGTATCAGTGTATAAGATCTGTGTCGATTTATTTATTTTTTTGCATTTTAAAATTGATTTAGTTTATTATTATTTTTTAAAAGTTGTTTTAATATCAGTATATCAAAAAAAATTAATCATGGATGAAGAAAGTAAGTCATTCTTTCTCTTAGTAAATCAATGAAGAGAAAATAAAATTTTCTTTTGTTACAGAATTAAAAAAACGAAAACAACGTGCTCAGAAAGATGGAAATTTTAAGCAACAAGCTAATATTGTTAAAGAACTTGGAGACATGTATTATCAAGCGGAACGTATGGAAGAGGCTCTTACAGAGTATACTGAACAATTAGAATTATGTGAAAAACTTGAAGATAAATTGAATATTGCTTTGGCACATAGAATGATAGGTGAAATTCATACATATTTTGGAAATTATGAAGAGGCTTTATCACATCAAACAATTTATTTAGAAAGTGCAAAAGAAATGGATAGTTTAGTTGAGCAACAAAGAGCGTATGCAACTTTAGGCAGAACGTATTTTTGTTTAGGTGAAGCAAGTGAAGAATCATCAAATAAACGAGACGAAGCTTTAAATGATGCAAAAAGAGCATACACCAAAAGCCTTAAACTTTGTGATAAACTTGAAAATACTAATATAAATCGAGTGGAAATTATGATGATGAGAGCTAGATTATTATTGAATTTAGGTTTGGTTTTAGAAGTTCAAAAAGAACCAAAGCGAGCAGTTGAATTGATTGAAGAAGCAACAGAGCTCTGTCAGAAACACAAATTAAATGATGATCTTTATCGAATTCATACGGCATTAGGAGCATTATATGAACGACAAGAAGATTTTGATAATGCTCTTAAATATTACAATTTATCTGGCCAAATAACAAATGATTCAATCAATTTTGCAACAGCACGAGTTAATGAAGCAGAACTGCTAACAAAATTAGGCCGATGGTCAGAGGCACGTAAAATTCTTGTTCCATTATATGTAAATCATAATGTTCCTTCTCTTCGTGAAAATATAACCAGGTTATTAAAAATTGTAGCTTCAATAGACAAATATGAACTTGAGTTATGCACTGAAAATGACAATAAGAAAATAATAATGTTGTATGAAAGTTTAGGTGATACAGCAGTTGCGGGTTTATGTTATGAAAAAGCAGTCGAATATTATAAAAAAATGTTAGATTATGCTGAGAAAGAACCATTGGTTTACCGAAAGAAAATTAGTGCTGCTCTTGTAAGTTTAGCTCAAACACTTATGGATGATAAATGTTTTGAAGAAGCATTAGTTTACGCTCGAAGAGAGCTTGAACTTAGCAGTAATGATGACCGTGAAAATTGTCGTTCTGCTTTGTTTCTTGCTAATCTTCTAACAAATATCAAAGAATCATCTGACGAAGAAATCCGCAATGTTTATCAACTAGCATTATCTAGTGCGTCAAACACTCAAGATATTTCATTACAAATAACTGTGCTGAAAGAAATGTATGAATATTTATGCGACATACACGATATGGATGAAGCAGAAGAAGTAAATAAAAAATTAACTGCTTTGAAAATGAAACGGATCGGTGATAGCGAGTCCTCGAACAATAGTGAAGCTGATGAGAGCATTGATACAATAGTGGATATTGATCTAGATCAATTGTCTGATGTAGAGTGTGAATTACAAAAGAAAGGAGAGAAATCTAAAAGTACACGCCGTCCGTTAAAACGTGGATATGTTATTAAGCGTAATGAAAAAGGTGAAACAAAACTACATGTTGCATCTATCAATAATAATATTGAAGAAGTCAAATCATTACTGGCTGCAGGACATCCAGTTGATGTAAGAGATTATTGTGGTTGGACTCCACTTCATGAGGCGTCCAATTACGGCTACGTTGAAATTACAGAATTATTAATAGAACATGGTGCTAATATCAATGATCCTGGAGGTTCTCAGTGTGGTAATATTACACCACTACATGATGCAGCATCATGTGGAAATTTCGCAATAATTAACTTATTAATTTCTCGTGGTGCTGATATAACGTTAAAAACTAAAGCAGGTGAAACAATTTTAGATTGTCTAGAAAAATGGAAATTACGACTTGAAGAAGATCGGAAGAAAAATCAAATTAAATGGACAGATGAAGATGAGAAAGAGTATAAATTAATTCGAGATAAGCTACGTCGCGTTTTACCCGCAAATTCAGATAAATTATTAGAGCCTATTGAACCATTAATTGATGAAGATATTTGTAGTCAAAAGATTGATAATAATTATGAAGAAAAATCTCCAGAGAGAATATCAGCAGGAGAGGATTATAAACGAACTATAGAAAGTCTAAAAAATCGAAGTTATTTAAATCCAATTGTAAATTCTTCTAAATTACAAAAAAATAATTCTAGTCACATTTCTAAAACTCCTCTAATTGATAGTGAACAACAATTAGTTGATGATTGGCTAGAAGATGATATATTTATGCCATCATCAACTACTACAACTGGTACTTTAAAAAGAACTCGTAGTGATGATAATGACACTCCGCTTCCTAAAAGAAAGTCATTTGGTTCTTCAACTGTTTCAACTTTTAGCGATAAAAAATATTTTAGAAAGCATCATAGTGATGACAGTAAATCATTAAATAATAAATCGTCAAATCATAAATCATCAAGTACAAATCAAACAAAAAAATCTCTTGTAAGAAGAAAGAAACAAAAATCATTGTTCACAGCAGGATTTATAAAAACTCCATCGACTAAACCATCAAACACACCGGAACCATTACCCATAACTATAAATTCAGTTGAAAATGACTTTACTACAAGATCTCGTATTAACACGGATTCAATACATTTTCGAGTTATTATTGATGATCTAACAATGAATATAAAGATAAAAAATTCGGATGAACATGATTATTTATTTAAATGTTTAACATATGAAAGTAATAAACAATTTCATCAAAATACTGGTTGCACTGCAAAAATGATTTTTTTTACCGCTGACGGTGAAGAATTACAGGCAGACAATTTATTAAACTTAGTATTTACCAGTCAAGGAAGTGTGATACAACTTCATGGACAACTTATCGATCTAGTTATTCCAAAAATAACTGAACGATATAAAACCATTTGCACATTCTTAAATGTTGGTAAGTACTCTGAATTTTCAAACTAAATAAAATTATTTGTATAATAAATCATTATGTTATATTTTTAACTATTTCAGATATTGATAATGATGATAGTAAACAACTGAAACCATTCAGAGTTTGTGAAAATTCCGAAGTTCTTCGACTTAGAGATGAGAATGAAAATATAAATGCGACAGCTTTGTTTAAATCTTTAAAGTATGAAAAAAATCTAAAAGTTCTTGATTTATCATCATATTGTCTTTATAATACTGGTGAATTTCTTAATAGTACATTATTTCATTTATCTCAACTAGAAGAATTACATTTATCAGGATGTGACATTGATAGTAAATGCATATCAAAAATAGAAAAATTACCTCCGTTGCTCAGAATATTAGATTTAAGCTATAATCCAATTGGATTTAAAAATGAATCTAAACTTAACGAGTTGCTAACTAATCTTCGGTTTTTACAAATTTTAAATTTACGAAGTTGTCAATTAAAAAAATTACCATTTCATGCAAAAACCATTAGTTCTAATCTCATTAATCTAGATATATCATGGAATGTGATGAATGACACTGACATAGATGTTCTATTACAACGACAACTAATAACTTTAAATTTATCGCAAACTCATTCAAGATTATTATTCACTAATGACATAAGACTTATAGCATTAGAGACTTTGGAAACCCTCGACTTAGGGGGATGCAACATCAATGATTCAGATGTTTCATATTTACTAGATAAATGTAAGAATTTGTCTAAATTAATATTAAATAATAATCCGGAAATATCACATTCGTCTTTAGAAAATTTATTAGAGTATAAACCAACATTATCTCTAATAGATATAACGGGATGTAAAAAAATTTATGAGGAACCGAGATTTGATTTAAGTATTGATAATCCATCGATATGTACAATGATGGCATGTATAAGTTCAGAAGTAATTGAATGGTGGGAATTATTGTGGAGAGGGCACAGTAAGCAATATCGAATGCCATCCGATATCGTTGTATTTAAACCTTTTGTATAATAAAAAAAAATATTTATTTTTATACTAAATAGTTATTTTAAAAAAATTACAATAATTTAATTTACTCACATTTTAATGTAAATATGTATATCTTATTTCCTATTTTACAGTGTAATTTTGATACTCGAATATAATTCTTTTCTAAATCTTGACTAAGAATTTCATTTAAATCATCATTCAATGATGCTATGTAAGGTTGTAATTCATTCTGTTTATCACCAAGCACCCATAAGAAACTAATATGATACGAAGCATCCTTAAAATGAAATAGAATATTGTCGATGTTTTATAAATAAGAAACTTAAAAAAAAAACAAGGAAGATGGTTTATTCAATACTTACTTCATAGAATGAAGAAAGTTGGTATTCTGCTAATAATTTATTCAACAACTTCATCAAGCTGGTGAAACTTGGGTCCAAACATTGACATTCAATACCCATGAAAGTTCTAGTTCGTTCCTCGTTACAGTATAATTTAACATTTATCATTTCAATTATAAAAGGATTTGTTGCTTGACATATTTTCTTCATACTGTCCACAAAAGATTCAATCCAGTGAAATTTGAAAATTAAAGTACGTGTTAGACTTATATGACTATTTTCAATAATCAATTTACCGTCAACTGGAAGCTTTTCCTGTACTGATTTCATCCATTTGAGTAATAATTCATCAGGTTCATCTAATATATTAGAATAAAATATTTTTAATTAAATTATAGACAAAAAAAAAATACTTGATAATCATAGACGTTTATACGCTAAAAAGAAGTATTGCTTACACTCAATATAAACAAGTGTCGCCCAATTACCACGCTCATGTTTGAAAGATCGTATTCTTCCATCGTGTTTTTGTTGTTCTGTCTCTTCATCATTATCATTTGTGATATCTAATGGTGATGTATTAGAATTGGTGTTATTTTTTACTGTCCACAATGTGAAATTATCCGGAAGAGGAAGCAATTGTTTACTATTTACAAAAAGAATGCGTAATTTAGACAAAAATTCTAAATATAACCTCTAATGTTACTCCAAAAAAAGAATGTGTTTTTTTTTAAAGATTATATCGTACAAACCTGTTAGATGGTGGAATATTAGTGATAATTGAATCTGTTTGTAGTTCTTTTTCATCATGATCTTCATCTGATTCAGAAGATGAATAATTCTGAATTAATTTGAATCCGGCCATTCTTTGGACATGCATCAACAGTTTAAAAGGTTATGAACTGATTCTAAGCGATTGTTTAAATGACTACATTGGAAAATAAATACATCATATTACAATGTTGAGAAATGGTGGAAGTTACGATATTTTAAAACGTTTTCGAAGATTATTCGACAATATTTCTTTTAATCGTAGATTATTTATAATTATTATACTAATCGGTGGATTCCTTTTATACTTTGGTTCAAGTTTAGCTCAGTGGTTTTTTTTTAATAATCGAACATTACCAAAAGGTATTAATGCATATAAAATATTAATTTATATCATAATAAATAATAATTTGATAATTTAATTATTTTTTCTTTATACAGCTTACGAAGACAATTGTATCGAAGAGAGATTAGCTAGCTCTTATTTGGATGCTGATGTTTATGATGCAGCAATTATTGAACATAATATTCATAATGATGAATCATTAACATCAACAGAACATAATAACCTATTGCCTTATATTGGCAATGGGGTTTTTGGAGTTCAAGTTCTTCCATCTAATGGTCGTTTATATATAAAAGAAGGGAAAACGCTGTCGCTGTATACACAATGGGATCCGTTAATTACTGTGATACCTGATAACAGTGTTCAACGTCAGTTTTCTGTTATACAATTTACACAAGGAATTGTTAATGAGTATCAGTGTATTAGGGATGGTTATTACGTTGAACACAAGTATTATGCGCATCAAATTTTAAATGGAATATTTATTCAAGAAATAAGTATTTCTAATCCAACTTCATTACCACAAAAAGTTGCATTAAAATTAGCTGAAAATTCGCAATGGACTGAAAATGAATCTATAAAGTACGAAGTCATAATCATTTTAAATAATAAGTCATTAATTTTTTTAATAAGTTATTTATTTATTCATTTATTATATATTTCAGCATTCAAGTAGATGGAAATAATTATAAGTACATTGTTACATCTTCGTTTGTACCTTTATCGAATTCAGACGAAAAAGTTGCAATAACAATCATTTATACTACTCCACCGAAATCTCTAACAATTAAACCAAAAAGTACGATAAAATTAGAATATTTAACAAGTATATACTACAGTAATAAACTGCAGAATTTGGCACAGTATGATGTTGAACGTAAAAATACAGAAAAAAAAGCTCTAAAAGTATGTCTAAAATCATATATAAATATATACCCTTATAAATTTCTATAAAAATTATAAATAATATATTATCACTAAAGTACTTATTTATTTCTAGGCTTTAAAAGATGCCCTAAATATACAGCAGCAACGTGGCCTGCTAAATCAACATACAAGTATTTGGCAAAGCTATTGGAATACTGGTTTTAGCATTAGCAAATCGAAAGCTAAAGGATCTTTAAATGGAGATAAAATAAACTCAACTATATATTATGTACTATCTCAAATATCCAAAAGCATCCCTAACGTTGAAAAATCTATATCTAACAATGAAGGATGCTACCGGGGTCATCATACACTGTGAGCATATAAGATTTTTCATTTACATTTAAATATAAAACAAATAATTATAATAATTCTATTAATATTATTTTAATAACAGTAATGCACCAAGACTGTGGAAGGATATATCTACGATAGATGATGTTAATGCTATTGTTAAAGCTTGGATAATAACACTTGAAAACCAAGGTTGTCATCATTTGATGACAGGAGGACCTTCAGCTGTTCAACAAGCTATTATTTTAAGTCTTGGTGGATTAAGATTCAGTAATCAACATTTGGAATTCAATATTGATCCGCAATATCTACATCGGAATTATCTATTTAGGTAAGCACTTGATTAACTAATTTATTCATTGTTTTTTTTATTATCATTGTTACATAATTATAATATTAATTAAAATTTAAACTTGATAATTTTTTTTTCTGTTTAGACGGATAAATTATGGAAATATCACACACGTTAATATTTCTGTGACTGTTGGCAACGATAATCGTGCAATATTGAGCGTTGCTTTAGATCGAAGCGATAGTGATTATTACGCATGTGATGCTGGTTGTTTAGATTCACCAGTTCTTCTTAGTCAGTCTTATACAAATTTTCCAGTAAAATTAACAAAACCCCCAACTTCTATATTGTATATTACGTCCGATTATCAACACATGCAAAATCTTCGTAATGCGTTGCATGTACATGCAGTAGAAGAAGGTAAATATATAAATTATATTTGATATAATATATAGAATTGTTAATAATAAATATTTCAACTTTAAAATTCCTTTCAGCTCCTGCACATGATCATCATGTAATGGCTTTGCACAAACATGGCCATCAACTTGGTGGTTTACCAACTTTCTTTTGGGTCAGTATTTGTTTTTTAATTGTCGTTTTCCACATGTTTTTGTGCAAACTCATTTTTACTGAATATTATGGCCGTCACGATCGTCAACAAAGACGATATAATAAGCCATAAGTTAATTTAACTATATTATTATTGTATAATTAAAAATACATGTGTTAATGTATATTTTCTTATTAAACATTAAAAAAAAACGAATTAAAATTATTTATCAATAACAAAGAATTTCAACTCGCTCATTCTTTTCACCGATATTTGAACTCAATATCATTTTTCTCTATTATTACAAATCGATATAAAAGACGGTGTTTACCAAACGTATTTTCGTTTACGACTATTATTATTTATATTGTAGTTTACAATAATAATAAAAGAATCGATAAATAATGTAATAAACGAAAAGTTATTAGACTATTGTATAAATATTCAATATAATTTAATTTAATTCAATCTAATTGAATTTCAAAGTTACGCATCATGGAAGACAATTTAATACTTTTAATGAAACAACAAAAGATTAATTTTGATTATGATTGAGTTGCTTTTTCCAGAAATTACGCGATATAGCATTTTGAAGAAATAACGACTGGACGGATATACTTTGAATAATTTCAAAAGTCATGTACCGAATGTTAAAATCATGAAAAGTATTGATATTCATTTTAATAATTATAATATATTAATTTTTTTTTTTGCTAATTTATCTTGTTATGAAGGCTAAGTTCCTAATACGTCCATCGCTTTATGACTAAATATTATAGTTGACATAGATATACAGTATCAACTTAACTGAAAAACGTCTCCTCACAGAATGGGCTAATTTGAGTATCCCCGCCATTCGCTGCTTTATTACTACTTGATTCTTCAGCACCTTGACTAGCTTGATTCACTGGGCTACTTCGTGAACATGAAGTAACACTCTGCATTGTTTGACTTCTTGTTGCAACAAATCTCATACTGTATGTTGACCGAATACCAGACTGAGTTGTCGCAACATTTTGAGCAATTCCAGTAGGATGACCACCTGTGACAGTATTGGAGTGACCAGGTCGTACATTTTTTTTTGGTTGAAAAAGTACCAAATATACTTTTGGTATGAATAGACAGCTGAGTGCAACTGTCGCCGATATATTTATACACATACACATACTGGCTATTTGAATCTGCAACATAAATAAATAAATTATTCAAACTAAACCATACACGTTCTAGTTACGGATATGAATATGTTGTGTTTTATTAATTCAATGTTCAATTAAACATGCACAACAGTTTTGTCAAAAAACAAAAAAAAACTTACAAAAAAATAATAACAACATTCACTATATCTACTTTCTGGATTTTAACGACACACGTGCGACGATTTCACGTTTAATAAGTACCGTGTAATCGTTATAAGTGCTAAAGTATATGGGGACAAAGGCGAGCCAAACGATGCACGTTGAGTACATGGTAAATCCTATGTATTTGGCTTCATTAAAGTTGGCTGGTATTTTACGTGTCTTGAAAGCATATAGTGTGCAAAGGAGAATGAGCAACATGTTGTATACAAGAGACATCATAAGAGAAAACGTTGAAACTCGGCAAGTGAGAACAGCAGAAAGTGGATGAGGATAAATTTCTTTAATATCAGGTGGTTCTATTATCAGCCAAACTATTGTACCAATCAGTTGAATTGCAGTTATACCTGTTAAATAATAATTTTCATTACATTAGTGTCAACAATTTAACTAATTACAAATATTCTTACCTAAAGCAATAGCTATTTGACTTTTAGGTGATGTGTATGACGGCCGTTTCAGGCATTTTTTTCCTTGAGTAAAAATTCGTGATATACGATTTGTTTTTGTTAAGATTGCACTATAACATATACTCAGACAAAGTCCTAAACCAATACGAAGATATGTACAATTAAGGCGAGTTGGTTCACTCAAGATAATGAAACTCATGCCGTAACATGAGAGAATTCCAATAAGTAGAACGTAACATAACTCACGGCCGGAAGCCATTATAACTGGAGTTCGGTTGTATCTACAGTGAGATAAAAAGTTTAGTTTATTATGTAACTTTAAAAAATAGAGATATTTTTGTAATAATACTCACCGTACAAAAATAACGATGGTAAAAAGTGTAATTAATATACCAATGCTCGCAAAACTCAGTGGTACTATTGCCCAAGGACTCATCCATGTAATGATCTCAGCTGAGAGCTTAATACATCGGGATTTGGATTTATTATCTGGAGCCCAGCCGGGCTCGCAGCTTCGGCAAGAGTCATTAAAAACATAAGCGTTTTCAGGACATTGCATACAACTCCAGCAACATGCATCCTGTAATATTTATTTTTCGGGTCACGTTTTTAATTAGTTTAACGTAAAAATCAATGGAATACTAATCATTTATTTACCTGAAAATTACGAACATGACCCTTTGGACAATCCTCACTACATGTACTCCGGGGTATATGAGCCTCACCGGAACCACCAGACCATCGGGTAATATTTATGTCCAGATTTAACCTGTTAATTTTATACTTATCCATCACTTCTGCCCGATCACGACCAAGTCTAAAGGAGGGTAATGGGTTTTATAGATTCATAAATACAAACAAAATAAGTTACCCAAATGAAAAGAATTTAATATTTTTATAGTCTGAACTATTTAAACATTTTAAACTATTAATTTTGATTAAACTGGAGTAATACAACACAAAATAAAATAGTTAACTTGAATTTATTTGTTAAATAAATAATTGATGAATATGAATGTAAGTTTACTCACACTTCTTTCCAATAACCAATTGGCACATAATCGAATCGATTTTCATCAGTACGTTGATACTGATAGATATTATAAAATCCAAAAGCATCTCCATCACTATTAAACCTTATTTCTGTACCTTGACGACCAATAAAACTAACATTACGGATATATTGAAGCAAACTTTGCCCAGGTATTCCCGGAGCCAAGCTATCACAGAGATAATGAACTGTTTCACGATTTTCAACACATTCATCATTTATAATATTGTGTACTGCATGCGCCATTGCATAAACTGCATCAACTATACAAGAATAAATGAGCGGTTTTATAAATAATAGCATCACAAATCATACTGTAAATTAAAATTAGAAACTTACCAACGAAGGGAACTAAACCTTCCTGATCATAATCAATCAATTTTTCATCACCAGTACAACGTTTTATAGCTGATGAGCTATTTGATGTTGAAAAACTGCATTTGTGATGTTGAGACCAAAATTCACGAAACCATACATTTCGACAATTTACTATTTTTCCTGGTTTATTTGGGTGTGGTATATTTTTCTCACTTTGTCCATTGCATTCATTACCAACTCTAGGTCGTAAATTCGTATAATACTCATCGAAATCTATAAAAATAAAAGTTCTTATTTTGATGTATGATGTAATTTGATTAAAAATAGTTAATAGATGCATGAAAAAACTGTAAAACCTTTTAACGAATTGCCATACGGCAAAATAGTTATGGCACCCTCTGCAGCAAATTCTTGATCTCGAACTGGGTGAACTTTTGCACCCCAAGAATCGCTACCCACCCACATGAAATGACCCGTACGATTGGCACGAATAGTAGCTTGCAAGAGTTTTCTAGGAAACAAATATATATATAGTTGAATTAACTTTATTGCTTTATTTATTAAATTTATAGAATATTTATAGATAAAAAATAATAACACTACCGGACATTGTCTTCATCAACAAACAGAATGACTCCTCTTGCATTATGTTTTGAAACAAGTCGTTCAACGATACGATCAAAGTCTTCCGACTTGGAATTTCTTAATATTTTTTCACTAATAGCTATACATATATCATACTCAGATGCTAGACCAATGAAGCGAGCAATTCCCTGAAAAAGTACTCTTTACTTTTTGATCTACACTTTAATATCTTCACTGTTATTTTTATTACTTTTTCACCGTAATCCCCTTCAACGGCAACTGTCGAAACGTATTTCCAACCAAGTTGATGAATCACTTCGACCATAGCTTGAGCTTGAAAATTATCCGGCGGTACGACTCGGCTAAAATATTCAAAACGACTTTTATCTGAAAGCTCTGTACTTGTTGAAGCATAACTTAATTGTGGAATCTGAGAAAAAAGCAAATACTTTTTAATATATATATTCTATCAATTTAAATAGAAGATAGAATAAGTTCAAGCATAAAAATAAGTCAATCTGTAATACCTTAAAAAGTCTCAAAATATTTGCAACCATTATAGAAACAACACTGAAGGATGCTCCGATAACACCTGTCACAGATTTATGTGGTACATAAAGTGGTGCTTTTCCATCTTCGCATCGATACTCTGACATATCCTAAAAAATTGTTCAATATTTCTGCATTTATATTTCTATACCTTTTGTCAAGATTTAATAAAAATATTAAATATTTACAAATATGGTAATTTTAATTCACCTGATTCATATAAGAACGGACAAATTCCATACTTTGATCTAAGGCATAAGTATCGCTGCTACATGAATCAAGAATGAGTGCTCCAAGAGTTGTGTTTGGTAACAATTTTTCATCTTTGTTGATTTCATCGATCGCAAAAAGCATTGCCTCCAAACGTTGGACTCCTTTTTCTTCTTTGACTGCTCCACAAGGTAATTCACCTCTCAATCCAACAATCTGTATTCATAGAGAAAAATTTTTTTCTAAATATAACTATCCAATTATTTACATACAAATATCAATGTGGAGTAATCTGTAGTATACAAATGATCATTACCTGCTCATGCATAGGAAAAATCCCGCCAAAAATAATGTCTCCATCAATTCGGATTAGTTTGGAGCTATTTACGCCATTGTAATCGTCTCGAAATTTTTCACCAAATACAATAAATAACGGCATCCATAATAATACTGAGTATGTTGTTATTACAACCATTGATGTTCGATGACTTTGATATATCATTGTTAAAATACTTGTTTTTATTTATTTATTTTTGTTTTATTTTAATTTTAATAAAACGTAAAATTTTAAGAAAAATATCAATTTGAAAGACGTTAAAAAAGAAAAGTTGTTGAGCATTTGTTTAAAATTTACACATAATGAGCAAAATTTATCAGTAAAAATTACAATATTATCACACTTTTTATTTCAAAAAATTCAATATATTATTAGTTTTTGTTTTTTAGAATTCCTATATAATGATAAATAATTTTTATTTTGGCAAAATTTTGCCTTATCCATTTTTTTAACTAATATATTTAATAGATTAAAACGAATTAATTACTTCAATCCAACAACCGGTAATAATTTTATATCGTCTTGATTCCATTAATCATAGAATTCCATCAATTTAATCCATCATCCAATTGAGTTTTTTCATGATCGTTATTACTAATAAAAATTTTATTCACTTATCCACGTATGTGAGATTTACTTAATCACATATATGGCATACATTATGGTAAAAAAGAAAAAAAGGGATGAAGGTTACGGAAGATATTCAATAAACACTAAAGTATGTGCTCAAATACAGACTTCGTGAAGCAAACTGATGCTGCGCTTGGTATATTCGTTTTGTTATATCAAAATCAACGAGTTTGCGCAAATGCAATCCTGATTTTGCTTCGTTTCAGGTAGCCAGAGGCTATTATTTTATTCATTGTAGCATGAACCTCTCCGAATTCATATTACCTTATATATACGTGTATATAATCAACCTGTAAAGTAACACATTGACGTATTGTCAATATGTACATTTCGAATATTTTCAATAACCTGACGTCTTTGGTGTGATATTCATAAAATACATATCTCTGGAAATATTTTAATCACATATTAAAATTTATTGAATAATTTAATCCTATTCAATTAGCACTCACCTACTTTTTCTGAAAGTTAGATAATTGAATGTCCAGGAATTTTAAAAAAGTATTTAACTTTTTAGCTTTTTTAATAAGAAATTTACTTTTCAATTAAGTAAATCTAATCAAAACATTGTTAATTAGAATATTGAAAATCTGCATTGGCCGATTTTCTTAGCCAGCGTCCTATGACGCCAAGCTTAGTGGTTTGCAGTCATTACATTAAATCGACCGCCACTTGTCATTCATGCAGCTAACTTCAAGCCACTTCAAGCATTTATCGATTACTTAATTATCGATATACTTACACAACGTTTTTGCTGTGAAGTAAAACTAAAAAAAGTAATTGTGTAACTATTTTTTTTATTTATATCTATTTTGAGTATTTAAATGATTAATATATTTTCAATACTTAGTATTAATGATTTATATATTAAATAATTCAATATAATATTTAATTTATTTTCGTAAAGATGTATGTTCTACATACGAGTTGACAGATGAAATTTTTCTCTATAAACAATCTTATTGTGAGGTATATCATTATTCTAAACCACAAATTGTAATAAGAAAATATGGATAATGATCTTGAAAGTGCACTTATTTGTCGAGGATGCATGAAAAATGAAGGACTTTTATTATCTATGTACGATGATGATGTTAGTAAGAAGTTACTACCAGAAAAATTAGCTATTGTTGCTTCAATTGAGGTAAATTGATATTTTATTTAAATATTTTTTATAAAGTTTTCAAATAACTAATAATAATTTTCAATATTTAGATTAATAAAAACGATGGATTGCCCCATTTTTTATGTACCAAATGTGCATATCGGACTGAAGTATTTTATGATTTCAAACTTCAAGTACAGAAATCTGAACAACAATTCCGCATGATGTTGGAGATTCAAAAGAATTCATTATCAGTATGTATTTGTGTTTATTTAATAATTTCAATTTATTTTTATTCCAATATATCAATAATATTAATTGTTTTTTGTTAACAGGGAACTTTTAATGAAGACATTGAAAAAACGAATACTCTAAAACTAGATTACAGTTCATTCGTCTCACCTAAACCTGAAATAAATGATACAATACCAAATGTATATATTGATACTAATGATATACCTGATATAGAAAAGTCATTAACGAATGAAGAAATAAACGAGGTTGACTCAAATGAAACTGAAAATAATATAACAATTTATGGAGACCATGATCAATTTTTATTATTTAGTGATAAAATTGATGAAAATATTAATTCTCCAGCAGTAGATTATGTGTTATTCTCTTATATTTCTGATGAAAATAACGAAGGTACGGGATTAAAATATAAATCAATAATCTCCTCCAATGCCAGTGAAATGAGTTATAAAAGTGATTTAAATGATGGTGATATTATAGAAAAAAATAAAGAAATTACGTATAATGAAATTGACCAAATAAAACTTGATGAAAATAATGTCAGTATAGATTCGGATTCTGATAATTATATTGATAATTGTGATAGTTTATTAGGTAGTTTAAATGATACAATTGTGAGAATTAGAGAAATAAAATCTGATGATGGGAAGATACATTATCAATGTACATTATGTATGCACAATTATAATCATTTAATTGAAATACTTTATCATACAGTAGATAATCATGTGCCAAGTAGTGGTCCATTTTATTGTATCGTATGTGAAAAAGACTGCAATAATCATAGAGAATTACGATCACACATCAAAACTCATACAGGTCTCAATCCATATAAATGTTTTATCTGCGATAAAGCATATACAATGAAGAGGTATTTAAAAAGACACATGACTTGCCACACAGACTTTGCCAGACACAGATGTTCAAAATGTGGAGAACGTTTTAAAATGAAGCAAGATTTAGAGAAACATATTAAAACTCATTCAAGTGGTGCACCATATACTTGTCATCAATGTAATAAAACCTTTAATCACAAAGCAACTTATAAACGTCATTTATTAATGCATTTAGATCCTCAACGGCTGTGTTTACCAAAATATCCATGCTGTGTATGTGGAAAGAGGTTCATCAATAATCGTACATTACAAATTCATATGCGAGTTCATACTGGAGAGAAACCATTCAGTTGTCATGTTTGTAATCGATCGTTTTCACAACAAGGAAACTTATTAAATCATCTTAAAATTCATTCAGAGCCTCGTAGGTACACGTGTGATATTTGTGGAAAGAGATTTAATCAAAGAGCTACATTACGTGATCATAAACTTTTACATACTGGTGAAAAGCCTCATGTTTGTAATGTTTGTGGGCTAGCATTCACGTTTGGAGCAGCATTAAGACGACATTTATGGTCACATGCTGATAATAAACCATTTGGATGTGAAATATGTGATTCTCGTTTTGTGGGCAAGTATGATCTAAATCGTCATATGAAGATCCATTGGGACAAGTCTAAATCAAAGCGGAAAAAGATTAAAATCAAAGAAAATCATGATAATGATATCACTATAGAACCTTGTCAACTACAAGACGATATTATATTGACTCAAGTAGCCTCTGTACCAGAAACAATATTTGTTGACAATGTTCTTATTGATCAGAGTAAAAATCAAATCGTTATACCTCAAGAGGATTCGGAAAAAGAAAATGTTGATGCTTTATTTAATTTAATCGAATATACATAACGTTCATTTATTAATTTGTTAAATAAAATAATAAATTGATTTGTTAATTTTTTTTTTTACGGAAAAAGGATTAAATGTAAATAAAGTGTAAATATATCAATGATGAATAAAACAAATATTTATTTAACATTATTTATTGATGTGTATTTAGATACAACAATAATTTTTTAATTAAAATATCGTTTTTAAACAAATAGTCAATTTTTTTTTTTTTTCAATTACTTTAATATAATTAACCACTATAATTACTATTACTACTCATTGATGGAATGTTTATGAATGTATTTTAAATATTAATATTGACATTGAATTTTATATTACGTTGGACGGTTTACATTAGAAGTAATTATATCATATACATATGTACGTTCTAAAAATATATATGAAAAATTATTTGTTAAACGCTGGAGACCGGCCCAGGTCATAAAACGTTTTTTTTTACTTAAAGTAGTAATAATAATTAAATAAATTTTTATATTGAGTGAAAAATATATAATCATTTTCATTTTTTATGATCTATTAACAACTTAAATGTATAATACAAGTTATATTAAGGCTAGCGTATAGTTGAAGCACTGAGATTTTAAAAAACTTTTATTAAGAGGATAATCTTTTACTCTCTTATTTGTATATAATCTATCATATAATAATATATAATAATAAACATTGTAACAAAAGTTAGTTTTAACGATAAAATCTATACACACATTATCAGATTCAATTATAGAGAGTGAAAATAAGTTGAGAAAATCAACTATAATAATAGTACAAAGGAATTTAAAATATATTTCTTCATTCTTTGATAAAATTCATTAACATTGTACATATAAAAAATTCCAAAATTTTTCTTTTTTAAAACTTAAAATTACGTAAAAAATAAACGAGTCAACCATCGACATTGGTCCCATATGTACGCTATTTTTGTAAAATAGTTTATTCTTTTTGTAAACTTCAACTATCTAACTTCGAATAATATTGTATAACAATTGATATATAATTTCCTAAAACTTGACCTATTTTTAAGTAGATTTTATTTACTAATAATTAATACTTTAAAGTCATTATATTTACAAAAACTTACATGAATAATATCCAACAAAAAATGACACTTTCATGACTTGTCTATTAAAATCTCTCGGTGTAGAAATAATGATAATAAAAGTTATTTTGTCATAAAAATCACATCATTTACCTATAGTCTGTACTTATTATAGTATTAACAAAACAAAAAATTAAACAATTCAACATTCAGATTTATCCTCTTCAACTAACTGTTGAGTGTCTTTACCTGAATCTATTGTGGTAGGATCTAACTCTCTTCTCTTATGGTGGATTGGTGGTAATTCTTTATGTTGCATACTTGATGGTTTCATTTCTGCTGGAACTTCATATATAGAACTTGCACTAGTTCCATTAGTCGTTTCTAAATTAACCGCATCATACATCGGATTACTGAAATCTCGACTTTTATCAGTAACTTCACCAAGATTGTACTCTACATCAAGAGGTTCCTGAAATATAAAAGTCATTTTCAATAACAACAATGGAATTTTTTTCTTATCTCCATATACTGCTTTATATTAATCATCATTAAATTTACCATTCTTTCATGTGCGGGTGAACCAAATTCTACATTACTTCCTTGTCTAAATGATACACTTTGAGCCGTTAAACCGCCTAGACCACCAGCTTTACCACTGAAATTATCATTAAATATCTCATTACTTAATTGTATCGAATTAATCATGAGATCATTGTTGAATATTATTATACTTACAACGGTCGTTTCTTGACAACAAGAATAATTGCTGCTACAACCAGTAGTACTAGAATGCAGACGACGATAGGGATGACAATAGCAGTAGTAGAATTATTTAATCTAGTTGAAACTAGACTAATTTCACAATGTTCACCATGATAAGCATATGGGCAAACACAAATTAATTTACTATCCTCTGATTGATCACATACACCTCCATTTTCACAAGGACAAATCCAAGGTGAAGGTTTAGGCCGTTCAACAGATGCATCACATACTCTTTCGCTGGATTGTCCTATTCTAGGTCCAGTGCTATCAGGACAGAGACATCGATATCCTGCTGGTACACCAACACATAAGTGACTACATCTTGCACTATGACAAGGATCACGCAATGTTGTGTTGTATTTTAATGAATTATAAAGCCTTACACCTCCTGGTGTTTGGATATCTTTAATAACTATTTCAGGTACACCTCTACCAAATTTATCTTGCTTAATAATTTCTCCAGTATTCTTGGTAGACCAGTATAATTTATTTTCAAATACATCTAGAGATACCGGATGCTTAATTGTATCTTGTAATATAGTTTTACGGTTTGACCCATCTAAAGCTATTGATTCTATTGTATTGAGTTTACTATCGGCCCAATAAATTGTATGGTCCATTGCGTAATCAATAACAAGAGCGGTTGGTTTGCCAAGTCTTTCAGCCACAAGAATTTTTCGTTTACTACCATCCATCCAAGCCATTTCTATTTTTGGTTGATTACCAACATCCGACCACACCATTTTACCATTTTCAGGATCAAGTGCTATTGAAGTTGGATTCTCCAATCCTACTGTTATTAAACTACGACGATATCTTCCATCTGCTTTTGATACTAAAATTTTTCCATACTGCTGCGTTCCAGTATTATCCACTTCACCCCAGTAGAGATTATTAGATATCCAGTCTACTGCTAAACTCACGTGTTTGGTATCACTAGTTTTTGTATTTAAATCTTGTGCAAATCCAATTTTAGCTTGTCCTTCTTTTGCATTCACCATATATGATCGTTTGATAGTATTTTCATGTGAATCAATCCAATAAATAAGTTCTACACGTGGATCAAAATCTATTGCTTTTACTCTCTTTTCATCAACAATAACATCAAATTCTTCTTTTTTGGAGAGACTGAGGGCACGAATTTCTGGACCATTTGCAAATAATAATATTGATGTTTCTTCATCGATAAGTCGACAAACTCCACTATGATTATCAGTAAGATGGAAACCATCTCGACAAGAACAGAAATAACCACCTTTAACATTAGTACATATTTGAGAACAATGATGAGTTGCTGTTAAACATTCATTTATATCATCGCAATGTTTATTATTATCTTTCGATATAATATAGCCTGAATAGCAAGCACATATATAGCCACCATCGGTAATATTTTGACAGTAATGAGCACATCCTCCTTTGTTTGATAAATCACAGTGTTCATTTGGATGACATCCTAATTCATCTGATTCGTCACCACAGTCGTCTGCAAAGTCACATACTTTAGTACGATCGATGCATTTCTTATTGGCACATTGATATTCAGTTGTTGCGTCACATGTTCGTATTCTCTTTGCACAAATTGTTAAGTTATTTTCATCAGAACCGTCACCACAATTATCAACTTTGTCACAAAGTTGATATCTTGGTATGCATCGATGATTGGCACACTGGAATCGTCTTAGTAAGTCACACGTAAAGTTTGCACATAAGGTAGGATTTTCATCTGAAGCATCACCACAATCGTCGCTACCATCACATCTATCAGCAAGAGATACACATAAATTATTGTTACATTGGAATCGTGATTTTGGGCAATATCTTCCATCGGGATATCTTGGTGGACAACCAATTTCATCACTGGCATCTCGACAATCTCTTGTACCATCACAATGCAAATAAGATGCAATACAGTGGCCACTGGCACATTTGAATGTATCATTTTTACATGTAAATTGTTGACATTCTACTTCATCACTATTGTCACCACAGTCATCCTCATTATCACATCGCCAGCGTGATGCTATACATTTACCATTGCGACAACGGAATTCAGATTCAGAACATGATCTGTAATTACCTTTGCAGATAGTATCAACTTCATCACTGCCATCACCACAATCGTCTGCAAAATCACACATCCATTGTTTTGGTATACATCGATTATTTGCACATTTAAATTCAAGCTCAGGATCACAAGTAGGACAACTAGATGGTAATTCATCAGAGTTATCACGACAATCATCTTTACCATCGCAGAATAGCCATTTAGGTATACAACGGTAATTAGCATGGCCTGGACAACGTTGCCAACCTGTTGTACAATTTCTTTGACGGCACAAATAAGCAGGCTCGTCACTATCATCACCACAATCATTGTCAGAATCACACATCCATAATTTTGGTATACATTTACCGTTTTTACAAGCAAATTCAGTATTTTCGTCGCAGGTTTTATTATGACAAATGGCTGGATCTTCATCACTTCCGTCTTTACAATCAGCATCTCCATCACATTTCCATGATGCATGAATACAACGTCCATTTGATTTACACTTAAATTCAAGTTCAGGACATTCACTTGAACAATTAGCCTCGTCACTTCTATCACCGCAGTCATCTGTGCCATCACATACATTAACGCTTGGCGTACAATTACCATTAGTACATTGAAATACACTTGGACGGCACATACGAGTTGGACAGGATGCGGGTTCATCAGTTCCATCTTTACAGTCTTTTTCACCATCACATTTCCAGAACCACGGAATACATTTTTCTTCTGGTGGTCCACAACGATGTTGACCTGCTGTACAATTTGCAATACAAGTTTTTCCATCTTTATCAAGGTAGAATTGATTTGGACATGCACATTTATATGATGTAACACCTGGTTGACCATAACCCTCTAACAAATAGGAGCTTGCTGGAGGTGCAATTAAACATAAATGTGAACAACCTCCATTATTTTCTTTACACGGATTTGTATATGGTAATTGCCTGAGTGGATGATACGCATGAATATCATAAGGTCGGTGTGTAGTGTTGCGTAATATTTTAATATTAGATCCAGAGAATTTTCCTGCTCTCATAATTGCCTTAAGATTCCAATCAGTCCAATAAATATGATCATCAAATACTGTAATTGCAAATACATGAGGTACCGACGAGCCAGATAGCACAATTCTTCGATGATGTCCTTCAAGGTCTGCAAATGCAATATAATCTAAATGTGCATCTGCCCAGAATATACGATCAGTGAAGTAATCGATAGTTAAGGCGTTTGGCCAAGCGATATCATCTTCCCAAGTTAAAATTCTTGTAAAGTTACTTCCATCCATTCCCATTTTTCCAATGTAAGCTTGTAAATGCCATGATGTAAAGTATAAATAACCAGTGCCAGGATGAACGACAATTGCTCGAGGATCAGCAATTCCATTCAATAATGTCTTCCTATTTGATCCATCCAATTCAGATACATCAAGATGCTTAGCGTGTCGGTCTAGCCAATAAAGTTTACGCCCAATCCAATCAACAGCTATTCCTTCTAATCCTAGACTATCGTGTCGTATAATCGGTTCTTTATCACCCCCTTTAAGTGATGCTCGGAAAATTGTCTTGGCTGTAACATCGCAGAAGTATAAAGTCTCTGTAGCATAATCAGCATCAAGGGCAACAACATTAACAAGATCTTGATGCATTATATTATAAACTGAGGCGTCAATTGACATATTACGTACGTAGTATTTATTAGTAAATACAATCCAAGGTTCTATTTTATCACGTCGCTTACAAGTATGCTCATCTGCTGCTCTTTCATACCATCGTTCATTACACTTACAATAATAGCTTCCAGGTGTATTAGCACATTGCTGGCTACATACTTGCGGGGTTTCAATACATTCATCTATATCTGTACATGCCTTTCCATCACTTAGTAATTTATATCCCGGATTACATTCACAATAATAACTTGTTGGAGTATCGACGCATTTATGTCCACATTGATTTGTTTCGACTTGAGCACATTCGTCGACGTTACAGTGCGCTGGTTCATCACTTTCATCTGCGCAATCTGGTTCTTTATTGCATACCAGTTGTTGACTAATACAATTACCATTAGCACATTGGAAATCACTTGGATTATGACATGTATTAGTGTGATTACGTGCTGATGGACATCCAACTTCATCTGAATGATCACCACAATCGTCTTGACCATCGCATCTAAATTGTTTTCTGATACATTTGAAATTTTGACAAGTAAATTCTTGACTTGAGCATACTTTGTATTGAGAGTTACAAAATTTACCCTCATCACTACCATCTCCACAATCATTATCATGATCACAAAGCCAACTACGATTAAGACATCTTCCATTATTACAAGTGAATTGATTCTCTCCACAGGGGGCTGGTGGTGAGCAATGATGTAATGTGACATTTTCATCGGCACCATCAACGCAATCTGGATCACCATCACAAAGCCATTTTCTTGGTATACATTGAGCACGATTCCATACTTTATTTGCGTCACAAGTAAATTCTGTTTCTTCATCACATTTACGGTCATTACATTGATGTCGTTCATCTTCATCAGAATTATCTAGACAGTCATTGTCTCCATCACAAATATAAATTCGTGGAATACAATTACCATTGTCACATGTGAATAAATCACCAAAACAAGTTCGTCCTTCAGATTGGCAATATCCTGGTGGTTCATCACTACCATCTAAACAATCGTCATCTCCATCACAGTACCAAGTAGCTGGTATACAACGATGATTAGGACATCGGAAGCTGCCTTGAGGACATGAACGTTGTGCACAATATAATGGATCTTCATCACTGTTATCTCCACAATCATTATCACCATCACATAGCCAATAGGGTTCAACACAAATATTTGTAGTTTTACATTGTAGATGATTTGAATGGCAAGTATTATTTCTTGGACAACGTTCATGAGTTTCATCTGATGTTACATTATCTTTACAATCATTGATACCATTACAAACTTGTTCTTGAGGTATGCAACGGTAATTAGCACACGTAAATTCACCAGGAGCACAAGGAGGATATACACAGCCTTCTTCATCACTTCCATCTCTACAATCATTTTCATGATCACATTTCCATGATTTAAAGATACATCGTCCATTGTTACATCTGAATTCGTTAGGGCTGCAAGAATGATAAGAGCAATAATTTTTGTCTTCATCAGTACCATCACCACAATCATCATCTCCATCACATGCCCATATTCTTGATATACATCTTCCATTTTTACAAGCAAATTTAGTTGAATCACAAGTTACATTCTTCGGTACACACATTCTTCCTTCATTTACAAGTCGACTTTGATCGTCGCATTTACATTCTGCTTTACCATTAACACCAGGATGACATGATTGATCACAACCACCGTTATTTATATTGCAAGGATTTACTTTACATAATTGCTTTGAAGCTGAATAAATGTGTAAATCACGAGGAGAATCTTCAAGACGTTTAACCATTTCTATTTTATCAGCACCAGTATATTTTTCAGCTCTATATACTCCACGAAGTTGTAGGTCAGTCCAATAAATATGTTCACGGAATATTGTAATAGCAAATGGATAGATTGTTGCACTAATCAACACCTCACGATTTTGTCCATTCAAATCTGATCTTTCAATTTTTTCTCTTACTGCATCAGTCCAATAAAGCATACGATCATCATAATCAATTGCTAATCCACTTGGTTGTGATAAATCTTTATCAATAATTGCTTTCTTGAGTGAACCAGCCATTGTTGTTCTAAATATTTTACCTGATGTTCCAAATCGGCCCCAATCTGTGAAATAAAGTGATCCATTGCAAGGGTCAACAACAATTGCTCTTGGCCTATCAACGCGTGAAATCATCACGAGATCTGTGCCATCAATATTCATTGCATAAATACTATTATTCGATGAATCAGTCCAATAAATTTTTTTCTGTGTCCAATCATAAGAAATACCCTCTGGATTAATTCCTTTACTAAGTATAGGATGTATATCTGTTGAAGATGGATTATTAGCTGATAACCAAGCTATTTTAGCCCATGGTCTAATTTGCGTGAATAATATTTTGTTATCTTGATAATCGAAGTCTATACCAACAACGTTAGTTAAATTACCAATTGGTTTAAATGGCAAACTTGTTGCTTCAGGATCAATATTAATTGCTCGTATCTCTGTCCTTGTAGCAAATATTAAATATTCATCAATATTGTCACATTTTTTACCATCACTTGCTAATTTTCCAGTTACACAATCACATTTAGGTTCATTAACATTTAGCAAAGCAAAGCAAAGCTGTTGACAATTACCGTTATTTTGTGAGCATGGATTTGTATCGTCTTTCGGTTGATTACTTGCATCGAATATTACAATATCTCGTAATTTTGGTAAATTTGTTCGAATAGGATTAGGTAATGATATGTTTCCAGGCAGTTTACTGGCCCTGAAAACAGTCTGTAAATTACGATCAACCCAATAAACTTCAGAACCATAAATTGCTACGCCCATTGGATTTGGTAAATTACGACGAACGACTTGTTGATTGCCACCAGTCCAAGATATCTTTTGTATCATATCTAATTTGGAGTCTACCCAATATACATCATGTGTTACTGGATCAATTGTTAAATCACGTGGTGTGCTGATACCTTTTGTAACAATTGGAGTCCATTCACTTCCATCAAGTTTAGCTTTACCAATTTTAGGATATTGACCATTATCAATCCAATATAATACTCTCTTTTGAGGATTTACTGCTAGTTCACGTGGAGCATCAGTTGTTGTTTTTACAAGGACTTTCCTATGACTACCATCCAGTCGGCATACTTCAACGTAATTATCATGAGGAAAGACATTTGAAAAGTAAATATTACCGGCAATCCAGTCGATTGTGAGACCACGAATTCCATTAGATCCAATGCCACTTTTAATGATTGATGTCAATTCTGTACCATTTGGTCGTATACGGAATATTCCATTCCATGTTCCACGATTAAACTCGACCCAATAAATCCAATTGCCTTGGTGATACATATCTACATGAAGAATATGATGTCCTACGCCAGTGATAGGTATCATAGCCTCTTTTAGATCTTTTAAACTGTAACCTCGTACTACATCTAATTGTGAAACAATTGCAAATGTGGTATACGGCTCACATCTAGAGTTTCCAACCATTCTGTACTCCATACTGCAGGCACATACATTTGTGACACCCGTAGATGGTAAACATAATTGTGCACAGCCTCCATTATTTGTCAAACAAGGATGTGGACCAGATACACGTTTTTTGTAAATTACTAGAGTTTTTAGAGTTGAATCGTTATCAACAATTGTCACTGGATTAAGATTATCCTTTGTCAAATCTACTCTTTCAATTTTATCATAAACTGGATCGAGATAGTAGAGTTTCATCTCATGCACTGCAAGTGCTTTCGGTAGATTTATGTTATTGATTTCTGATAAAATTGTTCGAATATTTTGACCTTCAGTAGTCATAACTTTGATGAAACTTGGATGTTGTGCACTAAAGTACACCATTTTGTTTGGAATATCAATGGCAAGAGCTTCGAGATTTGGTACATCATCAATAAGTACGAGAGAATTAGTTCCATCCATATTTACTCGACCGATTTTATGTGGTACACCAAAACCACCTTCATCAATCCAAAATACATGACCTTCGAGAGGATCAACACACATAGATTTAGGTCTTGCTACAGATGTTTTATTACCATTATTAGCTAGAACAATAGTTCGATATTTTGGTTCTCCATCAAGTTTAATGGCTTCGATATTTGCAGCGAATTTATTACCAATAAAAAGATTTCTTCCAAGCCAATCAAGTGCCATTGTCGATGGTGACCCAACAATTCCTGAGTCACCTTTGGGATTTGGAAATTCAGTCTTTTTGCCACCTTTAGCAGAAACTACATAAATTGTTCCATTTTCATTTTCACTATCTTTACTCTGTAACCAGTATATTTTGCGATCACGACGATCATAATCAATAACTGTTCCTCCTTCGATGCCAACAACAGGCGTAATAAAACCACTCTTACTTTCACCTGGGGTCAAAGACATATCTACAATTTGTGATCCTCGTAGCACCATTAAATAAGTCGTGTCATCTTCAACACAACCATAACCATTTGGTGCTAATTTAAATCCGACTAAACATTTGCAACTATAACCCTGTGGATTATTAGGTGATAAAAGACAAAGATGTTCACATTGAGCATTAGCACATGGATTAGTAGAAATTGGTTGAAGTACTGGATGATGAACGTGAATAGAAAGTGGTTGAGATATTAAATGTGATACAACTGTTTGATTACTACCGTAGAATTTATGAGCAGAAAGAACTCTATTTAATTGTCGATCTGTCCAATACATATTATCTTCAAATAAAGTTAATGAATGTGGATGTAATAAATAGTGTGAACTTGATAATACTTGGAATCGTTGGCTGCCATCGTAATTACAAGCGTCAATGTAATCAAGTTTGCTATCAGCAAAATAAATTCGTTTATTTGCAATATCAAGAGCTAAGCCATTTGGCCAGTAAATTTTTGTACTAATAATAGTTGAGCGATTTTTTCCATCCATTCCAACTCGTTCAATTCGTGGATTTTCACCCCAATCAGTCCAGAATAACCATCGTGCATCTGGACTTGGATCTAAACACATGCCACGTGGTTGTGTAATATTTTCTTTCACTAAAATCATTCGATTCTCACCAGTCTCTTTTGCTACTTCGATAGTATTCAGCTTTGAGTCTAACCAATATAAATTTTTACCAATCCAATCATAAGCTAATCCTTCCACTAAGTCCAATCCAGTTGAAATAACATCCTGAGGATCTCCACCTCTTTCTAATCGTGAGATTTTCTTCAATTTCATATCAGACCAGAAAATTGTTCCTGTGTGCATATTACTTGCAGTTGCCACAACGTTTTCAACATTTATAGGTACTCTTTCTAATGCTAGATCTTGCAAATCAGCAACAAGAATTGTATGTCTATTAGAAATAATTAAAAATGCTGCACTATGATTATATGCTTTACATGTATGATTATCACGTTCTAAAGTATAACCTTCAACACATGTACAAACATAACTGCCTTTAGTGTTAGTACAGACTTGTGAACATTTCCCTGGTGGATCACATTCATTAATATCTTGACATCTAAATCCATTAGCTTCAAGCTCTTCACCTGGAGGACAAGTACATTGAGCACCGTTTGGAGTTTGAATACATCCATTGCTGCATAAGCCACTTTGATGATTACATTCGGCTAAATCACAGCCTAATCCTTCATCTGCTCCATTAGGACAGTCTGGTTTTCCATCACAAACATTTGTAATATTGATACATCTGTTTGTTACGTTTGGACACATCCATTGTTCTGAACCACATTTAAATGGTGGTGGTCCACAAGCATGTCTTATTGGATCTTCATCTGAGCCATCACCGCAGTCATCTTTTCCATCACAAATATAAGTTTTAAATACACAAGTTCTATTTATTGGATTAACACATTCAACAAAACCTGCTTCACATTTGTGTGGTACTGAATAATCACATGATTCTGGTTCGTCTGATTTATCGTTGCAATCTGGTGTACGATCACAGTACCAACTTTTAGGGATACAACCTCCTGTACTTACACACTGGAATTGTGTATCAGGATTACATTGATCAGGTGTTAATGAAGGACATCCAACTTCATCGCTGCCATCGTTACAGTCTGCTAATCCATCACATTTATATGATTCAAGTACGCACGCCTTTTGATCAGCACATCTAAATTGAGAGCTCAAACAGGTTACTGGAGGACAATCGATTTCATCTTGATGATCAAAGCAATCATTATCGCCATCGCAAACCCACGATTGTGGAATACAGTGACCAGAACGTGGACATGTAAATTGGAAATATGAACAAGTTTTAGCTGCACAAAATTCACCTTCATCCGAGCTGTCACCACAATCGTTTTCTGAATCACATTTCCATGACGCTGGTATGCAGCGATTATTATCACAAGCAAATTGGCTAGCACTACAAGTGATATTTGGACATGCTACTTCATCACTATAATCACCACAGTCGTTCTCTGCATCACACCGAAAACTCATTCTTATGCATTTACCTGATCTACATTGGAATTCATTTGGACCACAAGTGGGTTTTGTACAATTTTGCATTTCGTCGCTGTTATCAAGACAATCATCATCACCATCACACACCCAAGATTGTGGTACACATCGTTGATTTGCACAAGTGAAATCCCATGGATTCTGGCATGCTTTTAACGGTGGTTCTGAGTCAGGATCTGATGAGCATGTTAAACCATTGGCCATTAATCGTTCACCATATGGACATCCGCATACTCTCATGAGTTTTTTACTTTCTGATAATTGACTTGTTATATTGGAGGGTATTCCGAAGCAAAGTTTCTCACAACCGCCATTATTTATCGAACATGGATGATCAGTGAGAGTTTGTATGTCACGACTAAATACTTTTACACCGTATAATCTATTAGTTGCTGGCTCTCTTACTAAGATATTTTCTTGCTCTCCAGTCTCTTTGTGTAACCGTATTATAGCATCTAATCGCCAATCAGTAATATACATCCACTCCTCATGTATAGCTATAGAGAATGGATGACGTATTAAACTTGGGCTTAGAGTTTTAACATCTCCACCATCAAGATTTGAATGTTGTACATGATCAAGTAAAGCATCGCACCAGTATAATCTGTCTTTAGTAAAGTCAATAGCTAAACCATTAGGCCATCCGAGTGTAAGATTTTTAAAGATCACTAGATTAGAGCCATCTGCGTGCGCACGACTGATATTTGCTGGTCGATCCCACTCCGAGAAAAATATATATCCATGATTAGGATGAATTACGATTGCTCGAGGTCTTTTCAAATTTTTCAATAATGTTCTGCGATAACTAAAGTTTCTTGTACTCAAAACATTTAAGGTGCCTTTACGTGAATCAATATAATATAAATTTTTAGCTGCCCAATCTACAGCCAGGCCTTCAACACCTTCATTCTGACTAGCTAAAACAATTTCTCGGCCTGTACCATTTTGATGTACTCGATAAATAACGTCTTGTAATACATCACTATAATAAATATATTGATCATGAGCATCGTAGTCTAGACCAACGAATCTTGCTCGTCTTGAGACAACAGGTAAAATAGCATCACTAAAACTATCCATTACTGGATCTAAAATACGGCCCTTGATAAAACGTTGTTGGGAATACATTAAAAATTCTTGGATAAGATTACAATTACGTAAATCTGTAGAGAGTCTCCAACCAATATTACAAGCACATCGATATCCTAAACCACTTTCTCGTCCACCAGCCGCAGTAACAATACACATGTGTTGGCATCCTCCGTTATTATTTCCACATGGATTTTTGACATTTTTCATACTTGATTGAACTAGTGGATGTAAAACTTTAATGCCTTTAGCATCTCTTACTTTAAACAAAGTTTGTATCGAGTAGTCTCCATCATTCTTATCAACGCTCATAACTGCTTGTTTTGTACTGTCAGTCCAGTAAACTCTATTCTCAAAGACTGACAGTCTTATTGGTGCTGGTACATGTAATCCACGAAGTACAATGACACGCTTATTACCCATGTAATCAGCGGTTTCAATATAGTCTAGAAGATAATCACACCAGTAAATTCTCTGGTCAATCGGATCAACTGCCACTCCAGAAACTTTATAAGCTGCGATTGATATTATAGCAGTAGCTGATGTACCATCCATATTAGCTCTAACTACTTGTTTACCATCTGCAATAAACATTAATCCAACAGTAGGATCAAGAGCTATATCTACAGGACTTGTGAGATTTGAGCTTAAGACAATTCCATGATAACGACCATCCAATTCAAATACATCGATTTTTTGTACCATTGAATCAACAACATATAATTTTCTTCCTATAAAATCTACTGCAAGAGAAATTGGTGACCATGATCCAGGAAGCGATATATCTATCTGTTGATAAATTATAGAACTTGACTCTAATGATTGAGAATAAATTTTTCTTGTCTTTAAATCACTCCAAAAAAGTAGATTATCTGAGAATAAATAGTCTACTCCACTGGCACTCGTTGTATTAACAATTAATCGTCGATTTTCTCCAGTTGCATACATTCGCCATAATGCTTTATCTTGTGCCACTAATAATTCTACAGCTGGCCAATGTTGATTACTTTGAACCCTACATTTATGACGCCCATGTAAAATATAACCAGGTGCACAACGGCATACGTATGAGCCATCTGTATTATCGCAGAGTTGTTCACAAAAACCCCATTCATCACATTCGTTTCTGTCCACACAAATTCCAGTATTATTCATTAAAATTCTACCTTCTGGACAATAACAAGTACCTCCAGTCAATGACGCATGACACTCGTACTGACAATTAAGACTGTGGCACATTCTTGTAGCTTTAAAAAAGAAAATATTATCAAAATTATTTAAACTGATAATCATGATATATCTTATTTCTTTGTTCAATCATTTTTTATTAAATACTTACAACAAGCAGTGCCTTCGTCTGACCCATCAGTACAATCTTGTTTTCCATCACAAACTTGTGATCTTTCAATACAAAGAGGTTTTCCTTCGGCACCTTTAGGGCACATAAATTTATTACCTGGACATACAGTCAATTTACATGATTTATCGTTTGAGTTTTCATGACAATTGGTATAATCATCACATGGATATCCTTTTGGAACACATAGTGAATTAGCGCATCTTATTTGATCACTTGTACAAGGCGGAAAATCTAATTGAAAAATATTAATGGATAAAAAATAGGTCAATAGACTCAAGACAAGTTTTATAAAAGAATGTAGACTCACTGCAGCCTTCTTCATCACTATTATCTCCACAGTCATCTTTATAATTACACCGGGCACTTTCATCAATACATTGTTGGGTTGAATTACAACGGAATTGATCCAACGTACAAGGTGGTTTTATATTTAGTGGGCAATTTTCTTCATCTCTTCCATTTCTACAATCAAGATAACCATCACATTTCTTTTCTTTACGTATACAAAGTTCAGGATTTGTACCACCACATCTAAAATCATCAGCTTGACATTTTAACACCGCTGGAAAAAAAAGTCATATTATATTAAATTATTATCTTTATTATCATTTACTGACGTTATTGGTATACAAGATAATTTAATTATATGTTATTCTTACGACAATTAGCTTCGTCAGATCCATCTATGCAATCCACTGTCATGTCACATTTTTGGTATTTTGGTATGCAATAAGTCTTATTGAAGATGTATTGACTACAGGAAAATTGCTGAGGTTCACATTCCGGTGGTGCTGAAATGGAAATAAATAAAATTTAATTAAATAAAAATAATTTCATTTTATTTTAAATGTTACTGTAATGGAAAATAAAAGAAAAAAATATTTGCAATATCATTTAAAGGTTTTGTTGAAAAAATAATATATGTTTTTATTAAATTCTAATATATTTATTCTTACGAAATTATGAAAGCTGTCATGGTTATTTTATGCAAAAAAATTTATATTTCAGCATACATAAATAATAAATAAATATAATAAAATACAGCATTCAAACTAATTAATAAGAAACAAAATAAAGACTTTAACTTTGGAATAAGAGTGTGTTATAAAGAACTTGATATATCAAAGAGAAATTTGACTTTGAATAGGTCGATCTAACGGTAATTATTACACTTAATGAATTTTAAGACTCATTAAATATATTACTAACGTATCATTTTAAGTACAACTTAAAAATCCTCATGATTCTCAAGTAACATTGAACAACAAAAAATTCTCTTTTTTTTTTTATCTCTACTTGAAGAAACAGTAAAAATGTTAATGTTATCATACTTATAACATTGCTCGTCAATAGTTGTTATCAGTAATTCAATGTCTACTTATTCATGATTTAGTCTAATCTTACATAATTGATTTGTAAAAATAAAACTCTGAGCCATAAAATGGATATTGGTGGAGAAAAAGTTGATGAAGTGAAGTAATTATAGGTAATAACTGTCAGCAAAAAAAATGAAATTAAAACAAAACATAATAAAATGAATAAACATTAAAATGTAGTCTACTTACGACATGATTGCATTTCATCCTCTCCATTTTCACAATCTTTTTGATAATTGCAAACCCACAGAGCAGGTATACACTTTCCGTCGGAACATCTAAACGAAGATCCATCACAAGTAGTTGTTAATCCAGCAATAGCTGTAAATACATTTTTTATTTAGAATTAATGATTTATAATTGACGGTCAATAATTGATGAATGAATAAAAGTTTCTCAGCAGTATAATTACATATAAGAAGTTTTTTAATCTCAGCAGTAATACCTATATTTATAAAAGATACATATATACATGACCAAGTCTCGATGATGCTTAGTTAATAAACGTATATGGCAGTGAAGAGCAGATAAGAGGGAAAGATAGAATAAAACATCAAAGTGAGAGTTTTGCTTTTCTTGTTATTTTACTTGAAGATAGTACACAGTATGAATGGTATATAGATGTAGTTTTATATACATATATAAATATGTACTGTAGAAGCAAATGTAAGCGTGATGAACAAGTGTGGTGGCGAGAGTAAAAGAGACAGAAAATACGGATGTTCCGTCTTCTAAAGTGCAGCGATCGTGCCAGGCCGTGCAGCCGTGTGGCCTGGTACCGCGGGAACGTTCGCCCGATGGCTATACATACAGATATTACCTACATCGTACACTTGCCATACTTTAACGAGCTTGATTTATCAATGTATAAAGGTCATATACAGTCTAAACTGTCAAATTGAATCTATTTGTAATTGTATATTATTCCTTTTTTTTTTTCTTTCCTTAAAAAAGACACTTGCTTTTGTTCGCTCTAGATATCAGCTAATTTGTAATTCGTATTCTGGCTTCTCACCTGAATTCCCAGAAAAAAAATTCTATACTTTCACCGTTAGAAAATAATGTCATTTAAATGACTTCAATTATCATCAACTGAATCCAATGGATACAGAAATACTAGTAAGAAGATTTGGACAAGCTTTAGCTTTCTCAACTATCACCATCAGATGATGTTGATTAACGTATTTTTTATCAAGAAAAATCAACCATGTGAATATCTTTAGCCAGTATAATACAGTAAGAAGTTCATTATCACTTAACTATACATGAATATGAACAAAGTTTAACGCAGACACTTGTTGCGTGGGTCAAGGTCATATTGAATGTCTTGAAAAGATCGTTATGCACATGCTTTATCGACGTCTGCAACAGGTGAAGTAAATCTGCTGGTGCTATTGGTGGGAGGTACTTTTTCAGCTATATCACGTCTTATTTAAATTATGTTGACATCTATTGTTGCTATAACAAATAAATGGTGTTAATACTTTATCAAGTGACTATTTATTTGCTCAATATAAATATTGAAGGTTAAAAAAACCTGGTTTAGTTTATTCTGTATAAGATGTGTGTCATATATTATTAATATGAATCAAAGGGTATTGATATGCATGTATGTATCCATAGGCTCACCGGAGGAAAGCGTAATCGGACGGGACCATTGCGGGAAGCCATCAGGGTTCCGCTATTCGTTCGCGGCCGCTAGTACGAGGTCAATGAACTGAGCTTGGTCCGCCTACCTTCCCAACTACGTGCCTACGTATGCTTTACCTGTATACTTGTCGGGTGCCAGCAAGCAACTTGTCTTTCAAATCCCACTCGCTTTAATGCCCTTCTTTTTTTTTATTTCGACTGACCTGCAGTGGAAATCCCGTAATATTTTTTGTTTATTTCATCTTTTTGTTCTATTTTTTATTAATATGTTTTTCCAATAATAGCTAGCCTAATTAGAGTTGTTATTGATGAAAAGATGTAAAAAATTATTGGTTGTCCAACATTCAGAAGTGATGATCTGGTGAGATCTAATGGTGGATAGGAAGTTGCCATAAGTCATTAAAATAGCAAAAATAAATATTGGCGGAAATAATATAATGTTATTGTAGATTAAATAATGCAGATATTAGCTAGCTAACATTGATGTTATTATTTTTGTGATAAAATCAATTTTTTCTGTATTGAAAACATGTAAGAATTGCATAACATTCGACACATGCAATATGATAGAGATGATGATATGATGATTATAATTGATACGAAAATGATGGTAAAATTATGTTAATCAATAATAGCAAAATCAAGTTCCGGTGATTGGCCGTCAAGTCGGGTCATTGCTTCACGCTCGGGTGTGTCACGGTCAACACTAGATAATCATTTTACCATGTGTGTTTATTTATTTAATTTTTTATTTTCACAAATTTACGTATTATTGAAGTTATATTATTTATTTTAGTCAATAATTCATTCATTTTTGTTGAATATTATCACTCAAGGATAACATGTATCAGAAGCGAAAACAAATTACTTTGATTATTTAATGAAAATTATGAAAAAAAATTTTTTTTAATAACTTTATCTTCATGTGCATGACTATATGTATATGTATAAAAATATAAAAAGTGAAAGATAAAAGTATTAAAAATGTTAATTTATTAAAAGAGTCGGTATTCAAGTAATAATGAATACATGATAAATATATATATATGGTCTTTTACAAAAAAGACAACAAAAGAATCATGGATAAAAATAATCAAATTTTCCATTTAAATACTAAAACAACTGATGATAAATAAAATGTTATTTTTACTAAATTCTATGAAATTTTTTTTAGAAAAATCTTAAAAATAAATTTAACTAAATTTCTTATCATTTAAATAATTGCTCATAAATTTCACCAAGCTATCATTGTAGTTGTATACAATAATTTGTGTTATATTTATTTGAAAGTAACGGTATCAACACTTTGTGTGTTTATTTTGTTTTGTCACCATCACCACTAAAATCGGTATAAAGTTAATGATAAATATTCAAGTGCATTACTATGATTAAAGTTAATCAAAAATTAATTGCATAAATAAATAGAATAATTGTAAATGTCTGAAATAAAATTGAATATAAGAATAAACCATACTTGAACCATTAACAGCTTCTGCCAAATGTGTATGTGTAAATGTAATAAGAATAACAGTAAATAACAAAACTTCATTAATGGATATTCTACGACGAAATCGCGCACCACGACTTCGAAAATCGAGGAGACCGGATGTGATAACCGGCAGCATTTCAGCTACCGGCATCGTGTAATCAAAATACATACACTTTAAATACACGTATTGTCTCTCAACTAAAATAAATATTCAAAGTCTTTATTTGAATGTTCAGTAATTATTACTAATTCACTTCTTATTTAACAATAATTATCAACGATTGATTGTTAATATTCACTCATAAAACTTGAACTTTTGATTTTTTCTTTTAAATCACCAATAAACAATAATGTGGTATACCTCAATGCAATGTAAGATTGAAAAAGAATCAAGGAGAAAAACTTAAAATAATAACACAATTGATGGATAGTATAAAACTAAATTAAAAGAAAAATAAAACAAAATGAAAATAAAAAAAATTTAGTGTCTTATATGACAATAGGCACAAAAGCGTAGAGTTTAATCCATGGTCTATTGACAAATACGATACAAATCCGATCGCGGTCACTGGGCGACTGGCAACAAGTCTCGTATACTATACCAGTGTACAGAAAACGATGGTAATCGTTTCTGTGGTACACAGGATTCATCGCGACATCCAACGACATCCACGCTGGCACCTCTTCTCAACCAATCCCTTACCTCATTTTAAACCCCACCATTGTTTTCACAATAGTATGCAGTTAGGTATTCAATGTGTATGTGAAAGTTTGTAAGGCCCATGGGCCTGTCATGATTTTTGTCTGGTCCACTAGCTCATCTTTCCTTCATTCGGTATCATTTTCAACGTTTTTTTATTACTTTTTTCGTCTATCCCTTGTTACCTATTCTCTAAAAATGGAGTCGGCTTGATTTACTGACCTTTATATGATACATTGTTTTTTTCCTCAGGAAAAAAGGATTCACCTACAAGTTATTAAAAAATAATTCCAATAAAAATATTATTTTTTACGTATTATATATTATTATATCGTATGGACACGTCCATTAGTTTGATCTAATTACGATAAAAAAAGACGAATTATATAATTAAAAATGGGAATAATTACATTCCCCTACTTACTATTTTTAATGCAATCAGGTGATTGTCAAATTATTCAGCGCAAGCATTCATTTCTACATGGAAAAAAACCTTTAATTTCCGTGGTTAATTTTTTGTTTCTTCAAAGAAAATTCATACCTTTCTTGTCATATCTCAGTTGTATCAGATATTTATATTATGTGACAACTAATTCGTCATCATGGAGCATTGAAAACATGTATTGTTATGGTGAATTTCATTGAATCAATGGAATACATAAATTCTACGAAAAAAAGATTGAAAGGAAAGATGAAAATGATTATTGTCCTGAATATCCTGAAGTATAGTATTATAGTATAGTTTGTACCCTGTTGTTCATAATCCCGTGTGCTCGTGAGATCGCTTACGTCTTACAATCCGTGGTGTGCACACGATGCCTGCCGCCTGGTACGGCCAGGTACCGAATGCCACAAGGTCATTCTAAAGCGCACAGAGAACGCAGCGAGATCGCCGCGCCTTCCATCGAGACTATAATGTAACCATCAACAAATATGTCTTGTGAGATACTGGTAAGTATTCATATACCTGCAATCTGCATTCTGCAAATACTTGACTACAAAAATCAGTCTGACTTGATTACAATTCTATTATGCAGCTTTCTTTATAATATGTAATAGGTGAATCCTTTTGTGTAGGAATGAATTAAACACATTCGTTTATTCGCCGTAAAGGCCTAGAATTATAATGTTATAAATGTTATTATATTAAGAATAAATTAGAAATTAATAGACAAAAGAAATTAATGACTTAAAAGGAATCATATATACATATATACTTTTATGATAGGGTAAACAAAAAATATTTACGTCATTGTGAATGGTACGCGCAGGTATTTTGAAAACATTTGCGTTGCATAGAATATAATTTGGTTATCTTCTCGACACTTCTTTGTTGTAACCAGTTACCCAATCCTTGAAAAAAAAATTGTTGAATAAGATTATGGCAAACTGTATTGTCTAAATTAGTTCATAATTTGTGAAAATTTCATACTATAATTGTCGTGTAATTTATGACGATGTAGTAAGAAAATGTTTTATTATAAAAATCATTGAAAACTCTAGTCGGTTTTATAATAAAGAAAGCCGTCATAATATCAGTATTGTATGTATTAATCATTTTATGCATGGTAATAAAATGTTATTAAAATAAATGCTATGTAATAAATCATTGTTAATTTGAAATTACGTACACATTTTGCGCAAACTGTTTGGCCGACGGCTTGATAAAAAAAATATGTTTGGGTAAATTGAAGTCGACTAGGGGGCGCTGAATATAGAATTTTTTCTCGATAGAGGGCACTGCACACAACATTTTTGAATTTGCGCGCTAATTTTCTTCGATATATTTCACAAAGTATCGATTGTTTGATCGATACTATCGATACATATAAATATCGATTTCATATTAAAAGCAGCAGTTGTTTATTATTCTGTGATCAACACACGTGTGTAATAATTAGGTTAGGCATTTGTAAAATACCTAGTCTCTCTATTGTGTATAATACATATTTAAAATTATGTTATTTTACTTAAATAGTGATTCATTTTAAGTAATTAATCATTTAATTTTGATTTATTGATTGTTATTAATTGATTATCGATTCAAAATGGTAAAAAAGAGGTATAATTCTCGAGGTCGGAGTAATCCAACCATAGAAATTGACAATTCATCTTCAAAAAAGGTATTGCACATTAATTATATTTTCTTTTACATACTGGATTAACTTGATTTTAAAATTATTTTAGGTTAAAGTTGATATCGTACACAAAAAGGATGATTTCGATGAATCAAATGCTTTCGTTCTTCCTAGTGAAAAACGAAAAACCAAAATTGTAAATAAAAAAGAATCGTCAGTTCGTTTATTGTCTAAAAAACGAAGGAAAGAGTTGGAAAAAGTTTTAGAAAAGAAACAAAAAAAGTTACGGGTAAAGTTTTTTTATTTTATTCATTACAATCAATATAGAGTTTAAATAAATTAAATATTTTTATTAATAAATAATTTTTCTGATATTTATTAGAGAGCAGCTTTATTAGATGATTTAATGAAAGTACAAGCTTCTGCTGATGAACTCAAACAGTATACATCAATAACAGAAATTCAAACAAAAGGATTAAAACGACTTTTTCAAGAGAGTCAAAATCCTGAATCTAAAAAAAAAGTGAAAAAATATGATGATGATGATGCGACAGATGATGTTGTAAATTCCATTAAAGGAAGTGGAAAACAACGCTTAGCAATTCTTGAAGAAGAGAAAATGAAGAATAATATTAATGATCCTAATGTTGTTGGTTTCGAGGTATTTAAAATTTTTTTCAATTGATTCTTTATTACTTTTTCCTGATCTTTCTTTTTCATGTAAAAAATTTCCATTAATTTTTTTTTTTTTTTATATTTATTGCACGATAATAAGTCTGGAATTTATTGATTATAAATAATCTCTCAAATGATCTATGGGAATTCTATAATAGTTCAATTATTACATGAATTATAGGAGTCAAGTGAAAGTGACATGGAGACCACTGATGATGACATTGGAGATAATGAAGATATTACAGAGAAACAGATATCACAGAATACTGGTCCAAGCATTGAACAGGATAAAGAACAAGAAAAGAACTCGATTATTACGACTGATAAACCTGTTGACGTTGAAAAAAAATCGAATAAACTCAGACGACAAATTGTTATTACTGATGAAGATCGTAAGCCTGCAGTTTTCGTTCTAGTGAATCGTAAACCTGAAATTCAAGAAGCTCGATTAAAATTACCTGTACTTGCTGAAGAACAAAGCATTGTAGAAGCAATAAATGAGAATTCCATAGTAATAATAACTGGAGAAACTGGGAGTGGTAAGACAACTCAAGTACCTCAGTTTTTATATGAGGCAGGGTATGCAAAAGATAAAATGATTGGAATTACTGAACCTAGAAGAGTAGCTGCAATGTCTATGAGCAAACGCGTCGCAGAGGAAATGAATTTATCGGCTAACGAGGTTTCGTATTTAATTAGATTTGAGGGTAATGCAACGCCGGATACGAAAATTAAATTTATGACTGATGGAGTTTTATTGAAAGAAATTCAAAGTGACTTTTTATTAACTAAGTATTCGGTAATAATTTTAGATGAAGCTCACGAACGTAGTGTTTATACTGATATTCTTATTGGTTTATTATCAAGAATTGTTCCTCTTCGAATTAAGAAGAAAAATCCTCTTAAATTAATTATTATGTCAGCTACATTACGAGTTGATGACTTTATTGATAATCCTAGACTTTTTAAAACTCAACCTCCAGTAATTAAAGTGGATTCACGGCAATTTCCTGTAACGATACATTTTAATAAAAGAACCAGTGAAAATTATGTCTTAGATTCAATTAAAAAAGCTGTTAAAATTCACACAAGATTACCTGATGGTGGGATTCTAATTTTTCTTACTGGACAACACGAGGTGAATACAGTTGTACAAAAACTTCGCAAAAGATTTCCATATAGAAAGGCTCAATGGATGAAAGTTTCCGACAAGTCAAAGTCTCAAGATAATAAGAAAGAAGTAAAAAAGAATAAAGAAGTGAAAAAAAGTAAAGAGGAAAAAGATGACGAGAGAGATGAAGAAGATGAAGAAGAATTAAATGCTCGAAATGCTATTCGTCGATTGAAAAACAAAAAAAAACTTCAAGAAATACAATTACCAAATATTGATCTTGATATTTATTCAGCTGTTCCAATGGATGATACTCAACAGGACTTATTAAAAGCTGGAGAAAACGATCCGAATGATGAGGAGTTATTAGATGAAAATGAAGATGATGATGAAGATATTTTAGAAATAGAAGGGTCATCAACTTCTCAACCGATGTGGGTATTACCACTTTATTCACTTCTTCCTGCTCATAAACAGGCTAAAGTCTTTGAAGAAGTACCTGAAGGATGTCGATTATGTGTAGTATCAACAAATGTTGCTGAAACTTCATTAACAATTCCAGATATTAAATATGTTATTGATAGTGGTCGATGTAAAACTCGTTTGTATGATAAATTTACTGGAGTAAGTACGTATAGAGTTACTTATACAAGTCAAGCTTCTGCTAATCAACGAGCTGGAAGAGCCGGAAGAACAGGACCTGGTCACTGCTATAGACTTTATTCTTCAGCAGTCTTTAATGATGAGTTTGAAAAGTTTTCTGAGCCAGAAATCAGACGGAAACCTGTAGATGATCTCTTATTACAGATGAAAGTCATGAATATTCACAAAGTTGTAAATTTCCCATTCCCTACGCCCCCTGATATTATCCAGTTAAAGTCAGCGGAAAAACGACTCTGTATTTTAGGAGCTTTAGAACAACCATCAGTACAAGATCAAGAAACTTTCAATGCTAAAGTTACACCTCTGGGCTACAGTATTTCAGCATTTCCAGTAGCTCCACGTTTCGGAAAAATGTTAACGTTATCTCACCAATATAATCTCATAAACTACACAATTTGTATGGTATCAGCATTATCAGTTCAAGAAGTACTGATAGAAAATCTTGGATCTGAAGGAGAAGCATTGAAAAAATGGCTACAAATTCGAAAAAGTTGGGCAGGAGTTGGAAATAGTTTACTTTTAGGTGATGTGATGGTTCTTATTCGAGCTGTGGGAGCAGCAGAATACGCAGGAAGTAAAGGGAAAATTTTAAAATTCTGTGAAGAAAATGGATTAAGACATAAAGCTATTGTTGAAATTAGAAAACTTCGGCAGCAATTAGCAAATGAAATTGCTTTAAATATTCCTAAATTAGACTTGAGTATTGATCCCAATATGTCTCCTCCAACGGACACAGAAACAAGATTACTACGGCAAATAATTCTTGCTGGTATGGCTGATCAGGTAGCGAAAAAAATAGATCCTGACGAAATAAAAGAAGATCAAGATAAAGTCAAGTGGAAACATGCTTACAGAGCATTGGAAATGGAGGATCCTGTTTTTATGCATTCATCATGTGTTTTGAGGCATACAAGTCCAGAGTGGGTTGTTTATCAAGAAATTTATGAAACGAATAAGATGTATATGAGAGGAATAACAGCAATTGAACCTGAATGGTTACCAAAGTTTTCTCCATCCTTGTGTACCATGAGTGAACCAGTAGATGATCCACCACCAAGATATGACAGAGAGTTGGATAAAGTTTTTTGTCATATGCGTGGAACATTTGGTCGAGGAGGATGGGAACTGCCACTAATGGAGTTAGAGTTTCCAGCTAATTCTGATGGCATTCGATGGTTTGCACGCTTTTTCCTTGAAGGCGAAGTGTGTCCGAAATTAAAACGTTTTGTTCCATCATTACTATCTACGACATCCAGTATAAATAAATCCTGGGCAAAGTAATAATTTAATATTACTATTATAGATTACTTAGAAAATATAAAGGATGTTTAGGCATTAATGTTTATTGTATGATTTATAATTTTAGGCTGGTACCTCGAACAGAAACAATTGTTAAAACTTTATTAATGAAGGAAGTGATGTCAAAGGAAAAACTATTAGAAATTTGGCAAGTTGATAAAAAATGTAAGCATTAATAAATTTTTGATTTTTATCTATTACGCACATTTTACAATCAATTACATATCATTTATAACTGTTTTTAATTAATTGGTACTTTCATTTTTTACAGTTCTCTTAAATGCCTATCAAAAATGGTTGCCTGAATCTGCACACAATGATGTGGCACTACTTTGGCCTCCTGTATAGACTAAATGGAAGATAAGTTATTCGTAAGATTCTACTTATTGCTTCTAAAGAGTAAGTGATTATTTTTTAAGCATGAATTATTTATAAATAGCAATTATTTTATAAATAAAATTGAAATAACATTTAAATCGATTTATAAAATGTTAATATATTAAAATCTTTGTCAATAAATAATAAGTGTTTATGATGTATTATTGTTAGTATAGTCTTATATACTATTTTTAATATTAGTCTTTGAATAATTTAAAATAAAACTGATTTTTTAATAGAAAATCATATTGGCGTTGATGCAATTAGCGACAAGTTATTACGTAAATACTAATCTATCACGAACACGACTGGTGATTTGCACGAAAGTTAACATCCATTTAATATTCCTCTCTATTGATTATTATTTTTCCTTTGTTATTGATGAAAACAGTTTGACGATAACATTTAATATAAATTATGAAATGTTGTTGATATTTAAATTACTCAGCTTTCAATGTTTTTCGTTCTTTCTTCTTGATAGGATTATTTTTACACGTCTTGTAAACATTATTTAAGTCAAATGACGCTTTGATATTATCCTGAAAATATCAATGAAGTTATCTTTATAGTTAGAATCACGACTTTTATATCGTTTAATTGATCATATGATATCTAATTACACTTACTAAGGAAAAAAGAAACTTGACAAGTTTCCCTTTACTATCAGCGTATGGCCGTCGTTCGACTTCTTTACCATTTTTAAAGAGAATCAATGTAGGCAATTGTTTGCTAGTACTAGAATCACTAACATGGTATTTTGCTGCAGCATCTGGATGTCTTCCAACATCCACTTTGCCGAATTTTAAATTGTCTAAAGCATATCTATAAGAAATAACGGTTATTGTAGATAAAATAATTATTTTAATATAAAATCTGTTTGATAACAAAAATAGATAATTTATAGATATTTACTCAGCTGAAAGTTGAGAGAATATAGGTGCAAAATTGACACATGCTGGATTCCAAACTGCGTAGAAAGCAACTAGCCAAACAACCCGTGTATCTCTTTGTAATTCTTCATCTAGACCATTTGCTCCTCTTAGATAAATTACATTCTCAGGACCTTGATATGTGGGTTCTGGCAGAAGTAGTCCACAAACTTTAAGAAATTATCATAAATTATTACAATACATGTTTTATGAATCAACATACATGTTCTTATTATACTTAGCATAAATTTTATATTTGTTATGCTAACAATTAATAGCCGAATAATTTTTTATATAAAATTCAAAATTTATTCAACATCCATTAATATGTTAAAGAAATTTTTCGTTCTTTTTACTAGGTGAAGGAAAAAGCAATGAAATTAATAGATTCCTTCTAAATCAATAGAATGAATAGATGAATAATATCAGGGAAAATCTAGAATAATCTCTGAAAGACCATAAAAGATCTTCAAAAATGAAATGCATTAAGATAAAAATAATTTCTTAATATTGATTTTTCTCATTGCTCATGCAATGCTATTAATCTTCAGAGGTTTACGAGAATTGAGTAAGCACTCGTTGTGAAGAAATACATTAGATGTAGACTTACAAAAAATATCAAGGCACGATAATCTATTATTCAATGAATATGACGGTTATAAGCTTATTGTCTGTAAATAATTAGATTATTTTACTTTTAAGAAATTAGCGAAATAATTTCTTTTTTATGGTTGAAGAACAAATAAATGTGTTATCAATCGCAGTCAATGCTTAGAATAACCGTGTAGATAATTATAGTTAAATGAGTTTTGATTATTCTTAAAATTAATTCAACTACTTACGGATAAAAATAATGCCAAATAAAATGCCCATTCTGACATCAGCATAAAACCATAAAATAAGGTTTGCAATTTTAGTGTACACAAAACTAGAAGTTAAATAATTTATCATTGTAACACTTCCAGTCTTTCGAGTCCTTATCATAATTACAATCATTAAGAAGAAGAGAATCTCAGTTTCTCTCTGAAAATTGGAAAAGGTTTAAAATTAATTTATGATTTGTAAAAAGTTTATATAATGTGTACTAATAACCTCTACAAAGCTTACCCCATTCAATTCACATTCAGATCCTGGAAAAATGTATGGACAAATAATAGGAACTTGCTTAGCAATAATGTATGAAAGACTCAAAAGAATATTAATTAAATAATAGGGTTTAAATAATAATTTAAGATCTGTCTTAAACGACATGTTGACAATTTTCTTGTCCACGTAGAAAAATGAGCTCAATAAGACCACCCAAGTTGATCTCAAAAATACTGAATGGACGAAAAAGTTTTATTTATAATCATAAATTAGAATATTTCTTCATCAAATACTTATTAAACACATTTGTTTATTCACAAGTTATTTTTTTATGAACAAATACACCTTTGACGGATATAATAATCACTTTTATTTATTTTTAACACTGTCGGTATAGCAGATCGCAGGAGTTAATTTTTAGTTTTGTGTCCAGATGTCGCTACCAGTTGATTCTGAAATTCCCAGAAGCGATTCGCCGTTGTTTTTTCGAGAATCGGCGGCATCATTTTCACTTTTCAGACGCGTCACGTTCGCTCTCTAATGTCTTCGCGAAATATATCTTTTTTCCGAAATAAATTCTTTTAATATTACGAACAAATGTAACAAAAATGTAATAGCAATTGCATTGACTCATTATCTGCACGTTTAATGCATTGATGCATTTCTAATCAATGGATGTTTCTTTCAAATAAGATATCAATGTCGGTGTAAGTACGAAGTTTAATGATAAAACGGGCTATATTTACTGTGCATATTAATCAATGATTGCTCATGATAGAGTTCTTTAGAACTGATTTATCTCAAATTTATCATTTTTTATAATGTCATTTAGTATGGACGATTTTATCATATTTCTGTAATGTAATATATCACGAAATATTAATTGCATGCAAATGTAATTTCTTCTTGGAAAATTATTCCAAAAAAAAAGATGATAGGTACACTAAATATATTATCATTTATGTTAAACATGATTAAATAAGGCAGTCTATCAATAAATATTATATGAATACTCTCAATAGGTATTTAATGTATAATTAGTCCTAAACATTTACATAAAAATGCGAATACATATTTTTCGTTGCTATTAATTAAAATCTATTCTCCATTTTTCATAGAATAATTATTTACAATAGATATGGAGTAACTAGATTTCTTTTATGTTCTAAGTTCTTGATAATTTTTTTTAGATACAATGAAAGGCTAACAAAAAGACTAGCTACAACTTCTTTGCTACCGTGTTGACCAGTCTATTGCAACCCTCTAATTCAAGTATCTATTGATGTGGGTTGAAGCATGTGTAGAATAAGTTTATAGAAGTTGGGGAATGCTTGAGATGATCGATTTCTCCAAAGAATTAATAGAATTCTTTTTCTCCCTTACATGCTTGGTATTGATGATTGAAAATTTCTATGTAAAAAATAAAAAATTGAATGATTACATGGATGCTAAATATATTATTTGATATCATTAGATTTATTATAAGGAAGAAAGAAATCTGTTAAAGAAAAGGAACCTGTTAAAGAAAAGGAACAATGATGAGAAACATGAACGATTGACCACGTGCATTTGTTATGGAAGAATTACTCAAAATGGGTAAAATGACTCAATCGCTAGTGATTCAGCTGAAAATAAAACTTACTTTTATAAATACAGCAATAAAAAGAATGATATCAATTTCAAACTTTAATGGCAATAATGCAAAAATAACATACATTATTGATTTCTTTTATTTCAAATTATAATTTCAAATCGAAATTGCTGATAATTTATTATAACTTGATAGGAAATCAATTACATAACAATTAATTGTTCTAGAAATAATGGAAGTTCTGAAATCAATAGCTTTTATTACATTATTCACATCATGTTATTCAATTTATTTAATTAAATAACATAAAATTGCAAAAATATTCATTGATATTACAGTTGAATAAATAAATTGTAAGAATAATCGTAAAAAATTATCTTTAAATTACATTTCTCAGTGTCGTAATGAAATTTTATTCAAAATCGATTGAAAAGAAATGAACTTATCTGAAATATCTATCAGTGACACGATAATGAAATATTTCAAAGAACTTCACATATATCTTGGACATGAATATTTTATATTATTCACTAACTTTTTGCTTTTATTTTCAATTTAGGAGATCGAATGAAATCAGTTGCTGTCGGAGTACTGCCTGCTTTTTTAGCTGATTGGATTGCTGTTCGGATTGCGGCAAATGATGTTGAAGAACAAGAAGTAATAACTGTGAAGAATTCGTTGCCACTAATAAATGAATATTAATAAGTCTTATTGATATTTCGTGCACCGGTAGACTTGCAGATGTTGCATACTGTGTAACAGTAAGAGGTATTTTCATTTTTTTTTACATTCATAATTTTTTTAAGTTTATCATTATTACTGTTTATGAGTACTCCAACAAAACAATCACTTAGAATTAATAAACTTTAATTACTTTTTAGAGTATGGTGGTTGAATGACTATTTGTCAATACTTCCTTGGAAACCAATTCTCTTCTGGTTACGATCTTGTATCGAATTTTTATGACGAATGAACCAACTATAACGAAAACAAGCTCTACCAGCTCCTCAGCTTTGCAGGTACGGTAAATTAAGCAATTCGCATGCCAAACCAATATTCATGACATTTGGATCAATAATTTTTTTCTTATCGTCTTTGACTTTTCACTTTGATCCATAATGATTACTTTTTTTATAACAATTATTTTGTGATCTGGTTATGAAAGTAAGAGATATTTATTTTCCAGTTTCGAGGTCTTATGGTATATCAACTCGTTATTGTGTTATATTTGAATCTTATGCATAAAAAAATTTAGTCAATCAATACATTTAACATCGTAGCAATCGTCTAAAGTGCAGTGTTTCAGCAACCCATTGTTCTTATCTCGTTCATTATTCGAATTACAGCCATAGAATTCTACTGAGATTTCTATATGCTTATTTGAATACAATCACGATGATTTTTCAACACTTTTTACAGTGATGAACGTTATGGTTTTTATTTAAAGGTCCATGTAGGGTATATGCTGTTCAAAACATTTGACCTACATTTTTTTAATCAAGCATTAGGTATTTTCTTATAGAAAAATAAGTAGTAAGTTGTAGCATTTATTAAAGATAGATTTGATGAAGGAATGATAAGATTTAAGTCTGATAAAATATCAAGCTTCTATTTTTTGAGACCTTTTAAATCCATGTAATAAATCTTTCAAATTTAATTGAAGACTCCGGTGCCAAAATGACGTTAATTGTAAAATATGTTTCAAAAATTTCACTTTAATATATATTTAACAGACATTTATCAAAGATATTTACTGTAAAGTTTCTTATAACATTTAAAATTTTAATTGGGACAACATTATTGATCCACCTTTAATTATTAAAAATACAAATGCTCTCTAATGTTGACCTATAAACTAGCTTGATATTTTTATTTTATTACTACTATAAATGTAATAGAAGTAATTATATAAGTCATTTAAATGTAGTATAAATTATCAGACTTAAATTTGGTTAATTATTGAAGAAAAGACTTCTAGAATCTTCGACCTGTTGTTTCTGTGATCAGTTGACCCGACTTCCTTTTAGGGATCGTCGTATTAATAGGAAGTATCCTTGTAACTGCGCTTGTCTGCTTTCATTGGTATCAGACATTGGATTGTGTGTTGTTGATCATCACTCTCATGTATTTCTGGCTTCCAGTGTGAAAACGATTGCAAATAAAAATCTTGGCCACTTGTTCACTCACTTTGGTATAGTGGTGGTGGTGTTACCAGTTTAGTGGGAACTTGTCGGAGATTTTAAAAGAGATCGCCGAAGAAAAATGTACAACCCTGTTTTTTGCCATTCGTTAGAGGTGTAAAGAAACAAGAATCAGTCTCAGCTTGAAATTACGTTGTAGTTATTCGCGGCTTCCAGTTCATTTAAAGGTCTTCAAGATCTACAGCATCTAGAGAGTTGTCGATTAAGAAAAAATTAATCATTTTTCTCAACATGAGCTAACTTATTCCTTAATTAAATATTGATAGAGTTAATTCTATTTTATAAGAATGCATTACAATAATAATAAATTTAATTTTAGCAATAAAAGTGTCATAGACAAAATAACTCTTAAAGAAATGAAAACTTTAGAAGGTTGATGCTGCTTTTTATGCATGATGTGCAATGAAACTGACAAGGTTGAACTTGCCCCTCAAGAAGTATGTAGGAATTGAATCTCTGTGATGTAATACAAGATACATTATCATCATCCTAGACAAAATGAATCTTTTTTTCTTAGCATAATGAGAATCTGTGAGTGACGATGGCAAATTAAAGTCCTTGAAGAAAAGTAGCTCAAGTTCAATGGTGGTGTTTATTGTCATTGAATGTAAATCTCTGTTAGAGTCAACGGTACTTGTAAAGTGTCAAGACAGTCTTTTAAGTCTTTTGAAACAATAATTAATTAACAATATACCAGCACTTTATTTCAAGAAATATCACAACCTAGGTTAAATAAATTTACCAATTTATTTACTTAATTTACTTCTATATCTGTCTTCATTTTTTAATCACATTCAATTAATTTCAAGTTCTTAAAATACTTTTATATTTTATAGACTTTTTATTAGTGACCTTATTCTATTATTTTCTTTTTTTATTATCCAATCTTTTTCTTTATTTACCAACAGAGCTCTTACATTAGAAGTTTGCTATAAAATAAGTTGAAAACTTATGAGCAAACCTACTAGTTAGTTTTCGTTGTTTTTAAAAAAGATAAATTTATAGATCTTAGATTCCACAATAATACCACCGATTTGTTGTACTAGGCTTTAAGATTAACATGGTGACACTGATTCGAAGACAAATGGTTTAAAGTCTAGCAAATTTTTTCTCGTACAAAAACAGTCTTTCAATCTTCTAGTGATATATACCAGTGAACGTAGCTTTCTATGGAAGGTCTATCAATATTCGTACATGCTCAAACATATATACCTAGCCGTTTAATCACCAATCAGTAGTAAAAGTAATTCACCAATCCCTGTACGTCTATCGCAGTAACGCGAATCGGTATATCTTGTGGTCAGTGGTGCGTGCACGTATATTCTTACATCTTGAAGAGGACAGAAACGCATAGGCTCGAAGTTAAGACTTTATAGACCTCTCAACAACGTAGGCAGGAGTTTGTTGCGCGTGATATTAGGGAAAAGTAGTGAAATAAGAGAAAAGGACACAGGGAAGTCATTAATCGACTTGGAATGTGGAACGAGTTGGAATTTAAGAAAAAAACAAAAAGAGACAGACAGACAGGACAATGGGACCAGGCGGTGGTCCTCGAGCTTCTGCCCACGCGCTCTTAAATGGCTTTTAAGTTCCGTCAGACGTCTATTAAATCTTGTGACTTGAATTGTCCCGGATACGTCAACAGTAGCAATACCTAACATTTAGTAACGTCTTTTATCTCCCTGTTCTCTTCTATGCACGTGCGCATTATCAAATGAATATGTTTGACTTAATACTTACATTAAACTTTCATTAGCCACTGAATAAACTTCATATTTTCTGATGCAAGGGATCATTTGAAACTAGCTAATTTATCTCATGTGGTAAATAATTTGTACAAATATTTGTCATGCTTTATTTAATTAAAGAGTACTTTTTTTTTTTAAATATATTGTAACATTTCAACTAATTGGCTGTTTGGAAAACATGATTTAATCATTTTGACCTGAAGTGGAACTTTATATTTGATGATGTCTATGAATGGAGTCAATAGACTCTAAAGATTATATTTAAAGAAATCAATGAGTGAAAAGGAATCAAAGTTTATTGTAAGTTAATGACCATATTTATAAGCAATGTAAAAATATTTTATAATATTTCATAACACAAATAATGAGCACTATGATGCAATGTATTATCAGTTCAGGAGAGAAGTTTAGAAAAAATATTAGAAATTTTTGTAAAGTATTTAAGATAATTTTATCAAATAAGTAAATCATTCTGCATAAGACAGATCATTTATTCTATTCAAATTTATCATAAATTAATGTTAAAATTGCAAAATACTGTTCAAAACAATATCTGCATAATGAGCTTCTTTGAAATTTCAAACGTTACCTAAAATGTTAAAATATGAAAACAATTAAAATGTACATTAATTGATCTTTATTACAAAGTCTGTGTAATTAAAAATTAATTTTATACAATAGAACTGAACAAGAGAGATTTCAATGAAGCTAAGAGAATTATTACTGTCTATATTAATGTTCATTTCCGCTTGTCATTTCCAGATGATTGATGGCATCAACGTGACGTGTCGAAGTATCAATTAATTGTTCTCCAGCCTGGTGAGTTGTTTCAAGACATTCAGCTTTATTTTGATTCGGCTTTAATTCCTATTTATATCGTTCGTTTAATGGATAATTTACGTTGGCGCAATTTAATGGCAAATCTAGACATATTGCACATAAAATGAGACCATGATGTAGCTCCTCTGTGTCCTCGATCACGACGGGGTGTCGAGTCTTACCACGATTAACTTCAAATATGGTAAGTGAGGGTCATTGTAAGAATAGATTGATCAACAATTTGATATCTTGAAAAATAATAGCTATAATCGTAATTTAATATTTTCTCACAACAATCATCAATGCAATTGATTGTTAAGACTCGTTTCTTATTAGTGACTCACGTGGTAACCAATATTTCTATAGCTAATTTGCATTTTACGAGTTTCAGAATTTTAATTTCCAAATTGCTTGGGCGTAAAGTTGTAAAATGGAAAAGGTAAATCCATTCGCCGGTGTGTGATTGAGCCCGAATATGGAAAACACAGGGTCGCTAAGATATATTACTGTGGCTCCTCTTAGCGCCATTGTACGACTTTGTTTTCATCTCATCGCGTTCTTTGTGAACAACGCAGTATAATAATAATGCTGCTATAAAAGGTTCTAATGAAAAATATCAAGGAAAATATTACGCAGAAATTTCGGAGTCTTTATTATTCTTCATTCTTAGGCTTCAATGCCACCAAGGAAATGCTTGTCGTTAATAGGTTCTTGATCGATTCTTCTTGTAGGAAAATTTGTGGTTTGATACATAAATAATTTTCCACCATCATATCTCTATATGTTTCATTAAACGATTTTTCACTTTGATATATCGAGTTGATATAGCCAGATAACAATTGTAGAGTTAATTAAAATTTATTGCGTTTTAATGGAATTGAAATTCATTAAAAAAATTCGATTGTTATTTAAATGTTTTATTGGGAAATATTTTGTTTAAATTGAGGAACCTTGAGATACCAAAGTATATTCCCTTATCTATGAAGTAAAAAAAAAGATTTACGATCAATACAATTTAACAAAATATCATGCTAATTGGATTGATTGCGTCAATGTAAAAATATGTGGGAAGTTGTAAATACTCTTGATTAATAATACCTTGTCATCTGTATTGACAATAATGTTGTTCATAATTGAATAACAAATGTCTTGATTATTATAGCATTTATCCACTTGTCTTATCCATTGTGTCTTTTTACTTTTGTTACATTCGCTGCAGGTCATGCGACCGCCACTCGTAGATTATTTTCAGCCCCGGAACCGCGTACTCGAGATTCCGACATCACTGCGTAACCATTGAAATTTGACCAGTAGTTATTTCATTTATTTTTATCTTTCTGCTATAAGTGCATGACACTCTCTTCAATAGTTTGATAGACTGAATCAGTGGGTGCACTCTAAAGCTCAACGCCCATCCAATCATCATACATATTGGCCTACGCGTCTGCTGATCTCCACAAGTCCTTTCATAATCCCGTACATTATACACCATAAGTTGACTCATGCTTCCATGTGTCGAACAGACTGTAGATCTCTCGCGAATTTGGCGCCGACGCGATGACGGAGATCGTCGACCGATTTCACGCCATGCGTGGGTTAATGACGCCGACTTGATCGCCGCTCTGTTCGACTGGTCAGAATCAAAAACTCAAGAGAGAAAATTCCATACACTCTTTGCCCATTCTGCATCACTCAGAAAATTATTTTGGAAATTAAGGATCATCAAGAGGGTTGGATTAATTTTGGAGTTATTTGTTTCAGGCTGGATTACTTGGAGTAATTGGTTGATGAATTGGACAGTTCTTGAAGGATTGGTGGCAAATTTTAATTCTAATAACCATTTTATTGAGTAACTGTATCAGGACAAAATGTTGATATGTTGGAGTTGGTATCTTAGGCTAGCAAAATTGTTCAGAGTCCTTTGAACTTGAAGATTCAAACAGGGATTTGAATAGGGAACAGCTAGACTGTAATATTATTACTACCTCCCTGCTACTTCATTACTACCTGTTCCATAAATAATCATTAAATGACCCTGGTTTTATTATCTTTTCGAGACCTTAACCTACTTCATTATCAGTAGCTAGTGTCATGATTGTGCAGGATACTAAGTAAGATCTAGGTGGTGGGTACCAGCAGCTAGTGTACGGAAGCTAGTGACTAAGTACAGCTATTTTGGAAGTGGATTTGAAGTTGATATTATTAATAATTTTTTTTACCACCATATCGAGTAAGTCTCTTCAATAATTAAGTAGGCTATGCTCAGGACTCCAGTATAAGACTTATGCTTTATTTACAGGAAAATTGATGAATTATTTTTATTCAAATAAGGAAGAAGAAGAATGGTTGTAAAATAGTGAGGGGTATCAAGATACAAAGGAACAAGTTAGAATGGATATTTGTGAATGGTGAACTAGATTTATAGAGTAGTTCATGTAGGTCTGTAAGAACGTAGTGAAAGATGTCAGGTGGGTAAGATGTACACTTTCCGTCTGCACAAGTATCACTGACGACATTTAAGGGCATACGCTCGCTTTTTCTTGCGAGTTTCTGACAAGTCGAGTGTGTGTCTTGCATTATGCATACATGTGCCACGCAACACTCACAGGACTCGAATTCGCACGTGCAGAGACACTTTTATTGCATGTTTATGCGATCTTTTCTGTGAAAGAGTCATCTTTTCTTCTGGTATACTAATTTGGAGCAGTCGTTACCATTTTATACGTGACAAGCAAAATCGATCAATTGACGTTTCAGGCGCCAAACTTTTATGAAAAAGAAATCCCAATATTTTTCAATTGATTGCTTAATTCATGTAGATACCAATGAGCCCACATGTAAAAATTCATACGAGCTCTCAAGGCTAAAATAAATTTACAAGTGTCATTGAGCCATTCGAAAATAATCTTTGATGCTGTTGAATCCTCATGGGTTTATTATTGTTCAAATTTGCGATGTCTACATTTATTATTTTTTTTCTTTCTTTACGATTACTTCCAAATGTCCTCGAGCTTAAACGAATGACGCATAACTAATTGTAAGATCACGACGCGTCCCGCCCCTGGCAATATCGGTCAGTAAGACCATGAACCCGCGGGTGGATTAAACGAGAAAAGAGTTGACGACTTGGTGTGGTCCTTAAGATTACCTTAGATGGGCAAACATTTATTTCAAATGATTTCTTCCACTTACTAGAGGCCAAACTTGCCACTTTATGAAATTTTATCTTTTGTTGTTTTCTGTCATGATGATAATTAATAACAACCAAGTTCTACCACTATGTAACTTCATTTAAATTTATAAACTTTGCCAATAGAAAGAAATCGCCATGAAAGTGAAGGTGAAATATATGCTTTGCATAGAAACCTTGCGGAATAATATATAACAGTAGCATCTATCAAATGCTAATCTCCACTTTGATACGTGTACAGCATTTCGTATTTGTTTCAAATCGAGAAACATAAACAGTGAATTTAAATGATGGAAATTATTTTAAATAGCTGGAGAGTGGGTGCAACCCCCAAGGTCCATATCATCAACTTTCTTGTAAGATTAATCTGTGATTAACAATTTTCAATTTTTATTGATAATATTTTGTTATTTCCTTACGGTTTAAGACCGTAATCAATTTTATTATTTTAAAAAACTTGTTTAAACAAAATATTTGCTAGATCCAATCCTATCAAAGTCTAATGATGTGTTGTCTTCACCAATACACATTGATTGATTTTTCAATAGTTATGATACTATTTTCTTCATGAGTTATTGTTTTAGAAAAATGTGTTTATGTGCACACTTAGACTTTAGAACATGATTGTTCAAAATGACAAATGATTCTTGAACATGAAGATATGTCAGAAAGTGTTAGTTTTGATTTTCGGATTAATTATGATAACTTTCTACTGGGAATAAAATATGAACAAGTTTAGAAAATACATGCTGATAGACTGAAGAGATGAAAACAATTACATCTTACGCAGCATTGTTATTTTCATTGAAAAGAAAATTTTAGTCAAGCTAATACAATCTGTCTTCCACTTTCTCCTGAAATTTACGATAAAAATGATAATTTATTCCTTGGAAATGCATATATCAGTAGTTCATGAACAATAGCCATAGATTACTGCTTTATAAGTCCTACTAGAAAGCATAAAAGCATTGCATAAAAATAATCAAAGTTCCAAGTGACATGTATGTTGCACACAAGTCTAGCGAAATAGTCTAAACAACTTGTAGTTTAGTTCTCATATTTCAAAAATTGTACACTTTACAACACTTAGTGCGACTTATTGCTTGACTAGCACGAGAAGATTGATGACTCTCCCTCATAGAGATTTGCCGGAGGCTGGATTTCGCTCTCCGGAAGGCTATGAACTCTCCTGAGGCGATTGGACAGTGCATGTTGAATGTATACATGTGTTGGCCACGGTTCTTTTGACTCCCTTAGATGGAGAAACTTTTTTATTTGAAGTGGTTTTTACATTGGAGGCCGATGGTGCACGCGGACGATGATCAACCAGATACAATCCGACGTCTGCAACGAACGAAAGTGGACGGGCGCCATTGCAAGGATACTTCCTATTAGTGTGACTGTCCCTATAAGGAACTCGGGTCAACCGGTCGCAAGAATTGTGCATCGAATCTTTTCGAGGTCATTTCCTAAATAATGTACAAGATAAGAACGACCGATTACCTTCTCCGAACACTAAACTTTGAGGGATCAAGGCAGATCATTCTCCTCAATGTATTCGCGTTCCATCGATACATTTATATCCTCAGAAATTCTTGCTTTATTTTTCAGTTCCATCGATAAGAATTATTTTATTTATTGACATTGAAATCTGGTCTTCTTAATTATGAAATATTAAGTATTCTTTTTTAAAGCCTTTTTTTGAAATTGATTGGTGGAGATCATTGCAAATCAATGACTTCAAGTTTCTAATTCATCTTAAGAGAGTATTTTATTGTCCAAGATAGTATGGCTAAAATATAAAAATAAACTGAAAACAGTAAGTTTATTATTATATTAAAGATAAGCATCTAAATGAATTTTTTGGCACATTTGAAAATGCTTAAACGACTTTTATAATAAATTATCAAATATCGTAGTTTTCATTATTTCTCTAATAAGACCAAAATACTCATATTTAAAAATGTAATTATTGTAATTAATTATAGTAATATTGATGGTCTGATGACAACCCATACTACCTTAAGAAAATTTATAAATCCATTGAAAAACATTTTATTTTTATTTATTAAAGCAAATATTTTTTGTTAGAAGATAATAGTTAACTTAATAAATATTGTTGAGAGTTCATTGTATTCATGAACCAACCAGTCTTTTGAGCAACAGAAAATACTCTTTAGAAACCCATGACATTGATTTAGAATTTTTTTGATTATTTTATAATGATATAATTACTATCTAAAAAAGCACTAATTTTTAACATACTTTTTAAAAATTATTTCCTACTTTTCAAAGAAATTTTAAAATATATTTAATGTGTTTTTTGATTGTTAATTTCAAAGAAAAAATAATTCTAAAAATCAATTAAGAGTAATGAAATAATGCAAAATTAATTTCTTACAAAACCGAGAGTGAAATTGAAGCATAATAAAGAGATTCACTAATTACGCTGTATGGTTCTAACGGTAATGAGTGAAATTTTATTCTTCCTACTTTACCAGGTGTAATTTCCGCTGAATTAATAATAGTTATCACCTATAGCATAATTAAAGAAAAATTGTTACTTAGAATTTAGAAACACCAATTTATTTTTTCATATAAATCACTATTAAGGTTTAATTAATATTTATAAGTACTTACCTGAAAGTCTTTATTATCAATTGTATAGTAAATACAATTAAGAATAACTATTCTCATTGATGATGAAAGTTTACATCTTCAATTCAGTATTTGCAAAATTTCAATGCTTGCTAACAAGACTACATTATCTTTTAGCAAAAATTAAAAATTAAATTCTGCAAAAAATTTGAATCTTTTGGTATTAATTTTATCTAATAATTTCCTAGTTTTTATTATTATCATCAGAATATCTTTTTATTATTATTAATAGTAATAATAATAATAATAAAATCTAAAAATAAACATATGATTAAATTTAATTAATCAAAATTTGATCTTTGTTCTTCAACAAAATTATCATAATTGCTAAAACATAATTTAGATTTGGCCTCTGTTGAAAAAGATAGACATTGAATATATAAACATTATTGATTTGGTATCTCCCAATATATGCAAGCCACTGACAAGTGCGTATGTCTGAATACGTGGGCAGTATTTGAGCGTATCTGTTTGAGACGGTCGAAGTGCCCGGAGGCACCTGTAAGCCGCCCACAAGAAAACTGCTCATGGGCAATGTGAGATATATATATACTTTAGTCGCTTGCCCGATGAGTATACCAACCATTTTGCCTATATATTAGACAAGAAACATTTCGTATTGTAATGAAATTTGTTATTTGTTTCTTGACATCTATCGAAACACAGACAAGGCTTGCAGTAGCTTGCATGTACACACATAAACATCAGGAGATTGCCTGTATCATACTGAAATGCACTTTCTAAACATACATCACCTAAATTGTTGGTCAAACATACTTATCTTTCATTCAATTTTAAATGATCAAATACAAAAATGTTACTAAGACTTCTACAAGCTCCCACGCTTGCTTTTTATTAGTATATTTTTAAAAACTTCGAATTATTTATTTATTTTTTAGATTGTGTATTTCTAGACTGAGAGTATTTAAATAATGTAATTATTATTCGAGTATCAGATGGAGATTATTGGATGACGTTAATGAAAAATTATCCTGTTTTTTATTTGTGCTGAGTTCTTCACAGTTGGAGTCCAAGTAATATAGCCAGTCTCACCATATTCGGCAAGGACACTGTAGTCTTCTTGATATGATGGTTTTGTTATTACGAGAACTTAACACTTTAACTACTTTAAAGATAATTTGATGCTCGGATATAATTTTTTTATTAGATAGAATTACTTCTTCTTCCAGATGATAATTTAATTAATTTCCATCTTTTACTTACCTTCGTGATTCAAGTGCTTTATTATATTATTTATTCCAAGTATTCTTTTTTAAATTTATTGACATTTGCTTTCGTTAAGTAATTATAATTCAAACTTTTAATGAAGTTTAATTAAACTTTTTAATTGTTTTAATAAAGTTCTGAGTGCTCTCAGATGGTGGTAAAAGTCTTTTCAAAAATAATCGCTGATTAATTGTAAAATAATAATGAGTATACCAAGTTAATTATTTTAAAGTCAAGAGAAATATTTATAAAAATAATCATAATAATTTGTCTTCTGTAGCTTCTTTAATTAAATTCTTTGCCAATAATTTTTATTTATTGTAAAAGCTTCAAATTATTACTTTTCTTGATAACTATCATCATGATAAAATAATGAAACATTTTATTTGATAATCAATTAAATTATTATTGCTAATATTTATTACTACAATTAATTAATAAGATTTATAAAAATACACTCAAATACTTACAATCAATATCATAATAATATTTCCTGATACGTAAATATTTTTTTCTAAATTCTAAACAAGTATTCCCCTATTAACTTAATCTAACAGAAAAAGAACGATGTAGAAGCATGCAGATACAGCACAAAAAAATGTTATTCTTAATTGACACAATTCCCACTTCTATAAATTAATGTTATTTATCTATCGTATAAATTCCAACTCATTAAAGTGGTCGATTTCTGTAGGAATCAAATGACAAGAGTAATATATATAAAGTTTTACAGTTTTTATTTAATTTTGATTCTTCACCTATCATACAACTTCGTTTCGTTGATAACATAATATAATAGGAGAATACAAACAACATTTCAGCATTAAAATTATAGTAATAAAATAATAAGAATTAGAAATGGTTATATTTATAATAATGACAATAGTCATAGTCGTAAACCTAACGATAGTAGTAAGATAACGATTATCTTTGCAGCAGATAATCGTCATAGAATTATAAATCAGGAAAGAACGGGTAGTGATGATGATAACAATTATTACAAGTATATGATGGCAAAATCCTACAACATAAGATGGTAGCCGATAATAGTTGAATTTATTATTTATCAGATATCATAATAATGCCACCAAATACGATGAATGGGGTTTACTAAGCTTAGGCATAAGAACATACGTGGGCGTGTGGATATTATACACCTCACAGTATTCCCTTGGTAGATGATCATTTCTTTCAAAGTATAATCGTTGCAGACTGAGTCACGTGTATAATTAATTTGCTGAAACCTCGGAAAATTTTCTTAGGCGATAAGTAAGTCAACTTATGTAATATCGTACATGATGCTAACAAACAAATTACTGGTGTGAAAGTGAAAAAATTTTTATACTCAAGACTTGGACTGGATTTCAGAATTTTTATTCTTCTACAAAATTTTCTCTCTTTAATAGGTGTGCTAAAAAATAGTTTTCTTTCATTATCTATTACTTCTTTTTTTGTACGATATTGTTTCTTTTAAACTTGTCCTCTGAATCTACGTTTATAAAATTAAGCTCAAGTGCATCGAACTCGACCTTCTAAGGTCTAAGGTATATCTATGAAATTTGTTGAATCTTCTTCTATAAGACACTTGGTAAAAAAGCCGTCCACTAGGTTTGTTTTTTTTTGTAAAAAAAATTCTAAAAGGTTGACAATGACATATCATATGTTTTCTAATGCAGTCTGTTAAGTTGAAAATTTGAAATATAGTACTAGCCAAAAATATCCTTTACATTGGATCCATTTAATATCAATCAAATGAATAATTAATACATGATAGATCTTTTTGATTAATGATTATTTGTTGGAATCACACTCTTCAAATTGAAATGCATCAAGAACTAGTGAACACATTGCCTAAAAATTTCGAAGAATATTTATTTTAAAGACTTTAATGATCACAAATATATTTAAAATTGTCTGGAACATTTTGGCCATTACTTTATTGGTAGAGCAGTCATTAATAGTTGCCTTCTTTACTTTTTAAAAAAGACAAAAGTATTTTATACATTATCATTTCCTTCAATCTTTTGATTAAAATCACTTAAAGCGAAGTTAACATACAAATAAATTGATTTCAATAAATATAACCGATAGACTATATAAATAAATAATTTCTAGAAAACAATTATGCCCATTGGCTTTAAAAATTATCAAGTTTTGTTTTTTTTTTCTATAATGAACCATAGAAATATTGAATTATCAATACCATTCCAACCATGTTGTCTTTTAATATTGAATATCTCTATAGATTAATTGATTGGAAGTAGATTTTAATGTTAAAGAAATCAAGTTCAACAACGCAAGACACTCAATGTCCAAAAATATCTTATTTTAAATATTTAAAAACTTCAATTAGTCCATATTTCAATTGATGAATATTATATTCTTGAAATAAGAAGTAATCAGCTGATAAACTAATGATTAATAATAATTAATAATCAATCATTAATCATACCTATATAATTATTTAGCTCTATCATCGTCTTTAAGCACCATTCTGAAAGCTCAACCAATGCTCTCGCGGTATCATCGAGGTATTTTTCTCGCTGCTGCATCGAGTAAAAAAATGCTCAAGGATATTAGGTTTTCTTTCATGATTTTTATAATCTGACATAATCCTCTTCCTCTATATCATCCTATAATTAATTTCCTGGAACTGGCCGTATAGAAAAGAAGAAATTACATAAAACATCCTATCGTTGTCTACTCCCGCAGCAACGCTTTGCCGATATGCTTCTATTTTTTTTTAGTATACTTAGTCCAGTCTATTGTCCTGATACTTGACCTTAGAAAAAATGAAATCTAATTATTTCATTTTTTAAAATTTGATTTTAATCAATCACCTATCGCTCTTGCGATTGTTGATTATTAAGCTGCTCTTATGAAGCCCCGTTGAAAACGGAATTTTCGACTTTATATTTACTTATTGCTGAAGATCTATCAGTTGAATATGATCTTACGAATCAAGACTATAATTACAAAACATTTGATTCATGAGTTAAAAAAACATCGAGCAGGATCTCAAGTACTGTCAGATGCTACAGACATGGCTCTCTTATAGACAGGTGCAGGGATACGTGAAAAGTTTCCACGTTCTGTGGTGGCTTTTGGATCTTTTCTTGGGCTGGTAACAACCTGGACCTCTTGAGGCAATGTAACAGTTCCGTTTCCATCAATCCACGCCCGCGTGAACTCTAGATTCGGTTCTCCCTCATTGGCATGACTGTGATAATCTCTTAAAAGGTCTTGGAGTTTTTGTACAACTTGTTTTTCATCTTGCAGATGTCCCACTTTCTGCAAGATCTGTTCTAATAACGGATTAGCTACTTTGGTAGGTGATGACTGTAGAGATACGCTATTTGTTGGTTTTATTCTTCTTCCATTTCTATCATACTGGATTTCATTTATTCTTGACTTGGATAGACTTTGTCGAGCAAAGTTCTTTCGCGAGAAACTCGTGGGTGAAGCATTGACGTTTCCATTACCATTCATTGTAGGTGAAGAGGACGGATTAACAAAGGTATCAGAAGATAATCCAGGCCTTTGCCTTGACTGCCTTCCATTCCACGTGTTGCTACCAGCCGTTAGATGATTTTGATTAAGTCTTGGAACTCCTGATGCTTTACTGACAGTTCCTGCTGGTGGTAATTTTTTAATACTATTTCTTACGACATTTCGTTTAAGAGGACTTCCTTCAGGACTTGAATTACCTTCTCTTGGTGTTCTACTACCAGAAGAACATCTAGATAAATTGCTATTTTCACGAACCATTGAATTCGCACGAGGCGTTCGTTCGCCTGATGATGGAATGCTTCGTGATGGTGAACCACGTAAGGGACTTGGTGGTGATACTTTAGTCTTCCTTAAACCCGTTTCTATGCTGTCTGTATCAACACACGAACGTTCATTCTCCACTTTTGATGGTTCTGAAACAAATATAATACCTTTAGTTTAAATTACTGATGGATAATAACTTTATATTTACTGCGTGTTATATCAGATTTATTCATGACAGCATGCAAGGAAGTGGCTTGAGATTAAATGTAGGTAAGGAAATATTGGTGCATGTTCTGGTTGTTGTGATCGCGTCTGATTGCGAATAAGTACCACGTATAGATGACTCATGCTTTCCGAAAATGGAAGGTGCACCATACGGCTAACTACGCATTTCACTGAGCAACTTTAAGTCCTTCATGTGCTCGCTTGTTTTATATTATTACAACCAAGTAAAAGTATTCCCAAGAAAATTTATATACCTCAGTACAAAGAACGTACTTTTACAGAATTTTTTACTAATTGTTTTTGAATTTTCGAAATTTACAAGTGTCAACATCGCTATTTAAATCACTGATTTCTTTTTCTCTCACATAATACTAAAAGGATGTGGATATTAAATAATCTTATGGTACCAGGTCAACCTACGCGTGTCCTTCTCAGTGGTTCGCGTGGTTTTTAAGTGTCTCAACCACCGCCAAATTCGTCTTAAGGAACCGTGAAAGTCTCTTACTCTTGATATTTAACATAAAGCGTGGGTCTTAGTGTGAATGAAAGACTATAGGATTGTATTTCGTGTTGATAAATTTTTTTTCTGTCTTGTTAAGTGGTTGGGGTATAGTAAAGCCTCTCCACGTGTAGGTTCACCTGCGAATCTTCCAACAAGTTGACAATACATGATATAAACCTGACTATCCTTTCAGTCATATCTCTTTTAAATATGTAGATTTAAATGGACTGATCTCGTGCTTTAATTACAATTTTTATTGCTCTTTTATACATACTTGGATGTGAATTTTCTTGAGTAAATAAGAATGTGCCGTTGATTGAGTGTACTTAAGTGGAAGTCATGGAGGTGAGCGACGCAATTAACGCTCGAGCCGTTTGTAATTGCAAGAATAAATTATTCTGATGAGTAGAATTAGCTACTTTGCTTTGATTCAATGCCAAAAAGAAAAAAATTGCTATATGACATTGCGCATTTTGATTGAAAATGACAAATATTATAACTTAATCAATCATGATTTAATTTATTTTTATTTACAGGTATAAATACTGGGTGTCAGATCAATTATTGGAATTGAATTAACCACAGCAATTTGTCATTAACAATATAAATGACTCAAAGAAAAAAATGGACAACTTATCTGCTTAATGCTCAACTAATCTACCGTCTTACTGCATTTAATCAGGTGTTTACAAGATGACATTTGATCCTTTTCTATATCTCATGATTCATAAATTATAATTTTATTTTTTCCTTTACCTAGGTTGATGATGTGTGATAGAAGAGGCAACTAAATAAAGCTGATCAAGGTAAGGATCGAGGTATAGAGATATAAAGATCACAAAATCAATGTATTATTATGTTCTAGGTAACTGTTCTATCAGCGCTATCTCCAAGGTATTTTTCTATATCTTTATTATTGAGCTAGTGAAATAAAGCCTGAACAATAAAAAGCAAGAATAGTGTTACATGGATCAAACATAGAGAATTGCTTCCTGAGACAGGATTGCCGTTCGCCCACGTTGTTTTGCCACGAAGAGATCTCTTTTCTCTTCTTCCTTCCTCTTTGTCTAGTATATTATCTCTTGGCACACGTACGCTAAATGTCAGCCCGGCCTTCTTTACGGTTTCATGTCAAGGTATGAAAGCACCTTAGGTATATCTCAACCATATATGCCTTCGTGTACTTTGAATATTAATGCTCTACTATCTACGGGGTGGTCCGAACTCGTGAGGACCAGGGACTTGGTATAGAGTATGCCAACATTGGTCTCACGGTGGCATCGTCACGACGATGTGGGAGCTCGTAGCAAACCAAGAATGAGACACAGACGTAGTCGAGGACATCGAGACAACGTAAGCACGACCCTTCTTATGTGAATTTAACTATCTTTCAACTGAGATTTGAAGAAAAGACTATTTGATAATACAATGCTATTCATTTATTGTCATATTGTAGGAAAAAACATTTCAAATTACATCAACTACTCGTTGCTCATTTATTAAAAGATTTAATCACTTTTGGTTTAGATGTTGGTGGGATAATTTAGTGAGATTAATATTTTTCTATAGAATAATTGGAAAGTTGATGATGATTGTTTTTGGAAAGACCCTAGATCTATCGTAGGAAAAATATTTGCAATTAATTTGAACTCTTAATAGACTTGTTGCTAGTAACTTGGAGGAATAACATGTTTTCTGGTAATCACGTTATTTCGTTGTAAACATTAATTTGCTATCATGAATTATTTGCCAAATCAATATTTACCATTTGCAAATTGCTATATTAATTATTCTGCTAAAAGTTAATCAACTTTGTTGGCTTTACTTCCTTAATTTCAATTCAATTTGATTATTATTGAACTTGAGATGAGTATAATTTATCTGAAAATTCTGCAATATTTATAAATGACAATCATTGAACATCAATTGATAAAATAATTGAAAATCAATTTTGATTACAGTTCAATTTATTATTAATGAACATCATTTTTCAAACTCCGAAATTTACGTCATGCAAATTAATGTACAATTATACTCATTGGAATAAATTGAATTACAAAGTTTGGAAGTATGGTTCATTTTGGAATGAACCTTCACACTTTCTTTTACGAGGAGTGAATTTCATCACGATTTCTTGATCGATTTCTCCCAATCGAGTAACTCATTTGCGCGAACGTGAGTGAGTACAGAAAATTGCATATCCAGTAATATGCATTGATCCAAATTGAGGTCAGGTTCTCTGATCATTATTATTGAATTTTAGCTGATGAAAAAAAGAATCAAGACATGTTTTGTGATGGTGAATTAATTAATCATCAGAAATCTCATATGAAGTTATTTTCATCTTGATTAATGAACGATCTCAATTTCATTTGATGCATGCATCTACGCGTAGTCTCCTCACTACCCTAATCAGTTTCGAAGATGAAAGATATCTCCAGCATTCTTCAAACTCATTGAAATATTTCATGATCCATAGTGATAGAGATTAATGTAAACTCAGAACAAATATTCAGATTACTATATCATGCTGTTGACAATCTTCATCTTGGAATTTTGTGCTTAAAAAAAACTAGACTTAGCAATGAATTACTCACTTGGACAGTCAACAACCGTGGGCGAGCCTTGGCCATTGATGAGACCAGAGTTAGAATTAATGGTTGTAGTGGTCGTAATACCATTTAGACTTGGTGCTGGTGCTTGAACGGTTCCCAAACTTCTATAGCCCTCATCAGACACCTCACTTCCGTTGTCTGAATGTTCACCATCATGACCGGATTTAGTGTAAGGACAGACTTCCTTAGCAAAAGATTCCATAGACTCCTCTTTAATTGCTGGAGGACTTGGGGTTGGACTTCTACTGGATGAGTCTACTCGACCACATTTATAGTTGTAAATTGATGGCTCATACTTTGGTGTGTCATCTTTTTCTACTGCACGACGTGCTACACCACCCTCAACCATATATCGTTTTGAAAACTCTTCTGACAAAGGTACTTTAGCCCGGATCTCTTGATGAAGGTCTTTTTTAGGATCCTAGTGGGGAAATAAACGTCAACTTTAAATCTTTTCAGTGCTAGAAAAGGGTGAATAAATTACTTTCATGATATTCATATGGGTTTTTTAAACTCATTCTTTCTGATGTTCGTGAACATGTGGGTGCTATAAAATGATTATTTTTCTGCTTCTAAAATTAGGTTTTTAAATTGGAACAGTTATAATAAAATATCTAAATCAAACATTTCTATGAAATAAAAATTATTAATTAATTCATCAAAACTAATCATTATTAAATTTTTACTAAGCTCAATTACTTCATTATAAACATTATTATTACATTTTATCAACGACAGTTTAATTATGGAATAGATTATAATTCTAATAAGTGATTAGTGATGACATACTAATTACTTATTGTGTTGACATGTATTTAAGTGATTAAAATAATTTTTTTTTTTTTTTTTTTGAAAGAGTTTTTATTAGATATAAAAATAATTACCTGATAATTATCCTGATGTCGGTTTTGATACATCTGAGATCTGCTGTCGTACTTAACTTGTCTTATTTCTTCATTTAAAGCTTTTCTGGTTGCATCAAGTGGACTGACACGTCCGGATTTACTGTTTTCCGGTTTTGGAGTTGGGGACCTTGACCTTTGTTTACTATCAAGGTCGTTTACTTGACGAACTGGACTTCCCTTAGTCTGAGGGGTGGGACTACGTGATCGGTTTCCTCCACGTGTCAGATCTTCTCCAAGATGCTGTCGTGCTGCGTGATGTGGTGTCGGTGAACGAGATCGGTTGTTTGATACGCTTCTGGGTGTCTGTAAAGAGTGAGGTTGTTGCTGTGTCGTGCCAGCTCCTGAACCCACGCTTGATGCGGAACTCCTGCGTGTTCTCGGAGGTGATCTTGATTAGAAAAATTTTTCTAATTTTAATTATCATACTCACCTGAATTATTTAATCATTTTTGTTTTTTCTGTTTATTCTTTCAGTCATCTATTTTTATTACAACTTACCTTTCGTAATGCACCTGCGCACTTCCAAGGTCAAAGGATCCACCGGCTTTTTGAATGAGTTTAGCAGAAATCATTGATCGGTGGGCTGAAAATGAGTTTATTATTCAATCAAAAAATTATTTTCTCCTGCATCAGACTAGTTGGTGATTAATTATCATGTAAGTTATATTTAAATAGTCATTTTAAGGACTTTAGATAGTTGTACTGATAGAAAAATTGACTTATGATCTAATGTGATGCATTAGTATTCAATATGTTCTATGATTAAAAATATAGTGAATATTCATGTTATAATAATCTTGTTACTAATTATTGATAAATATTCATTGCTAGTAGTAGATTTTTAATAGAAATATATAATAAGAGTAATAAATTTATTATTATCAAAGAAATGATTCTATCACAACAATAATCAATTTCCGTAAATGTAGTATTGAAAATGAATTTTTTTCCCCAGATGTGATATTGCAAAATCAACTTACAAGTACGGCAGCGACATGGATCATGCTTGTCAAGGTAATGGCTGAGAGTGTCCCAACCACCACCCACTCGTACCATAACATGGCTTCTCAAAATTCTGACGAAGATGAGGACTTTCGTGTCACCAATTCTATATTTGCCTTCGGATACTCGAATCATTGGAAACTGGGTCGGACAAGTGCATTTTTCCACTAAATCACGAACCTGAAAATGAGAAAAAAAAATTCATATAAACTTTTCATCACAAGTTTTTCAAGCAGGCTTCATATGTTAACATAATGCTGATGTTTTTGAAGGTAAAAAATTATTATTTGCATTTTATATTTTCTTTCCCTCTACAAAAGTATTTTAAGCTAGATAAACTGTAGCTTAAACATTTAAATTGAGAAAGCTTTCTCTTCAACTCTTATGTAATTGTCACACGTGCGGTAATATTAATCTTTCGAGAACATTGTCGATATATCAAGTTTTACAGGCGTATCAAGATATTTGTATAAACATAAATCAGTTAGAAACCGTCAAGCAATTGGTGAATTGTATTAGGAATGACTTGTCGTAATTTGTTGTAGCCAATGTACAATTGTTTTTTTTTTTGTTTAGTATCATTTATTCTGCTAAAAATTTTTCTTTATCAAGATATCAATTCATTCGTGATTAATATCGGATTAGATCAAGTCAAGATGAGATATAGCTAACTTGTATGTACTAACACCTACTAGTTCCTTGGGTATTTATATTAATGCAAACTAAAATCATTTACGACATCCCAAGTGTACCAAGCAGCGTTCCACAGAATCTTTCCAGTAGTTACGCTTGATCGGAAACACATTCCAAAAGCCCATTTTCTCCATACAGTCATGGTCAAAATTTTTCCAAATACTTTTATGTCAAATATTCCAATTATTCATCAACTCTTTTATTCACTGAATTGCTTAGAAATTATTTATTATTCTAAAAAAGAAAAGAACTAAATAATAATAATTAAATTGTCTTGATGTCTAGAGATATCTGAATGATAGAATATAAACAAGCTCTTCTCTTATCTCCAAGTTTGTTCGATGAATCAAATTCTTAATTGGTTATTACCTTTGAGCTCTGTTGATATAAATATTCATAATAAAAGAGTTAATTAATATAAATAATAAATCAACTTCTTTCTATTACTCTTCTGATTGCAAGTTAATTAATGATAAATCATAAAAAATTAGGAAGATTTATTACTCAGGATGTCAGATAAACTTTTCAATTAACATCTTAATGGGAAAATAGTTATAAGCAATTGATAAATATAAAAAGTTTTAATATTTTCCAGTTGAAATATTTGCAGTTTAATGAAAATAATTTTGATACAACGAGAATTCATAGCAGAGGAAATAGTCAGATGATTGGAATATTGACTTATAACGTAGTTATCTTTATATTCACGTGAGTTATGGAAGCTGATGGTGTTGGTTGTGATGCATTACGTCAATTACTCGTCCCAAATAATTAATCGACTGTGATCATCATTCGATGTCATATCAAAAATCAGCACATATAATTAGTCTATAATAAGATAATTATTTCAAATGATGAAAGTTGCTAGTTAATCAACATTTGCATCAAATCACTTCTTTCCTGTTTTATTCATTCAATTCGAATTAAAATTAACGTGGAAAATGTCTAATTAACTTGGAGGGGCTTTTGGAATGTAAATAGGATCACTTGAAAAATCCACTGCATTTATAATGTTGAGTATGTGGAATAAAAAAAAAAAATTACTGTGATAAGTGTGTATTTAATTTATGAACTGTATGTACTAAGATTGATTGTATTGCATAGGTATTGATGTGCGGAACACGACGTAAGGCGCATCGATGTGGACAAATTGTGTGGCGCATTGCAGGTGAGTGGACAGGATGAATGTTATGATGCTATAATGCAAGGCCGCCATGGACTTACGTAACTCAACCCAGCGATACGGAATACAGATTATCAGTGTATTCGTTTAGAGAGGTGAGGCTCGCTACGCGTCGTTCCACGGAATGATTGGATATTGGGAACGTCCGAGCTTATGTTCACTTATATGAATCATGATAATGAGGATCATTCTTGGAATTTCATTTGATTTTCTGCTAAACACTGCTCTACATTATTATTTATCACTTATTAATGTCAGCAATGAAATTTATATATTTATGATTCTCATATGAATATTTTACAACTTGCTTACTGATACTGCATTCAGATGCAATTCATTATAAAATTTAATTGAGTTCCTTCATTTATATCTGTTTTATTCAATTAATGGCAATATTCAGATAATAATTGCATTAAAATTATTTTTCTTAATTAGTTTAAAAGTATATGCTCTAATTGAAATTAAATTAAAAAGCACTTTCAATATTTCTTCATCATATTTTTGATGCATTGAATTTTTTAATCACATTTATTTCTGCATCATTACTCTTCAAATTTATTTTTACATAGAAATGAAAGAAAAAAAAAATTAATGCAAATGATAATAAGAGTAATATGCATTCATTCGTGTCGTTATTAAAGGTTACAGAATGATTCGTTCATTTATTATGAGTTATGAGTATTCAAAATTGTCAGGACGATTCGTGCCTTTATTAAAACTTCCGCTGTCTCATCAACAAGATTACTTTTGTTAATTGTTTGTGCTGAAGAAAGTTATGAATCATTCAACCTCATTGGATCAATTATTTTATTTTTCATTACAGATGCTAATTGATTGATTAAACCTATTAATGTATAATAATTAAATGAATACTATTATGATTAGTAATTCATTATTAGCAAAGATAACAATCAATCTAGTTTTATAAAATTATAAATTCTCAAGTAAATAACTAGTTGCTTTTCAATAAGTACATTTATTTATTACTTGTAATGCAATCTTGTAGAATTGCTTGAAATTTTTTTTTCTAGTGAAATATTAATATCATACACGGTAGGAATTCAATTCAATGACTTAAATGTGTCAAATATTCAGTTACAGTAGATTGTTTGCATAAGTTTGTAATATGCAATGAATTATACATGCCACTATTCACATGACAAGTATGAGTATTGTTAATTAAATTAAGCAAATATTACTGATTTAGATGAGATCAAAAATAAGCTGATAAGAAATACAATTTAATTTTGATTAGTTATTATTCGTCACGTCGTATAAATTTTTTTTGTATTAATTATTATTAAGTCTGATCAACAAAGCTCTAGTATGTGAATTAAATTGACAACCACATTAATTCTAAATGTTTTGCAAAAATATATGTAATCATTTTAATCATTCGATTATAACTTTTAGATGTGGTTAAGTCATGGATAAATAGCACAATATCAGTTGATATGTAATTACTTTTATGAGCTTACTGTTAGTTTTACAAATAACATCAATGAAGTAGTAAAGTGTAGGCAACTGTTACTACATATTATGGATAATGAGGTCTTTTTTATTTATATCATGGAACATTTTAGTGTCGAAATACATATAGTACAAAATGATATTACTAGAGAAATAAGTATAAACAAGGTGTTTATACTGGTCAGTTATGGTTGAGCGGTAGTGAAATCTTGAGTAAAATGGTCTTAGGATATTCAACTGTGAAATAATAGTTCCTTAATCGAACCTTCGCTCATGATTACGTAGATACCTGTCGATATTAACCACGGCTATGTAGTTTACGTAAGTGTTTCGTCTATATGCACGCGTCCATGTTTATTATGACACTCTGGTCCTGTTTAAAAATTCAAGATCTTTATTATGTGATCATAAAATAAATGCAATTTAAAATGTCACGTTAGTTGGAGTAAAAAATTGGAGATAGCGAATATCATAAGCAGTATTTTATTATGAATATTTTATCATTTATTATGATCTTGTCAAGTTTTTCTAGTTTTTCACTTCAATGTAGATTTAATCAACCACCTCTTTTTTAAATAAATTAATCAGTCTCATTAAGGAAATGCATCATTAATAGACTTGGTTCTAAATAAATATCATTTGCTTGCTGAAATGTAGCTTTTTGTGCTTTCAAAAGAAGAGAATATTCAGTTAAAAATTCTTTCAAATATATTCCACCAACTTATTCATTAATTTCTCAGGATTTTTTTTTTTATGTTTATAATTGTAGAATATTGTTGGAAAAAATATTTTCTTGTATTATTTACATTTTTTACTCTACTTTCAGAAACTGTAATGACACAAGTAAACACTGGAGTAGGTGACTTGTTGAAACCGCTGTATCTAAGTAGTGTATGGGTTAATGTTATACTTGAATACATGCACGGAGTTCTCAAGACTTGTCGGTGCTGCATCATTATGTACTTCAACATGTACATGGCCGGGTGCGGTACATGAAGCAGCGCATAAATATCTTATACGGCCAAGGCACGCGCTGGGGTCACGCAACAAGGATCTGAAGAGGTGGACATTCATAAACCGTCAGTATTACTTGACTTATCATTATCATAACATAATAGAGTCTCTAAGTACGTAATACCACTGTTCATTAGTATAAGAGATTATTCCATTCGTTTTGCATTCAATTTTTCGATAATTGGTCATGGAACAAATTTAGGAGCTCAATATAGAGTAATCAAGTTGATCATACTTTAGAAGAACTATTGAAATTATAATAACACTCTAGTGTTGAAAAGACTTTTGAATTTATAGGAACATTTTTTATTCAATTCTCATGGTAAACAATAGAAAATTGCCAAGTTTCATTCAGTATTATTAGACTTCAATGAAAGAAAGTTATTTCCATTTATAATAATTCTATTAGTCAGTTGTTTTCTTTTTTAATCCGTCAGTTAAATGGAAATAATATGTATTTGAATAACAATAGAAAAATATTATCTTCAAATATGTATGAACTTCAGCTTTCCTACTACAATGGATTCTATTTCTTTTTGCAATTGAATGCAATTCCGAAATTGTCTTCAGGAAATATAAAATTGAATTCAGTAGTTAGTAATTATATTTTATACAAATACTAATATACATTGTTATTACATTTCAGATGTTCCACCTGGAGTAAAAAATCTTGGATTTAACTTTCTTTTTATCACCGATTGTGGTTTTAAGAATCATGATCGACATCAAGAGAATCAAAAGGTAAAAATAATTTCTTAGTCCGTAATAAGTCTTCAACATCTTTTCAAACATTTAAAAAATTATTTAGACTTATGGCAAAATTTATTTCACACGAATTATGTTCATATTTAATCACAATACTAAAAAACTTTGCTATTGTGAAAATAGTTGTTTATTTTAGCCAGCAACAGCCTGGAACTAAATTGCTATAATTTTCTTCTCTATACACCAGTTTATTTACAATAACTACCATAATATAGTAATAAATCTAAAAAAATGTATATCAAAACATAGCTGATCTGGATCTGATTAGGATTGACTTCTTGTTTACCCTTAGTCGGTTAAGGTGGGTCAAGTTTAAAGCCGGCAGATTTAGCATTGATTATCGATCTATCTCATCAGAGTACATGTGGTGAAACTGCACGATCAGAGAAAGTGATGGAACTCTGTCGGAGATGCTGATCGGTATCACAGATTCTATCTTGGAGAACGATCTTAGACGAAGACCGGTGCGGCAACCAGGAGTTCTGAGACTCGTGGGAAGAGACCAGAAGAATGACCCAGGTGTTAACCTCTGCTCCCGATTCAACCCACCTATACGATCGATTGGACATAATCGTGGTGTGTATCGTCTACCAAATGCATTATTTACTACGGCTTCGTGTGCAAACTATTATATATTATAAATATCTCGCGTTAAATGTCAGTTGTTAAATTATCATTTATGTACCATCTGATTACATAAGTTTCAACATGTAATACTGATATAATTGTTTAAAACTGTCTTTTCAAAATTTAGGTCAATATCCACTTGACCTCACTAGGGGTGTCTTGGTACAGTTCTTCCCTTACCCAAACCAAATGACGATACTTTGACACCCTTGTGGCTTCTTTCAACGTGTTACCTCCTGTCTAACTCATTCATTAGCCTACTTTTAACTCAAGTCACTGTCCGATTGACTTAAATCCGGATTCCCATGCTATCTTTCTGAGTAACTTGGTGTTCAGTGATGCTAGAGTCGTTGGTAATATAAATATGCGAGGAAGCAAGTAAAGTCAAAGTCTTAAGTTAATTATATACTAAACGATAAACGGGACTTAGGTTCAGACATTTCAACTGATGGCTTTTTATCAAGAATGTTTTTATTCCTTAATAGAAAACATAACTGAAATGTCCCATGAATTTTTAAGTTTTTTGCTGGTAGATTTATTTAGATATTTACGACTATTTCTCGTTGAATTTCGCTATGTTAATTACCGATAAAACTTGAGAGCTAGGAATCATGTTTTGATGCTGCAATAGGTCAGCTATAAAATGTATAACTTTAAAATATGAGTTGGAGTTAATTGAAAATTTTAATGGCCAAAATCTTGAAATAGAAAAAGATTGTTTTTCAATTTTATTGCCCTTTCATGACTACCATTTCTAGGTATAGTTAAACTTTTTTTGTTACACCCAAATCATTCTTGGCTAGACTTCTATGATATTATTCTCTAGTTTGGCGACAGTTTTTACATTAAAGTGAACATAAACAACTAAATAAAATTTATTCTTTGATTATAGGTGGATCACCAGGTGAATGAAAAGATCAATAGCTTGGCTTATGGACTTTGACGCACAAATGTACCTCTCTTTTGTCTCTTCTTCTACCCACGAACTGATGGAGACGCGGAAACTCGAATGGCGAACACCGTGCTGCGGAACAATCGATCGCAACTAAAGTTGCCATTTGCAATATTCTTTATTTGCGCCCACGTTACAGGTACTTTGTGTGGGTTGGAGAGAGAAAAAAAAATTAGCTAAGGAAGAGGAGAAAGAGTAAATCTGGGGAGAGAAGGAAAAAGAAACCGGTAGTGAGATGTCAAACAAATGTAAATGACACGTAGAAATACATGAAGAGACTTTGATCGATCTGCTGATATCATATGGGTAAGTAATAGATTTTTCATTTTTGAATGATTTAACGTCATTTTTTCTTGTGTCGACATTTTGTACAAGCTGTCGGAATAAATTCCATCTGGGTCTTTTCGGCTGAGTGCTCAAAAATTATTTCCAACGACATACACGGTTAAAACGACTCGATAAGTGACTTGTAAGTGTTTTTTTATTTCAACCGATTGAAGTTACAGCTGGAAAAAAATTTTTTTTAACGCGAGAGAGACATTCACGCTTGGGCTAATTTTTTTATTCATTGACGATATATTAATTATGGTAGTAAATAAAAAAATAGTTTTTTATACCGATTATAAAAGGACGATAATTTAATGTAGGCAGTGCCGCGCCTTGTTTAGATTTTTTTGTAAAAATAATCAACTTGTTTGATCAATGTGTCTATCATAATTAGCGTTCGGTCTTTTGCATTTTGACTTCCAGTTTATATAATTAAATTATACCGATTACTTATTGACGTTATTTATTTTTCATCACTTTTAATCGATAGTCGATAACGCCAGTCACTTGTATAACTATCATCTAATTAACTACAAGCTATCTTTATAATTAAATCATATTTTAAGTTAGTAAATTCCAGATTTAATGTCATATTTTTTAATCATAAACAAGCTAGAAATTTTTATTGATATATTTTATTTCAAAATCTTACATTTAAAATTGCGAAATATTTATTGAAGTGATATTAATGATGAAAAAATTATTCAAAATTATTCTTCCCATTATTCCTTAATGAATAATGCAAATGATTATCTGAAAAAGATAACGTGGATAAGAGTTAAATTAGTTATTGCAATTGATGTTAAAATAAACAGTTAGAAAGCCATAAGAAATTCAAGTAAATTTCTCGGAGTTCATCTTTAAGCATTCTCATCAGCTCATTGTCGATTACTGGAGAGTCGCACCCACGATTTCACCGTTTAAATCGGCATATTACAGATTTTCCTTACTGTAAAATGTTGAGCATGATAGCAATGTGCTGATGTCAGTAGTGTGTGTGTGTCTGTCTGAACATTGAATTTTGCATTACAGTCATTCGTCCGGCAGCTTGTATGAAATCGGAATGTCGCAGGCGTGTCTACGTCCTGGGAATCTATGTAGATTGGTAGTATTTCTGATGCGGCAAATAAAGCCGAGCTTTTACATGATCTTGGTTGCGGTATAGAGAAGTGTGTGCTATATGTACAGTTTTAGCTGCATGCACACGACGGTACGACGTCCCGGCGCCGGCGTCTCTGCAATCAATACTCGCAAGCTCGTTCAAACTCTCAGCTGTTAATATTTCTTGATATCGTTATTGCTATATTTTTTTTGCCAATGATTGCAGGAGGAATTTATTCCACCACTTGGATCAACCTTTTGAGAGTCATCTTGGTTATTTTCCCAAGTGAAAAGGATTTTTCTTCTCTGGCTTCTTGGCTTTAATAGGCTAGTTATATTGGTTGAGACAAGTCGATACCACAGGCGGACCTTGCATGGCTCAGTAACCTTCCATTGGCGTTCGCATGAGTTAATTGTAGGTTCATAATGGCTCGTGCGAGCCGCCAAGCCTGTGCGTAGTCACCTTTTACGGTCACTTATGCACCCGCGATCTCATATGAACATTTTTTCTCAGAATCTTATACGTATCAATTCGCCGTTAGAGAGTTCAGTATGAGATGCCATGAGAATCATGGGATTAATTCTTTTCACGCGGCCTGAATCCGTCTTTGTCGGCATTCAACCATAGCTTTAGTAAGAAATAATTGCTTTGAATTACTTTTTAATCATTATAAGGAATCGCTAAAGTACCTTAAGGATAATGACAGATGAGAATTTTTTTTGCATTTGCAACACCAGTTTTTCAATAATCAGATTGTCATTTTTGTGCTGGTTATTTGTTGGAAACTGATTGAATCTCTCAAGGACGATTAGTGGATTATTTCATACATTTTTCAAATGCATTGAATTTTTTCAGTGTAAATATTTTTCTCTAACTATTATTAAATATTTATTTTCAATTATCAATCTTATTATTACTCTGTAAAAAATTATTTTGGAGTTTATTCAACAATATATTTGTTTTTTGCTATCATAGATGTGACCACTTATTGATTTTGCATGACATTGAAATTGCAATCACTAGTTGTATGAGTTTTAAATGTGTTTAATATCTTTTTTAAATTGTTTTTAAATTCACTGATGACGAAAATTTTTTCCTACATTTTTTTCATCAATAAATTAAAATCTAAAGAAAAATGATAATGCACAGTATGAGAAATCATTGCTGCTGAATAGTGAATTATTCATTTCTTCATCAGTTTTTAATTTTATTCAGAAAATTTCTAAATTATTATCATGAATTTTAAAGAATCCAACATTTTGTTTGATAATATGGCAGATAACATTCTCCATAAAAGATGATATTATTCATCATTTAATAACCAGGATTAAAATTATCAATTCACGTCTGACTTTATTGAAATATTTATAAAAAATAATCTACCAGGTCCATTTTATGTAACACCAAAATAATAAAGCACCCAATTCTATTACAAAAGTCATTTAAAAAAGAAGAAATAATTTTAATAGACTGATTTTATAATACATGATCTAACCCTATTATGAAAAAGAGCCTATTAATGATGAATTGAAGAAATTTCAAGAACGAAATTGTACAATATTTCTATTGATACTTTTCAAACAAGTCAGTTAGAAGAATACTAAATAAAATTTTTAAATTTCCTGTGAGTATTGTTATCAGAGGAAGAATACATTTATGTAAATATGAACTGGCTTAAAATGGAGACAAGTCAATATTTTTGTATGATAACGAGAAAGAGAGAGAAAGCAAAGACCACCGGATGCGTTGAGACTGATGTGTCAAAGCATTTATTATTATATTTATAAATGGGTAATTTATTTAAGTAGCAGCAACACCAGGGAATCATTCAAATAACACTATAACATTTCATATTTGATAATCATCATAGTCTAGACTATGAAAGAAGAGAATGAAACCTAGGTAATTTATTTTTTTGTGACTCCAAAATAGTGGGGAGTGATAAATTTCCATAAAAAGTGTTCCTATCGTTGGCAAACACTTGGAGATATTGAAAAGTGTAGGTGTAAAAATTGAAACTTTTGACATGAATCATATGCTACAAATGATATTGGGAGGTAACTCATAGATATGTATCCAACACTGATAGGTCAGTACGAGGAAACGTAATCATGACTCCCACTCGCTTTGGAGTCGGCCTTTCTAGCGTCGAGCAAGGCCGTTTATCGAAGTGTGAGGCTTTCAAGAGAAGAGAGCTGAATATAGAATCATTCAACGTCAAGGAAAAAGAAAGTATTTTGTTCTTGTTATTCATATGAACATCTAATTCTTTTTTTTTCTTAGCTCCAGTCATTTTCAAGTACAAAACTACCTTCCAGAGTCATCCTTGAAAGGAATGAAAACGATCCTAGTTGGAAATCCGCTTGAACTTGACACAAAAGCTGCCGGCAAAGTTCGATCAATACTCAGGAGCTTTCGCGCTCGTCCCTCAACTCTATATACACATCGTCTTGCTAGTCCTTCTTTTCATTTCCAGACATATCCTTGCATTATAAGACGAGTTCAAAGCTCTCTCAATGTCTTGATACACATCACGCCTGGACAGAAAAAGTCCTTGATTAAATTGTTGTTAACTTTACATTGCCATGGTGATTTTAATGTTTAATCTATTGCAGTACGTGACTCACATTCCTAACACTACGTTCAATTGATTTTTCTGTATATTGTTTTTTATTTCTTAGACGTTCCAAGTCTATGGATTGGAATAAATTACTTCAATCAACATACTGCAGTTGAAAATTCTACAAATGCGGAAAGATCATTTTATTTATGACAATCAATGTCGTGAATCTTATTTTACTTTATTTATATAAACATTTATGAGATCAAGACAAGTTGGAATCATCATGTAGGTTGTTTATATAAGTTTGCAGTTTTTTTCTGCATTTTTTTTATTGTTACAATTGAAGTGTTTGTACTTAGAGTCAGTTTATTTATAAGAGAGAATTATTTTATTGATTTGTTTGTCTGGGTTGATTTTTTTCTTTGATAATAGAAATTTATGATTCCAAATGTTGGTTCAATTTTGCGTATTTCATTTTTAATGGGCGAATTATCGATAAAAACTTATGGGTGAGCAAATATTTTGATTTATGAATCGAGCAGTGACTAATAAATTTGCTCTGGAAATGATATTTGAAGAATCTGCTTATTTAATATGTGTCATCAATGAATGAGAAATATCGAATATCCTATTTATTCATAGAATTTCTGAGTTATGTACATGAGGTTGAAAGATTAGCTTGTTGGCATGTAGACTCTATATAGATAGCATTGTAGAGAAAGATAGTGGATGATTCACAGAATTTTCTGCGCTTTTTAATCGATCTTGAGTATACCAACTTAAATTGTTGATTAGATAAGTGGAGTTGTACTATATTTCCTGTGGTGGTCAATCGATGGCCTCGAGTTAAATAATACTCTTCAATAAGTTAAACTCACTTTTAATTTTAGAAATTCTTTTTCTGAGAAAGCATAGCATAATATATGCTTTAAAAAATAATTAGAGCCTTTTTTAATGAGATTTCTTTTGAATTTTTAATTATAAAGAGTCTGACAATAATTTGAATGAATTAAATGATTTTATTTCAAGTAAAAAAAAAATTAGTGGTTTATTTTTGAGTTAAAGATAAAACAAAGTTCTATCAATGATAAAAAAAATCCAGAGGATTTTAAATGACCCCATTATCAGATTTTGATGGAAATAAAACGAGATGTTTGTGAATAGCTGAACTTTTAATTTGAATTTACTCCAACTTTCGATGAAATCAAGCCAAAGATAATTTTTTTGTCTACTTCTGTAACCTTTTTTCTATTTTACTGGAGAGAAATCCTGCCAGGTTATCAAGAGAAAACATTTCCAGAATTTTTTTTTTAAATCTAGACAATGTTTTTGTTAACGAACAATCTATTGTTTGAAAGTACTTGCAGTGAAAAGCTTCGAGCGATCTTTTTGGTGTAAAATCCTAGAAAAATGAGCAAATACTGTGATCAACTTTTTAATCTGTGCTTTATTATAAGTAAATTCCAAGTTAATCATCTTGAACTAAAAAAATTCTGATATTACGTATTTTCATGCTTTCATTTATCCTCCTTGTTCATTTAAACATGATATTGAAATTTTTAATTTGAACTAAACATTCACATGAATAAAAATATCAAAGAGGTAATGACATTTTTTTAACAGTCATTAAATATATTTGATGCTTTAAATAAATTCTTTTATTGTCAATATAATTAAAATAATAATAATCAATTGTGTGCAATAATTTTATCCATCACTATGTCAAGAAATTGACACAGAAACAATAGCAATTTGTTAAATACAATTAAGATAAAAAAATTACGGATTCTGATGAATCTTAAGATCGTCACGATCTGTACCCAGACCTATTTTTTAGTTACATAAGTCACAATGCATATTTTTACATAATTATTAAAGTAAAAGTAATGTAAATATGTTAGAAAAGAAGCTGCAAATAACTTGATAATTTTATTTCTTTAATGGTTATGATGGCTTATCATAGACATTATAATAATCTTCAATAGAAAACCATTTATTTTAAATATCAAATCTCAACTAATCATCTTATAAAACAAATTTAATTTTAAAAAATGATTGCAATTTCTCGCAAATTTAGTTACACAAGTCTCACGATTATCATCATTAAAGTGTTTACATATTTGTTTTAGATTTTATCTCCTAGATTCTATTATATAAGTCTTCCTGCAGAGTTGGAAATAAAACCATAGAAGTTGTAGGCAGTTGTCCTAGGGTGGTCTTCTAGAAAAGTAACTGGTTTAGATTTTTCTAAACAAAACCTCTGTAATTTGCTTAGCTAAATATTTTATTCATCGATCCACTGGCGATCTTTTGTCTATGTAAATTCGGTTGTTTACTGTTCACATTCACAGCCATGAGATTGCAACTACTAGTAGTGCCTCAGGAATCGTGAGGTGGATACAACCGGATATGTAAACGTCCATATGAGATGGGATTTACTTCCCACAGCATTATTTTACCATTTACCAGGTGCGAGAATTCAGTTTGCACCTGCGCCGGAAAAGAAATCATGTACCGCATTCTGTAAACTTCAGATGCAAAAAATCACCATCAGGATATGCAAAACCAGTAGGGAAATAACTGAGTAAACTATCAACTCAAGATGTCGCGAGTTACGAGAATTCTGTGGTTTGACCTGTGTTCAGTATAAATACACTTAATATTTATTCACAAAGAAACGTTGAGTTCACAATTTATTAACCCTTCCTAAAATAGAACTTGTGGTTGAGTCACGTCGTAAATTGAAAGAAATATTAAAAATATTTTCACATTGCCATAAAATTTCCCATTTTTCTAGGAAGTTGTTAGTTTCTTTCATTTCTCATCTGTTCAATTTTACACTTATTTTTTAATCACTACCCAGTTGAAATAGAAATACATGTTGAAGTCCTTTTAGATCATCTTTTAATAAGTACTGATCAAAATCAAGACTTTAAAGTATTGAAAAAAATACCTATATTCCAAATGGGTTTTTATTAAACCATTAAGACAACTCTAGTAGCTAATTGATTATAAGAAATCCATTTTCTTTATGACATTATAATTTTGTTTAATTATTTTGGAAGTAGGCATTCATTAGTTGATACTTTGTAGCCTCAATTAAAAAATAAAAATGAAATAAATTGCAGTAAGTACTAGAAATAAATTTTTCTAAGGAATTTCTTCAACTGAAAATGACTTTAATTTTCTTCTTCTAACATGATATCAAGTAATAACTCATAACTCTCCTCATTAGCAAAATTCTCAGGAGTTCGTGACACTTTTCTTCTATGTTCTGACATTCCACAGGAAATTGTTTGGACTACAACTTGTCAAAGAACAAGAAAAATATGTGCTATGGCATTATGTATAACGCGAAAGTTGTTAGTCTGTCTCAGAGATTGAGCTATTTTTTGTGTACACACGTGCGAGTTAATCGGCTGATTAATCACAAGCGACTTGCGCGTGAATGTTACAATCAACCATGCTATCTTTAATATTACCAGCCGCTAAATGGCATGACGATAGTGGTGGTTGTATTGAGGACAGTATTTGATAAATATTTTTCACATTTCCTCAGCTGTGCTTGTGATATAACTTGATGTCTGTATTCTGTTTTACATCTTTGTAATTGATTTTACACTTTCCCTAAAATGAGGAATCCTGATATCCTCATTGATAAGAGCACATGTCATTATTTCGAGGAAGAATTATATCATGTTATCCTTACATCAAGTGTCAATCAAAGTTACATCATGGGTGATAATACAGTCAGATATCCATTTATGGATTGGATGGATTATGCTACAATTCAAAAGTATGCATACATCTTCACTGGGATGAGTTTCATTTTTTAAATATAAATATTCTTGATAATGATGATAAATACTTCTGTGGAATATAATAATGAATTTAGTAAGATATTAGAACAAGTAGTGCTCATAATGATTCTTGTTTTATCAAAGCAAATTTTATTTGCATATTCTCAATACTTCCAGTGATCATTCTTCATGATTAAAGATTGAATAAATTGTTATTCTGATAAATAATTATTTATTAATGAATATTATTATTTATTAAAATTATTTGATTGTCAATGTTCAGCTGTGTCATCATTAAATCACACTCCCAGTTACTTGATTTCCATTCTTGATCATCAAATAACCTTCACCAATTATTATTAATAATAATCTGAAGTAAAGTTCTATTTCAAAATTAGGTATCCATTTTTACTGTCATCATCAAACTTATGTTAACTCCAACATTTTAAACATCCTTCATAGATCTTGTAAACAATCTTCTTAAGATATTAAAGTATTTCTTTCATTCTCAACAACTCAAGTTGATTTTCACTTCCTACAGCATTTCCGAATGCAAATGAATCCATTTCCTATTGAAAAAAATCAAATGTTGAAAAACACTTGACAGTGAAATTATCTAAAATCGAAATGGAATGATTTATCTTCAATAACTTGTTGGCAGAGTATTTAACAAATGTAATGACAGGTGTTATAGTTGTTAAAAGAAAGCCATTACCACTGACTTGTGGTTAAATTAGAACCTTTTGAAATTGACAAGTGGTCTGCCAGGATAGTGAATAGTACAGATACTCTTTCTCTTCACTACACTTATGCTTTCACATTGAAATCAGCATGCTAGAGCGCATCGATCAGGAATCCAAGATCTCTTAGGCTGTCCAGTTGGCGTAGATAGGTACTGACTACCTTTGATTCACGATAAACGTGTCAAGGTAGCTATAGAAAAAATGGATATTTATCCTGCCAATTATCGTCGTGCTTACCAACTTCAGATTTACTAAGCAAGATAAGTCATAAAGTCATGGTCATTCATTTTTTCTTTTACAAATGCTGATCTTTGCGTGCATATTTCATACAATGCAATTAAGTCATCAAATCTAATAGTCCCACCTATCTCCTTTCAATACATAATTATATGTATTGTTGATAAAAATAGTTAAATAACAATATTTAAATATTTCTTCAATTATTTTTCCCAATAACTGAACATGGTGAAAACATAAATAGTTTTCTGTTTTTTTTTAAATCAATAATACATCTAAGTTTCAATAATATTTCCTTCATATATTCAAACAACTCCTTTTTTTATATTTGTGTAAGAATGAAAACTTAAACAAGAAATTTTCTTTTTAGAAAAAATATTATTCATGCCGGATATAAAATAAGAATAGAATATGACATAGAGTAAATAATGTTTATAGATATTACTAATTTATGATTTTCTGGTGACTGGAAAATTTTCTTTTGTTTAAAATCTATTGTTTGACAAGAAACATATGTCCTAAAAATATTTCTTGCTTTATTTTATCGATTTTCATTATACTTTTCTCTAATCATTCTTCCTTTTGCTGAATAAAATATTATATTCATCAATATATCTTTTAAACTTGAATTTAAATTAAAAAAAAAATTTAATTCATCCTAATTATTTAACACTTTTCTTCAAATTCAAACTAAAATAATTTTTAAAAAATTTCTATCTCATTTTATTCTAATTTTAAAAGTTCTCCCAAGGTGTTTCTATCACTTGGATGTATTTAAAAGACTCTTTATTGAGAGTCACATTTTGTGTCATCATCAAGAGAAAAAATAAAAAAGGCAAAAACTCACCATTTCATCTAGACTCTTGAGGTCGTTGGTTACAATTTGAGGTTGTGGCCCATAAATAAGATACGGTTCTTCCTGTTGCATTTCTGCATATTCATCATCACTTTCATCATGACCAGTTCCATTGGATGCTTTGTTTTCTGCAGCAATTTCTCGATCAATCTGTCTTTCCATTTGCACGAGCATAGGTGCGAGCATACCGAACTTGGCGCCACGTCTCGCGACCTCGAGCAGACAAAGTATCACGTGCCTCTCATTCTTTCGCATTATGAGATCGTCGCTCTCGAAAAGTAGGCAATCTATGATACCAAGACTATTGCGGCACCAGCTTATAAAGTTTGACACGTTGTCTCGGGCAAAGAAAGTGCCGGCCTTGGCGTTTGGCAGGAAGGCCACGTCAGTTAGCTGGCTCATCGGAACTGCTAGAGATGAAGTTATTGAACGGGTCATGCTCTTACGAGCCTGGCGACGTACTACATAGTCTGATGCAGCTTTTCGAACATTATTAGCATGCTGGAACAAATTAAATGATCATTTTTTTAATTACGATGAAAAATAATTGGCAATCTTTTAATAAATATTTCTATTTTTATCATATTATTATTATTATTTTAATTACCAACATATTTTATATTAAATTATAATTACTTTTAAAGAAAGAAAGCAGCAAGATAAAAGGATGACAAATTGGTAATTCTAAATTATAGTTTAGAGTTATTATATTAACTAGTTCCTGTTGAGATAGCAGTTTCACTATTTGGATATTTCTAGAATACTATGGAAAACATTTGATGATAATCTAATAGGACTTGGTTTTTGTAGAGCCAGTCCAATATTGAGTTGTTTATGAACTAGACACAGTGTTGGAGTAAGCTTTCTATTTCTAGGAATAAAAGTTTCAGTTTTGGAGTTTGAAGTTGATCAGCCAACAATGTCATACACCTTTGCTACTGATAGATGTCTTTTATTGATGAAATATGCAAAGTGTTTCATCATCGCCTATTTGTAAAGCATCATTAAAGAAAAATAAAATAAGGTACTAAATGAGCTAATTTCATAATGTTGGTGAGCATAATAAAACTTGCTAACTACAAAAGTAAATAAAAATTATCACAGTTATCTTAAAAGCCATTTACATCATATGGCATCTTCAATTTTTCAAAACTTTGTCATCATTTCGAAAATTACTTCACCAACTTAGTCAAAAGCCTAATTAGCTTTGAAATTTCTGAAGGGATGTCCAAAAGGGTCTTCTAAAGGAACTAAAAATAGATAAATTGATCAATATCTTCTAAAATTATCTTCAAACTAAATTAAAAGAAAACAGTAACTGCTTTAAACGTGACTTCTTCGTTAAATTAATGATTAAAATAAAATGACTCTGGACTGCAAAAGAAATAAAACTTGATGCGAGTTGACCAACTCCAGATTGAAGTAGAGTTTATGCGTGATGTTTCAAAGTTTCAACTTTCTTTTTTGTTTGCCAATTTCTATTAGGCGAAGAGAGTTGAAGTAGACATGTGAGAATATTTTTTTTCCATTCAAGGAAGAGTAGTTGCGATGCTGCAATGTTTTAACGACGATAAAACACGTGACACAGTTTGGTGTTACATGTTAAATGCGATGCCCAACCTCGGACAACAGTGAAAGGAACTGATTCTTTCGTTTCTTGCATTGCATGATAAAGTTTAAAATTGGGCGACATGACACGATACGATTTGCTACCAAATAATTAATAGCCAGTCTTCGGCTATTTTGGTATAAGCTCGTTAGTTAAATAAAACTTGTGTAAGGTGGAAGAAAAAATTCAAATAATTGAAAAAAAGGCAGCAATATAGTTTAACTACAGTGAAAATTAAATGTATTTATCAAACGTACTGGCCTTGTTTAATTATAAATTTTATTTGACATGGAGAATTAATCGGTCAGTTTATTTTGCTAAAACCATAAAAACTGTTTTCAAAAGTAATTCTTGAGCTTAATTTATGTTTTTTGTACAATAATTCAGTTGTATGTCCTTGAAACACATCAATAATAACAGTCTGTCAGCTACTTACTTTCCCTAATTTTATTTATGAAACAATTCACTTTAGATTCTTAATTGAAATGCTTCAAATAATAGTTCATTATTTAAAGACTTGTGTAGAAAATTGATAATCTCTGCACTTAATCATCAGTAAATGAAGACTTTGCTGATGAATCATTGAATGAACCAAATTTCCTAGTATCTATGATGCTTTCTTGATATGCTAAAATTTTATCTATTGTTCAATTTATTATTTTTAATTCAAAAAATACAAAAATATTGATAGTTGGCTATGTTGGACAGTTTTAATATTTTGATTCAGCATTTGGAGTTTTGTTTTTACTCATTGTTTAGTTCATTTTTAGGTCTGAAAGTCATTAGCCTGCCTTGACGCTTCACACGTGTGAAACGTGCTTCTTTAATGACTGTACATGTGTGCGTGAAGTTAATGTCGGACCCTCATTTGATCCAAGAACTTAAGAACCCTACTATAATTTCTCTAACATCCGGTACTTTTTGACAGCAGTCACGAAGCAGATAAACGCCATAAAGACTTTATGAAAATGGAGTCAGTTTCAGATGAATGCTAATTCTTATCAGTTTAAAAATAGTCGAAGATGTTTAGAATTTTCTCCATGTTGAAGAAAGAAAAATAATGAAAGTTGGAATAATATTTTATCAAAAACGATTCTAATACTAACATAAGAATTATAATTTCTATAGAAATTTTTTTACTACACTAGTTCTATCACTCTCACTAGGAAAACATTGAACCTTGGTATCAGACCACGTATTTTTTTGATGCTTTCCAAGTAACAAGAAAGATTGGCTCACTTCTGATCCAATGTTGGACCAAGGTTGAATGCATTGATCCAATGTTGAATAAAGATTAGATCAATCTCTGCTTCTACTAGGGTTGGATCCATATGTCCAGTATGATTACTGATCTAGTGAATCAATTATTGAAGGAAAAAAATGAAATCGATCACTGAAAAATGTCTCTAATGATCATTTAAGTTGACTGAGTTGTGTAATTAAGCCTTCACACGTGTCAATATGGGTATAGAAATGAAACTGAAGTAATGCACCGTGAAATAAGCGTGAGGAAACCCTCAAGCCCACCAGAAGTTTCTTGCCTCAGGCGTTGGATCAAAGTCAGCACTGGTGTTCTTGATGAGCAGACAAAATAAAGAGTCAAATAGAAACTCATACATGGTGATGGTTGACTTGCAAACTTGGATAGTCAACGACAGGATGTCATAATGTGGCTTATGACCCTCCTGATGTCGACGTCTCTGTACCAACAAATGTGCTTAATGAAAATGGTCGCTATAATTCAAATTGCTGAACTAATTCAAGTTTATATGTCGAGAGGGGGATAAAAACTTAATGGAAAAAATTGTAATGGATATGTATCAGTAAATAGAATTAGATCGCCATCCGGATGATGTAGGGTATGGTTAGTCATGGTAGTGTTTTTCTGATGATAAAAAAAGTTATTTGCTGCTTTTTTTGCGTTTATTCCATGCATGTATGATATTCTAATTAAATAATATTTTTAAAAAACACCTTAGTATGACAATTTTTATAATAAGAATATTTTTCTGGGTGTGTTGAGTCTGAAATAGTGGAAATGATTGGAAAAACAACTATTAAAAATTTTAATTAGCTGTTAAAAAAAAGTAATAAGGATTATTGTAAGTAATTAGTTATTAATATCGTTGGTGAACATTATTTATGTATTCGTTATTATGCTCTATGCTCTGCGGTTGAAGGTTTAGTGCTTTGAACTTTGGAACTGGACCTTAAGTAAAACTTTGTTTTATTGCAGCAAATAGCGTACTTGAATTGTAGGTCACTTAGTATAAACACTTCTATTTAAAGTAGATTCAATTAAATATCTAAAAATACTTGGAACCAGAGTTGTTAATTTCATAATGCAAAATTTTCCATTATTCATCAATTATTAATTTAAAAAAAAAAAACACATTGTAATAAAAAAATTGGAAAAAATTCCTAAAAGCAATTATTGAGATGGAAAATATTTCCAATAATGAACAGTACAATTGCAGAGCATTATAACAAGTAATGTTTTATTCATACCTTCATGAGCAAACAAAACAATTAATTAGATTGAATCAAAAAAATTCCATATTGAAATGAATTTTCTAACTTGGGAACTATTTAGATAGATGGATAAAAAAATCATTCATCTAGAAAATGAAGGTGTTAAAAGGGTAATCTTCTTTAGAAGAATAGAATCCATTGAAAAAGCTTCAATAAATTGTAAGAAGAATGAATAATATTGATGGAACATCCGTTGAAAAATAATTTTTAAGTCAATAAAGCCATCTGCTATGGAGATAAATCAAATGGAAGAGCAATCTTTCTATTGAAAATGAAAGAGGATCCTCGGATGTGGCTTTTGGATCCTCAACATGACAATACTAGTTAGGGGTTGCATTAATCTTCCCCAAGGGTCATATTATTGTGCAGCTGATAATGTTGTGATGGAATAGAGGGGTTGTGAAGCGTGCAAACATCCGCGGACGTTTCAAATAAAACAATCGATTCTATAAACGTATTTCAATTCAACAAAAAGATTGTCTTCCTTGAAATTGAAACTCAATAGCATGGTAAATAGAAAATTTATCCAGTCATGTATTAGGTAAAGAATATCAATGAATCACTGACTTGAGACTATTTTTTTACTCTGAAAAAACCAGTACTAATTTTCTTAAGAATTATCATTTATTTTCTGTCAATATATTCGTAGCTGTGAGCAATCTATTATTATTCCATAGTCCAAATTGCTAATAATTATTATTCTGCGTACACTAGCAATCGTACTATGCCGCAGGTGTCCCATGAATCATTGACTTTTAGCAGCCGTCTTGTCACAGAGTTTTCTTAAGACTCTGACAACATGTTTTCTCGAGACTACTAGAACAAAACTTAAATGTCGACGTGACTGTGAACGAACAATGCCCTTATGCAGTTAAAAATTCAAGAACCCTAACTTGGGAACAATAAACACGTACGTTACCGTTATTTTTTTCAAGTAACAACTGTCTTGAAAAGACTATTTCAACAGTTATGGCTTTGCTATGACAAAAGATTTTGTTAAAGTGTCTGCTGATCTGCAATGAATATTTATTCGATATTGTACCTATTAAGTCCTATCTGTCTTATTATTGATCAATCATTGAAGCCATTTTTCTACACATCTGAGCATAACAGTTTAAGCTTTATCACATTATTTGTAAAAGTAATTTTTAATTAATTTTGTTTGATTTTTTTAACGAGAGTTCTGGAGTAAAGTAGCACAGAAAAAGGCTCTGTTGTCGTAACAGATTGAAGGCCTTTTCCTGTAACTGTTTTCATTTTTGTTATGCCTAAAGAAAATATCCATGTGTGCAGCTAACTGGGTCTGCAGCTGCAACAGAAGTTTTTCTGCCTGTTTAAAGCTATTCTTGCTTAGAATGGAGCAGTGAAAATCATTGCAAAAGAGTGATAGGTCATTCATTTTAAATTGAAACTCACAAAAAATTGTTTTCAACATATTTGCTATTTTTAAATAAAATCATCCACTTGAAAAATTCTTATTTTTGTGATGATCAGCAGAGTTGAAGTAATTGATGGATGTTGGACATACATGAAATAATATGAACATCAAAGTAATTTAAATCAACATCAACATGAATTTAATCAAACTTGATAAGTTTAAAAAGCTTGCATTACCATTGATTCAACTTGTTAAAAAATGGAATAAAGCACAAGTAATTTTTTCTAGCTTGATGTTGCTTATTGGATCATCTAGACCCTTGACCATATCCTGGTCTAACATTTTAATATTGTTGATGATCAAAAGTACCATGATGATGATTTTTGTATCTTCCAATTCTCCTAAAAGCTTAAATTTCATTTTTCTTAAAAGAGGAAGTTGATGATTATTAAAATAGCTGTAGTCCAATTCAATTTTGATGATTTTTATCATTTTTTTCTTTCCATCAAGAAATTTTTGATTTTCTACGCTCTATAAAGTAGCAATTATGAAGTCAATTGTACGACATTGAAACGAAAGTCCATTCTACATAATTGCATCAACTGCAAAACTAGATTCTAACAAGTCTTGCAATAGCTAACATAATATATCAATCGATATTCTCCACGCATGCACTATCATTCCCACACTCCAGACCTTTTGATAACTAAACTGGTGTTATACATATTTTCCCATTAAAAAAAACAACAGATAATTTCTCTTCCATCTGTTCATCTTTTGAATTTGAAATCAATTTTAAACATAACTGTTATTGAGGCTGTTAACATAAAAAGAAATATCAATTTAGGGTATTCAACAATTTCGATATATGTAAACATAAATTCTTAAAGTCAATTTATTTGAAGCTTATGCATAATGCAGTGAGGATTCCATAGAGTTGGGGTCTTTGCACGCGCTCAGAGCAGGTAGATGTCAAGTTGACTCTTCATATTATTCTTTAAGCAGACAATCGAGTTTTGTGGACAGTCCTAGTTCTCCTGCTTCTCTTACTTTCCTCTGTAGCTGTCATTATGTGACTTCGAGCGAAATAGTTGATATGCCTACTGGCTCTCTGGTGGAAGGTTTAACGTTTGTTCTAGGCTTGTTGAGTTCGGTATGTGTCGAGGGGTGTGTCAGATTCTTAAATGTATGTTAATGCATTCGAAGAGTTCATAAGAATATGAGAAACAGCTTGGACATTTTAAAAACCATCTAACGATATTCTAAGTAGATACTTTGATTCGATCAAATAGAAATACATGCCGTAAATAGTAAATAAATAATTATTTCATGATGAAATATTTTTTAAGACGACATGATAATAAACATTTTTTTTTAATGGTTTATTTTCATTTATTTAATGTTTATGGAATTTTCTTTTTTTAATTTATCTTTAAATTTCTCAATGGATACTTTTTTATTTAAATTCAATGAAAAAATAACTTTCTGTTTTTAGATATAACCATTAAGTTCATTTATGTAACATAAAATTATGATTAAAGATTAACATTAGTTATAAATAATTTATTTTATTTAATTCATCTAGACATTAGAAACTTTTATTTTTTTTCTAGGATTAAATATTTTTTATATCAATTTTAAATACAATAGAGTTATTTAAAAATGAAAGAGATATTTTTTTTTTGGATAATTATTTTAATTTTGATTTATTAAAAGATAATTAAAAATGGTTATTTGAATGAATAAAATAAATAATTAAATACTGTTATAAAATAATGAACTCCAATGTACACTTGATGGATGTGTTGAACAAAGCTCCTCTAACTTGGTGAAATAAATGGCAGATAAAATTTGCATGATGCAATAATCATCAGTGGACTGCAGGCCACCATTTTTTAAAATATATAATAACTCAGTCAATCTGATATTTGCTAGTTTTTAACTCAGCAATAAACATTTAGTATTTATTGTAAAAAATTTTATCTGTGCACATGCCAATTTCTTGTACAATCATATGGTACTTGAATAGAAGATATCATGAGACAGCAGACGGACAAAATTGCATTTGCCAGGCTTTGATAAGATTTATAGGTATAATCGTAGCTAATAATCTTTCTACAAGTCAGTAACTTGACAACGGCGGCACTGTTTGAGGTGTCAAATAAGATCTTGATGAAAAAGGTTGAAAAAATTCCCGAATACCAAGAGAATTTCAAATTACCGTTATAATTTCTATCGATAAAATAATGTTGAGATTTTTTTATGTCACTTCTATTATCTGCTCCTGACGTGTTTATGTATTTAGCTGTTTTGAGTTTTAAAATTCAACTTATTGAGAGTTTTAATCATAAATTTCCATTTCTAACTTTTTTTTTTTTGATGTCCAAGCCAACACTTGAACTTTCCCATTGATTTTGAATAAAATATTCTAATCTTTTTTTTCATTCATTGGAAATAATTCTCTTTCTCCACCCAAAAAAGGTCATTACTTATTACTTGACAAATTGATAATTTATTTTAGATGGAATTATTTTCTATCTGACAGTTGATAATTGCTTTCATGTCTCCTATGATACACAATGCACACTTAAGTGTAGTTATTTATTATGATTGAGTCTCCATCATTTTACTGGTAAATTATTAATTATCAATAAAATCTTTATTTTCTTGATGCCAAGAATGACAGCGTGAATATTACCTTGTAGAAAAAAAGAATAAAATTTACTTTGTAGCAGAGGTAAAAGTTACTCCACAGTGGTAAACCTTGGAATGTAATGAACTGAGAAAAAATATTATGCTGTACTCTCTTAAAATGAATCAGTGGAAATCATTGCAAGTTAGCTATTTTCACTGGTTTGCAGTGTTCAGTCATGTTCAACACTAGGTATCAAAGAATAGTAACGGATTTTTTGCTTGCATTTATACTGATTAATCTTCAGAAAACATGAAAGAATAAAATCAAAAGTGTTTAAAAAATCTTAATGGTAATTATTTTGATGATGAACATCAGATTGTCACAATTTATTTTTCATTATCTACTGGATAGTTGTTATTAGAGGTCTTCATACCCTAGTAGGAAGCTTGAATGATTCATTTCTGGTCCAACATTGGATCAATCTGGAAATGTTAGTTCAACATTGAATCAGTAATTTGCTAATCTTGCCTTCTACTAGGATGGTTCCATCATCACTACAGCTTCTAATCAATACACTTTTAATCTAGCAATCATTTTGATTTAAAACTGATTTAATTTCACATCCAAGAAGTTCATCATTTCGACTAAAGTAGAAACTATAAAAAAAAAAATACTTTAAAGTGACCTTTAAAAAAAAAAGTAACTGAAAGCTATTTATGTGTTTACACGTTAATCAAATCCAATCCTTGCGTAAAAATCAATAACCATAATGAATAGTTTAATGTTTCTCTTAATGGGATACTAATGAAGTGAAAGCTCGAACCTCAGTATGACTTAAAAGATGAAAACGTGATGATTCATAGAATGGCGTTGTTTCCGATTTATTTTTTCTGCTATTTTGGTCGTTAAGAATATTTTTCTACGACATCCCCCGGAGATGCGGGTGCAGTCGATGCATAAATTTAGATACCAAGGGTGAAAGACTCTTGTGCCTATATAGCTCGTTTTTCGTGGCGTCTACTTTGTTCCATTCATAAGGACAGACGACGAAGTAGAAGCAAAAAGTATAAAGAACTAAGTCGACAAGTAGACAAACGCACGCTTTACATTGTACACTAAACACTTTCCTTATTCATATATTCCTGTGGGATTTTCTCTGCTTGGTATTCATGTACTGCTCTTGATTTAGAGGTCGTTGAACGAAATATTACTGTATACGTTTGCGTTGTTATAAAAAAAACATTTTTTCCTCTCTTTTCGGTGCATTCATTGCATTCCTCTCTTCTTTCTGGAGTTTTCTTTGTTACAATAATTTTCAATTTACGTCACATTGTGCGTATTTATTACAAAGACTTTTCTAATGAATCAGTCCTCATTAAAATGGTAATTAATTTAAATAATCCGTCAAGGCTTTTCTCACGGTATATTTATATTAATATTACGGTAATTGATGAGTTATAAATTAAATACTCATTGTTATTAGAAATAAATTAAGTGCGTATAATAATGGCAGTTTCATTGAAATGTTTTGATGTTGAGTACAGATGAGAAGTATTTTTAAATAAAAACTTCTTTTTTTTCGGTCTTAAAACAATTACTTGATTATTTTTACTATTAATAACAATTGAATGTTGATAATCAAGTGAAAATTTAATTTACAATAAAAAAAAAAATGAGTCTCCATTTATTGAAATCCATAGTTTTCTCATTTTTTATTTGTTTTTTATTTATAGGGAAACTTCCTAATGGGAATTTAATAAAAAAAAAAAAAAATTAAAAGAGAAAATATTTTGCTTCTGTATTGAAGAAATTGTTCAACACTGCCATAGCAAGTCAATGAGCTTCTTAAATTAATCAAAAGTTTCTATAAATAGGATATTAATTATTCATTAAACATTAAAATATGTGAAATATTTTGCATTATTCATATAATCAATTAAAATGCAATGCATTCTTTCTTAATTTATTTGTTTTATTTTTCAGAACACTGAACCAACAATTGAGAGGATAATTGAAGTGCACTATTAAAAGTCAAACAGTTGTCAAGCCGTTAAATCATTTTATTCCAAGAAGTGTTGAGGAACAATGCGAGGAAAATTAGTAATCAAGGCTGTCATGAGAAATCAGGTCTCCAGCGAGTGTCACGTGGCAATTAACGACAGTTGGTAATTTCACATCTGTGATATTTTTTCATTATTATACATCATTATTCCAAGTTATTTTCTATATGTCTCTACATGCAGGTGTTATTTACAACCAATTGAAAAAAAAGAAAGCATTTATGGTAATTGAATTACCATTAATAATGCCGACGGAATTTTATTCGAGAAATCAGAAGCAGTAAAAAAAGCTATACGTTGGGATTAGAAGAAAAATGTTAATTTTATCGGGTAATGTATTTATATAGATATATTTGTATATATGTATCGGAAATAGTTAAGCTCCTAACACTTGGAATAAAACACGTGTGACTGATACCTCCAGCCAAGTTGATTCCACGCACGCGGTTCGTTTCCTTGACGAGTTAGCATCATGTACGCGCTGAGCGACTTAAATGAGCACATTTTCTCCTATAATTCTCTCACTAATATGGAAAGGGCTCTACATGGTAATATGTCAGTATGTTTTCAATAAAAAATTTGAAACATTCATTTAATTTCCAGACTCTTTAGGTTAATATGGATTTTTTATCATCAATGATGAGTAAATCATCACATTTCTATTTTATAAAGTGATTGGCAAGGTTATACATGAACTTTTCAAGATGAGGAATCGTTTTTTAAAAACTTCTCTTGACTTTCTTATATTCAAAAATATAGACATGATAAAAAAGTGTGCATTATTTAGAAATTTTATTAAAATCAATTTGGAATTCATATTCAACTATTTAAAATTATTTTGAATGAAGTTACTCAAGAAAATGATTATTTTTTAAAAAGTAAAAAGTTAGTGTTAATGTTAGTGTAAAAAGTTAGTTAGTGTTTTTATGTATCAATCAGTGAATATGTAAGTGATGTGATGATAAATAAATTCAAGTGGTTTCAACGTTGTTTATTTGTGTAAAAAAAGTGCAAAGTGTAAATTAGTATATTAATGATGAAGTGTAGTGTGCCAATAATATATTAGTGTGTTTTATTGTGTTAAAAATAAAATAATAAGTTTTTACGTGTTTAATGTGTATTTTGTGTGCACTACTAATTTGTGGATTACTTGAAGACCTCCTCGTCATATAGAAGTCAATTATTTTGGATGGAATTACTCAAGAAAATGACTATTTATTAAAAAGTAAAAAGTTAGTGTTAATATTAGTGTAAAAAGTAAGTTAGTGTTTTTATGTATCAATCAGTGAATATATAAGTGATGTGATGATAAATAAATTCAAGTGGTTTCAACGTTGTTTATTTGTGTAAATAAAGTGCAAAGTGTAAATTAGTGTATTAATGATAAAGTGTAGTGTGCCAATAATATATTAGTGTGTGTTTTATTGTGTTAAAAATAAAATGATAAGTTTTTACGTGTTTGATGTGTATTTTGTGTGCACTACTAATTTGTGGATTACTTGAAGACCTCCTCGTCTCATAGAAGTCATCACTGGTGAGTACTAATTATTTTTATATCATAAAACAACAAGCTATTTGATGTAAATTGTTTATTTTTGTGCGTATTTTGAACCACTGCTGGTCAATGTATGCGATAGGAATTGTCAGGGGATTTACCCAAGTATTTTTCGCGGAAATGCTCGAGTAGCGACGATACTATCTAGCATCATGACAGATTTATTACTTTAATCCTTTGTTATTCTTTCGGAGTCTCTTCCTAGCCGTGCAGTCTATATAAATTCTATACACAAACTTTTAAAATTCTTTTAATCCTTTATTGATATTTACTAAATTTTTTTTTTGTCCTGTGGCCTATATAAATTCGTAGAAACCATCTGACATATTTCAAGGAAATTTTAAATGACTGTTATTAAATCGACTTTCGCTTTCTTTATCCTCAAATAATTATCAAGTAAAATAGTTCACTCAATAATTTTTAATTGTCTCATATTTATCTCAATAACAATAAATATTTCAGCTTTAAAAACATTCATTAAATAATTTTCAACAAAAATAATTAATCATTTATAATTGATATTTCTATCAGACATAGAAAGTGAAAAGGTGAAGAATTTATTTAAAATAAAAAATTTATTTACAAAAATCGAATCTTTGAGATAATGAAGACAGATTTATTAATATCCGAATAATAATTAATTAATAAAAAAAAATGATACTGTATAATAAATGTGAAGTAGTAATTTTTTAGTAATGTATAATATAAAAATTATTTTTTGCACATCATCAACTGGAGTCTGGAACTAACCAACTATTGGCTCTTCTTTAAAGTCTCACATTAAAATTCAAAAATGATTGCAAAAAATCACCGATTTGCTTCAAAAAGATCCAAATTAGAGATTGCAATTTATTACCAATTCTTTTATTTTTAAACTTCCAAGAATTTTTTTTTTTGCTCACGATCGTGATTAGTTGTTTTTACACTCATTTAATGCATCGTCAAACAAATGCTACAATCTTGAGTAATTCCATATAGCTCGTGGAAAAATTCCTAAACATTCTCGATATTCAATAAACGTTTCCTAAAGGCTACAAATACCTTTGAGTAAATTTCCCAGCTATGAAAACTCAAATAAATTACAAGCATTAGATATTTAATAAAAATGTTTAGAGTAAACAATCTGTGTAAAGTGATTTTGCATATGTTCTGAATCATAACATCGTATATCAGATAGTTTACGAGACACCTCGAGGTATACTTGGTATTTGTCATTTTTGACAGAGAAGGTCATCTTTTAATGTCAATTTTTTTTCCTTCATTGGCATCAAATCCTCACGAATTCGAGGTCAGTCATTGCTTTGAATAATGATGCCATTAAGAAAGTTCCACCGAGGATAATATAGAGAGAAAAAAATGTATTGTTAAGTAGAAATATACTTTGCAATTGAAACCAATTGAATTTAGAAGTGAATAAAAATTATTTACCATCCATTTGAGGTCTTCGTGTCATCGTTTCTTTCTATTTAACTTCTTTTTATTGAATTTTATTATTTTATTATGATTGACTTATGACCACAAATTGATATGGAACTGGTGGTGGTCATTCAGAATTGACCGTTTTAATTTTATTTCTAAAATAGATCTCGTGAGCACGGAAAAAAAAGTATGCAGGTGAAATGTGAATTGAGAATGATAAAAATAATCAGTCGCTTAGTGAAACAAATAACGAGTCATTGCTCCGTAAATCACTTGGACGGAAACAAATTGCAAATTCTCTTTTACGATCTCGTAAACGAGGCCTTGAGTTTTCATGTCTACGTGCAAAAACATTTTTCCAAGTTTTATCTTCTTATTTTTTGTCCCTTTATTCTTCTCATCTCTGTATTTACTTGCATCTACCGTGTCATATTATTATCCGCCCAAGCTTGAACAGCTGGACTGTTATCGTGTCTCGTAAACTTCTGTCGAATGATACGCTCCAAAGGACTAGTGTGAACATTTCAGGTTTAAGGATCATGTAAGTTCCTGCATTACACCTATTTTTTATCCAGATTATTAACAAATATTCCTAAAAATCATTAGAGTCCTTCTGATGTTTATTAAAAATTAAATATTGTGCTCAATTGATTGATTTAAAAAAATTCTCACATTTACATGAGAGTATGAAATAAATGTAGTTATCAACTTAGGTTGACAACTAGTAGTCTTTGCTTGGAGGCTTTTAGTCAAGAAGTTTGCATTTATTTCATATTCAATGATTAGTTGACTATATTTCTGAACGAAAGTACATTTTTTTAGATATATTCTAGCTTTTTACTGATTGGACTTTCAATTATATTCATATTTCATTTAATAATTAGAAATATTTTTTTTTTTACAATAAATATAAAAAAAGATACTTATCAATAGTAAATTTGGATACAAGTTTTTTTTAATCAGTCTGATTGCTGTAATTTTCGAGTCTCATGTTTGAGAAGTTAAAAGAGAGACTGACAAGACATCTCAATTCAGTCATCTTTCGTCAGATTGTGGTTTCAGTACAATTGTGTTTTATTTTATTCTTTTTTTTTTTTTTTAATTTAAAGCTCATCATCCTCTCCCATAGCAATTCGAAAACATTGATTTTTCTTTTAGATAAAGAGATATTTTTATATCACTTTTGAAACTAATTTGTGTTTATGAAACAGAATGAACAAAAAATATGTTCTAATTATAAATGAAAAGTAGTAAGTTATATAGTTAGCTAAGTATGTCTTGTGTTGTTATATTATGTCAATTCTTCAATCCATTAAGTAGAAATAAATTACACATGATTAATTGATAATAAATATAATCCAACAGCCATCAACAATTTATGGATGAAATAAATACTTCATTTATTTAAGTATTCATTGACAAAAAAAAAAATGTGTTAGTTGTAAATTATAACTTTATTACTTGAGATAATTTATTAACAACTAATAAATATTTTTCTAAATTCATCATATAAATTTATAAACTTTATGCAATTATTTTTTATCGCGTGCCATGATTTCGATTAGTTTTATTTATGTCTAGAGAAACTGTGCCACAGTCAATAAAACGAAGATAAAATGCTTTCGAAAAGTTCGTTTTATTGCGTAAGTTAACTATTAGACAAATTTATTAAAGAAAAGTTATAAAAGGTTCATTAATATTCAATAAATTATCTCACTTGACATCTGATGAATATTATTAACTACTTAGTTATTTCACTAAAAATCTATTATTTTTATCATGAATTTATTATATTAAAAATCATAAATAAATTTGAAAATATTACATATAAGTATAACTAAATAAATTTTAATCTTAATTAAAAATTTTTAAAGTTTATAAGGTTTTTTTAAAATTACTAAAAATTAGTTTACTTTAATTTTATTTCATTGCGACTATTTGATTAAAGATTTGATTTTGTCTAAAGAAAATTATTTTTCTCAGTGCAAATATATTTTATATATTATGGATAAATTTCATTCATCTTTCAGATACATTACAGCTTTATAAAATTTTCCATGTCGGTATTTAATCTAAATACCATGAAATATTTTGATCATGTAACCCTTTAAATTATTTCGAGCTTGGAATTTAATATTATTCATCAACGTTTATATATAAAACTGAATTCAGACTTGCACGTGAATCATAAAACCTCTGCAAACCTGTTCTATTTATCTAAGAATAGACCAATCAAACCCAGAAGAAAAAGAAAAATAACTAATCAATTAAAAACCACCATCACTATCAATTTTTTACCTCCTTCATTCTTCTCGCCACTAAAATGTCTTATTTTCTCTATCCCCAATAAATATTTATCCTCCTTGATTGTTTGATTCCCGCGTTGCCTTTCATGTCCACCAAGAGTCTGTGGTTCTTATCGTCTACCTACTCTAAATATTTCACTGGCGTGTATTTATGTTGAGTGTCATGGATATAAGTCGCGAGAGCTCAGCTGAATATACTGAAAGATAGAGAAGCGAAAATACGAGTGGCTCTCGAAATACCTGAGTCTCGACTTACGTCGTACTTCCGAAGAAGTTGAAGCACGCGAATCATCGAGCCAGCTATAAATTCATCCTGAATTATAGCGAAGGTATGCACCTTGCACTTCGTCTAAGTCTCAATAAGATAAACGTACAAGTATGTGCAGGGGAAGAGGCAAAAACACAAGTGAGGCTTCTCATTTGTCCATGCAAGTAAAAAGAGGAAAATAACTATCGAAGTTGATTATAAGTGACGGCTCAAGACATTTGTGGTTATTATTAATGGAGATCTTTAACACGTTGAAACAAATGGATGTACTAGACGCAAGTACGAATGTAGTGTTAAGCTCTGGAAATATAATAAACGTGGGACAAACGTGTCCAGAGTTAGAAAGAGGGAGAGTGGCAAACGGCCTCGTGTTGTTAGATATTCTATTTAACAGGTCAGTTCTCTCTGTAACCAGAGTCACAAACACGAGCGCAATCCAAAGAAGAGGTGGAAAGAGAGACTTACTCAATGACTAGTTACGCACTCGTTTATTCTAGTTATGTTGCTTACGGCCTGTAAGCTAAGTGCGACAGTTTATTTCCGAGGTCCTAGTGTCTACATATCCTTCCACGTATTTATTTGCACCTTCACGAAGAATCTAGAACTAATAATTTCGCACTATGGTCGCCACTAGAGAAACGAGAATTGTGTGATAGGCATATGATAATGATTAATGATCAGTATAATATATCTGGATTTTTATTTTTTATTTTCCTTTGGGGTGTGAGATTATAAATTGGATCCTTTGAAAAAATTTCATTAGTCACCTTTTGAACGCGTAATACTTATAGGTGGAAAATTAGTTGCTTTTATTGGGAACGAATTGATAGAGAGAAAATTGTTGATTAGTTTTGAGTAGGATGTTGATAGATAAATTTTTATTTTTTTTCTTATTTCAATGATTTCTCTAAAATTTAATTAAACCATTTAATATTATTTTTTCAAGTAATACATTTTTAAAAAACTTCACCTATTAAAGAGTATAATTATTTTTTAATAATTTTTAGAATTAAAAATTATCAATTTAAATTAAATAAAAAAGTCAAAAAAATTATTTATTGCCTCAAGGGATGAATTGCAGTGAGAAATTATTAATAAAAAACATTTTTTAATTGATTGATAATTTATTTATAAGTATTTTATGGTGCTTCTTGATCAATTATTAGATAATTTAAATAAAATAAATATTTTAATTGAAAAAGAAATAAGAGAATAAAAATAATAAATGTTTATATGATTAAATAATACATCCTACAGCTTGGAAATTGTTTATGTAAGTCCGGAAGTCGTTGACAATTGAACAAAAATAAACTTCAAACCCGTTATTTAACTCCCAACTCTAAAAACAGACACACCAAGAAATCATTAAGCAACAAAAAAAAAAATTTTTCGAATACTGCAAGCTACATTGAATATTCTTTCTGAAAATTCTTAGATCTCTTTTGTTTAGTTGCTCTCTTTTTTTTTATACCGTCTATATATTTTCTTCGGCTACATTTAAAAATGAGTTTCTTTGTAGTAACTATTACAGCTCGGTCGTCACTTGGACATTGGAGTCACGTATGTCGTAGTTTCCGTCGGGCGTCATACACATCCTTCTTCCTCTACTCATAGGCCGACGCACGCTCGACCGAGTTCGTTATCCTCATACTTATATACCTTCCGACTGCTTTACGCGTATAGATATGAAGACAGTGAAGCCTCTTGGAAGAGAGCTTAACAGTAAATAATTCAAAGCATCGAGAGAAAAGAGGGAGAGTGAGTATAGAAGTACAAGGAGAATTACGCGAGGGGCGGAAGAACGTGGAAATGCTTCAGGCATACTGTGTTTACGTCTAACATTTTTTCTCATTTCTTTATTCCATCGGAAGATATGTATTTGATCGTAAATTATCCTTGCACTTGTGAATGCGCATTATTTAGCTTTCATAACGGTACAGACTCGTCTTGTCGGATTTTTTGGTTCAGTCAATTTTTAGATTTTCCTTTTTTTAGGAATAATGAATATTTGTATTTGGTTACATCATTTCAAAAGAAAATTCTAAAATTGTGTCTTCAAAACCAACTTTAATTATTTATCAATTATTTAATTATTTTCATTCAATTTATTAATGAATAAAAAAGTCTTATTTTTAAAAAAAAATACTGCTTTTCAATTGTATGGAAAAAATCATTTAAAAAAATCTCTTTTGTATTTTTTGTTAGATTTGATTTTAATTATTAAGAATCATTATAAATAATTTAATTGACCATCAGACGATAAATTATTGTTTGATTATAAAATTTAATTTTAATGACATTCTTGAATATTTTTTTTTTTTTCGAATATTCTTCTACATGCATCAGAAGAATAAAGAAAAAGTTTTTTATAGATAGAGTACTTGATAGAGTTGAAAGAAAAAATCGATAAAGATATTTACCTTGCACAGAGCGACACCAGTATCAAGCCTGTCCATAAAATTGTCAAGATTAATTCGTAGTTCAGGATATAAAGCATTGAGCCATTCAGCTAAATCTTCTTTCATCGCGATCAAATATTCTTCCGAAGACTTGAATGGCCTGAAAGGCCTTGCTTCCAGCAGCACAGACATTATTGCTGATTTCCTGTAATAAAGATCAACATAAATTGCTTCAATTGATATATGCATATTGACAGAGAAATTAAACGCGATAGTAATTGATGCTTGAACAAATTTCGTTAGCCGGCAGTGAGGAGTGTAAAGTTTATATGCGTCAGACACTCAGACGAATGTTGATAATAAATTCTTTTCACGCGTCGGCACAATAACGAAAGACACGACAGCAAATTGGTTGATGTTAACTTGGAGAGTTGTTGAACCGGGTGAGTGGGAAAATAAGACAATTATTAGGAATTAGATTAGTATGCGGATATTTTAATAAGGCATTAAATAGTGAGAAGGGAATTTAAAAAATTAAATGCACGATATTAAATAATATTGTAATGAAAATAGTTTAATGGAACTTTAATGATCATTTTTCAACAAATTTTTACAATAATTAATAAACTTTAAATATTTATAAAATGACTATTAGAAGTGACATTTATTAAAAAATTATTTATAATAAGATTAAGCAGGCAAAAAAATAATTGGCAGAAAAATATATTTTTGGAGTAATATTTATTTATTTTTATTGATCAACTATTGATTATAATTTTTTTTTTTCAATTTTGAATAATCAACAATACCAATTTTTTTTAAATGTTACACTTGATTTGAAAAAAATACACTAGTAAAAAATATTTTAGGGCATTTTAATTTTTTTTTTATAGTTTTAACAATTTATGCATCTTCTGGGCAGTGTTCATCTATTGATCTATCTTTTTTTACAATAAAATATTTTATAATTTAAAAAAAAAATGAAAAAAGTTGATTAAACAACATAAATAAATAAATAAATAATTAAAATAAAAATTGAAAGAAAGTCTTTAATAAATATTAAAACAAATAAAATATTAATATTTTAAAATAGTCTTCCTCAAATTGAAAAAAAAAAAAAATTGAAAGATTGTTAGATGTATAGATTAGAATAACTCAGAAAATGAATTAATTCCATTTCCCTCATCAATCTTGAATGAATTTATTTACTGATTGACAGACCAATATTCAATAGGTAAAGTAATAACCGATAGTTGATGATAATCAATCATCTTAAATGACATAAGTGTCGAATAAGTGGTTTATCGATGAAGGTTCAATCACAATCAACACTGAAGCAGCAATGAAACAATCTAGACTCGTTGAGAAGAGTAATCTTATCGTCCCCTCACGACCCACTTCCTCTCTTTCTTACTCCATCCAGTTTACAAGTTTAAATGAGCGATAGTAATGACAATGCGACATGTAATTAGATTAACTTGCTTGCGTATCTAGGGTCTTAGATCTATGCAGGGCAGTTTAAGCTTGTTACGACTGAGCAAAAGTCGAAGACTTGTCCGGTTTTATTTAGCTCTATCATCGTACTTCTCAATTATTACATTACATACTCAATTTTATATCAGTAAATAGTATTACATATATATAGTAAATATCCCATCACTAGCAATCAATACACATTTTATTTTTATTTTCAATGTATCATATTAATAATTACTTATTAAGACTAATTAGTAATAATGAATCATTATTAATAGTAATTAATAATAATTATTATTAAGAATAAATAATAAGTATAATAGTAATAATTAATTAAGGTAAATAAATTAATTTTCAATTAATTTCATTGTTTATTAATATTTCTTAAAACAAAAAGTGATAAATTGAATATTTATTATTATTTTAATCAATAAACAATTGTAAACTAATTAAATTTTAATCAAATTGCAACAAATAGTCCACTAATTATTCTTTATGATTATTATACTAATAAGTAGTTTAAATTAAATTTAATTCCTTTATAATAATAATATTTTGAATCTCAAAAATTTTATAAATTTAATTTATAGAAAAAATCATATTTATGTATTTATTTTTTTAATTACAATTTCTCAAAGATGATTATACATTATGAATTATAATTATATGAAAAAAACGAAGCAGATATATCTATCAAGTGAAATTTATTTGATAAAAAATTTATTATTTTACTCGATAAAAATTTTAGCGCTATTTCCGATCTTCTGATCTTTATTTAATAATAAATAATCAATAATTATATTCTGATGTGCTCGAGTACACATGTTATTATTAAATTTACTAGCCTTATTTTTTATCAACAAAACATTGGAAAAATTATCTCAAATTTATTACTGATCATCTATTTTTATAAAATGTGTAGTAAAGTTATTAATAATATGCATAACTCCAATTTTTTAATAGCAAAATAAATATTTTAAAAATCTCAATTAATAATCCAAGTATATATAAAGCATAAAAGTTTAAACAAATGACACTTCCTAGAGCAAAAGTAGACAAAATGAAAGCAATTAGTCAACGTAAGAATGAGTTTCATAATTCCAACAGTTCCTAGTAGTTTATTCAGAATGAGCATTCATAATTTGTTATCTGATCGATTAATTAGGTTTGTAATAGTTGGACGTTTATAATATGTATATACCCGAGATATCTCAGGTATCTTCGTTCATGCATATTCGTTTTACACAAGTGAAACATGTTTACTCATTCATCCTACCTACTTGCTTCGGAACTTGTCTTGTAACATATCGAGCTGAAGTGAGAAAGGAATAAAAATGATAAGGGATGAGATTCATATGAGAGCAAAGGAATGATCATATCTTATGTAGAGAAATGCGATATCTTTACTTTGTATTTAAGCACGAGTCATGCATATCATCATCATCATCATCATGTGTTGGTTCACACAATCGTTTATCAAGAAGCAACAGATTGCGTCAACGAATCCAAGTATGTGGCAGATGTCAATTGTCGACCCTTTTATTTTCGTGAATGTGCATACTATTCTAGAGCTTAGAGAGATTATTCGATAACTCTTCATGAATTACTTCTATTGATTACATGATTATCATTTATTTGCTGTCAAATTTTATTATCATTCACAAAAAGCTCTAGTTCTTTTAATTCTAAATAAAAGATTATGATAGAAATTTTTTAACAAAAAGTTTTAAATAGTTTAAGTATTATTTTTGTGATGTATTTATTGCTAGTAATCCTGGGAGGAGTATTTACATAAATTTTTTTATTAAAAAATATTTATCAGGGATTTTTGGAATTTGAAGGATATAAATCAGGATTTATAATTGGGGAGGAAGAAGAGAGAAGTTAGGAAGTATTGGAGGCAAAATTTAAATAATATTATAACAAATCTCGAGGCATTTAAAATTGTGAGCCCACACAGTTTTTGAGGGGCTTAAAATAATCAATGCAAAGCATTCTAATGAATGACCTGACATTCTTCGGTGTTTCTTTCTATCTAGTTCATTGACACTGTTTTATTTATTTACCTACTGAGAAGCTATTTCTGATACTAGTTATTCATCATTGCTATAATTACTTTGTTCACGTTAATTATTTTTAAATTAAATTATATTAAAATTAATAAGATTAAATTTTTTTGAAAATAGTGAAGCTTAAATTTTATCTTCATAATAACAAATAAAACTGAAAGTTCAAAACGTTTAGAATAAATAGTTTAATTCGTAAATATTTGAGTTTTGATAAAATGTCCGATTTTAAAGCCACATAGAAAATATTGTTCTCATAATTATCTTTAAGATTAGTGTTAATATCTTTCTAATGTCATTGAAGAATATTTTGTTTTATTTTAAAAATTTTAATTACCATGATAATAATAATTTTATTGGGTATCTGCTGAATTGATATTTATGGAAAGAGTTAAGCTAAACCTTCAATTGTCGTATTTTTTCATATACCTAAATTTCTATTTAAATCAAAGTATTGGAAAAAAATCCCACCAAAGATTCCTAAAGTAATCATACTTTATTGAAGCAATTCTAAATGCATCGATAGCATAGTATATATCGATTAGAAACTGATTCGAATAAAAATCTATCAATCGGGACAAAACGTGATTTCCGTGGAAGACATTTGCAATAATAAAAATCTAAAGAATTGAAATGGTTTATTTTTCTTGATCGAATCTACATCTTTTACAGTCCCAACCCGTAAGGCGTTCAATACCGACCATGACAGTTGATCGAACGTGTCGATATAGCCGAGGATAAATATTGCGCGTCATCTTTGCGCAGTTCAGATTGAAAGCAATAAACGAAAGAAGGAAATAAAGAAAAAACAGAAATAAGTCAGAGAGACGATTTAGCATTGATAAAAAGAGATTCGAATGTACGTGATCGAGACCGCACGGACATTTAATACCCGTGAATGAAATCCTGCACGCTCTCATGAGCGAATAAACGTCGTATGATGCGGTATGATTTGTACTTGTAGTTGTTATGAAGTGTTGGACGCATAAAACGTTTATACGCACACGATGCGGCGTGAGTTATATGAAACTGGCCGGCGGGCAGCACGGACCCCTCTCGGAAGAAAATCTTGTGAATGAGCGAGTTCCCCATTCACTTTTAACCGTAGAGCTCTGCAGTATAACGACCGTGAAGTCTCTCTTCTCGTATCGATGTATTTTCTCGCGTCTTTTTTTTAAATTCATCTTCTTACATAAATCTTCTACTGTTTTTACCGTCGTGTTTCTTCCTCTCTCTCTCTACTGCAAGCTCCAATCTTTGTCTCACTATTTTTCATATTTTTTCGTCGCTATTATTCTGTCGACGTTCTGTGAACGCCTGTTTATTATCTTATTGTCTTTTATTGTGAATCATTGCCAATTTTGCGGTCGCTACTTGAACTTAACTTTTATTAGAAATATCATTTTACAAAGATCTTTACCAGTTCTTACGTTTTTCTTTTTTTGAGAGTAAATTAAAGTTAATTCGTTAATTTCTTAAAGCTTACCTAAATCTATTTAATTTTATGCCGTTCTTGTTTGTTTATTTGTTGATTAAAATAAAATAGAAAATTGTAGCGATTTATTTTTAATTATTATGAATAAGGAAAGAATGGAAATAATAGAATAGTATGGATTAGATATCAGGAATGTATTATTCATCATTTTAAAAATACTATATTAGGAAAATTTATTGAATCATTTAAAGTTGTTTAGTCTCAGTGAATTTTTCATAATTTTTCACGACAAATAAAATCGTTAAAAAATCATAAAAACTCTTTATGACCTCTCGGTTTACAGAGCACGCGTATTGTGTTTCATAAGTACCTCCAGTGTTTTCATAACTCGAACTTTACTTCCATTAAAATAAATCAAATTATTTCCTTTTCAATTAAAAAAAAAAAAAAAAGAATTCCTCCTGCCTGGTATTTTCCATTTTCAAATTAATCAATAAATATGAATACTATTCAATTAAAAATATCAATTTGTATTTATGTTTCATCATTTAATTCATATCGATTTAATTACAATTAATTTTTTCACCATAATTACTTGTACATGCTCTAGTTATTTTTATAAAAAAAGCATTTTAATTAGCTATTGTTTAGTGGACTAATATTTCTCAATTATAAGATTAATATATTTCTTACAATGACAATTTTCTAATAAACTTCATTGTGCATGAGTTTTCTTGAAAAAAAAAAAATTATCTCTCACCATGTAATAGATATGAAGTATTATTTATCATAAAATAATATGTTAAGTGTATTTTTTTTTATCATTAATTAATCGTTTATGATGCAGGTGGTGATTGAGTAACGGAATGGGGAGTGTATAGTGTTCACAAGCAATTCAATCTAAGAAAATTCTTGTAAATGTTTATATATAAAAACTTGTACTAAACATTTTTTTTTTTTTTATTTAAAATTTTTTTTCTTGAAGTAAGTACAAGTTTACTGAGTTGTCTGTGGGTGGTACAGTAGCTATTAGGAATTACTTCTTGCTTCTGTCAACCATAGATTGAGTTAATGAGAATAATAATAAGTATTATCTATCAGTGCACTATGCAATTTTCAAGCAGCATCTCAGTTAAAGTCTGTTATTTAGATGTCGTTTGTATTTTTACTTGCTTTTCAATGTTTTCCAAAAAATTACAAACAATTTTTATCAAAGTTAAAATGACAACAACAATTACCACAAAATTCTCTAGAGTGCTTAGACATTTTTTATTCCTCATTAAAAGTATTTTAATTAATTGATTTAATTAAAATTCTTTCAATTTCAAGTCTTTTGATCACAGGAAATTTATTATCACATCAATCTAAAAATTTAAGTAGTCTACATTACATTCGATAATAATTGTACAAAGTTCTCTGAGCAAAATAAATTTTTTGTGATAAATTTATGATAAAACTTGAACTGAATGCATCTAACATGAAAATGATGAATAAATTATAGATGAAAGATGACTTAGGATGTTGGGATATTGATAGCTTAATGATTTCTAATTTTTCAGATAATTTTTTCTAAAGGCATTTGAGTGATGAAAACAAACTGAGATACTATAATTACTGATAACTAAATGAGCATTATCTGCATAGCAATACATACTGAAATGCATGATAATGGGAATTAAAATACAATTGCTTCAGGAAGAACGCGTAGTATGTTTAATAATAAATCGCTATGTGTACGTGTAATAAATTTCAAACGATAAACACTGCACTCACCTAATCTTTACAATCAGCTGCGACTCGTGCTCACCACCACGCGAATGTCCTTGCGTCTGTCAAACGTGTGCGCAGGACCTTTTAATATCCTTCCACCCTACACTACTAGTTAAATATCTTTTTAATCATATAGATTGATTTTTAAATGCAATTTTTATCAAATACTTCCTTGTTTATCTCCACAGTTTCATTTATTTAAAAAAGAAAAAAAAAAACATTTTATTAACAGTCGATTTTTTCAAAGTTTTGCCAATTCACTGATTAATGAACGGAATTTTTTTTTTATAAATTAATTAAAGATGACAAAAAAATTATTTCGAATGTGTCGTTTTAATAATCGATTTCTTAATAATATATTTTCACTCAATGATTACAATACAGGGTTGTGGGCGGTTCGTGGGTTACTTTTGAACCCCATACTCACGCGTTCACGTCCCAGGCAGAGACTGAAGTATTTGCAGGAGGTCCATGCTTATAAGAGCCTTAGTTGTTCTTCTGGGTCGGTATTCGACATTTAAGAAGGGGGGACACGTTACTATCTATTTGCACTAGAGCGCGGTAATTACTGAACAATCAAAATTCATTCACGATAAAACAGTTTTCTATATCATTTCAAAGAAAATCATCTCCAGTCGATAATAAGTGGCTTGTCGATAAATTATCGATTTAAAATTGTCGACGGTGGGTATTAAAACTTCATTACCGATACAAGATAAATATTTTAAGATACTTACCGACTGTTTCAAAAAGAATAAAGCAGTTTGAATGTAGAAATTGATGAAGTGAAGGGTTAATATTGCTCTTATCATTAGTTAATTGATATAAAAGTAGAGTATTTATTACTTAATGATTGAAAATTATTTTTTTTGGAGTAGGACATAGATATTCGATGCACAAATAAGTTTTAAATGAATTTTAAATAATAAATGATTTATTTGTACTGTAATAACAAACAATAATGAATAATGATAATGTAATAATCATATTATTGTTGAAATATGAATAAGTTCATTTCATTTCTATATTAAATCTCATTTAAATTCAAGATTGAATATTGGCTGACACAGTTCTGTATTTGTAACCTTTCTCTTTTAGTACCATTAAATTTGTGTTCTATTTGCTTGTGATTTATTTTGAGTACTTTTTACTTTTACTTTAAACTAATATAATCAATGTGAAAAACTTCTACTTGATTTATGTTAACTTTTATGTTTCTCTAACTCTTTCACTTTGATTTTATTTTTTTCTCTTGACGACTTGATGGAGACCGCATAAAATTATTCCATCTGGTGCTTTGGTATTCGTTGGCACTCAAAGTTTTCACTAGCACTGACGGCCACTTATGCTAACGATGAGAATCCTAATCGCAAATTATAATTGTTAATTCTCTAAATGATCCAGAGCCTTTATCTCTCATTTCGTTCATTCTTACTCTCATCTTTTTAACGTTATTTCACTTTCAAGAGAAATGGTCATCTACTAGTGAGGGTCTTTTTACGTGTCTGTCGTCCATAAACTTGCCATTTCCTTTTGAAATGTCTCTAGTTCGTTCATATTAATTTCCTTTTAATTAATTTTCTTCGCCAACTTATTTATGTATGAACTTTAACGATCCTTTCTAAATAATTATTCCTATATTATTTCATCTTGTAAATCTCTGCAATTTAAAATGAATTCATTTTTTTTTATTTATTTATTTTTTAATTTTTACAAATTGCATTTAACATAAAGAAAATCATCATTTAATGTTAAATACTTTTTCAGTGCTTCATATTTCATCGTAAGACTAACGAACTTATTTTTATGTATGTATATGTCTGTGTAATGTAATTTGCAAAAAAAGTCATTTGAAGAACATTTGCTTCAGGCAACTTGGCTCATCACTTTAAAAGCTCACCTGGAAAATTTTTTAGATAAATCATTTTATGATGAAATAATTCCTTGGAGATGTGTTTTTAATAAAGGTTTGCTAATAAAGTAACATTTTTTCTAATTAGTTATTACAAAAAACAAACAAATGGGTCTGGGTTTACTTTGTAACCTGACGACGAACTTCCCATTTATTGAAATTTATAATTTTCTCATTGTTTATTTTTTTTTTTTTTTTTTTTTTTTTGTTTATAACAAATTAAATTTTTGAATAAGTAGAATCGAAAAAATAATCGGACGTACGTACATACAATTGTCTGTACGTATAAATTTATTTCTGAATCTTCTAATATGCTTTCAAATGTCTCAAAATGTCACGATATGCTAAAATTATAATAACTTTCTAATAGGAAGTTAATAAAATCAAGCAAATCCATGACATCAATAACTATTTTTAGTGATTCAAAGTAACATAAATATTGATAATAATATAATTAATTTCCAAAACTAATGGATTTTAATAAACCAAGAGCTTCTATTTCGTTTAAAAGTTATCTCCAATGTAAAATTAAAATGACAATCTGTCATTGTGAAATTTCCGTACATTAAACATTGATACTACATTAACCTCCAGTCTGTTCTAATTTACTCCCGAAGAACACTTGTTTTAGATTGTCGACATGTTATTGTTATCATTGTTATAATAAAAAATGGAAAAAAAAACAATTATTGAGATATTTATTTTTGGAAATAACTGCAGTGAAACTGTTGATGTATTTCATATGAATTTGAGCTTTGATTTTCGATATCAATCTCGATCTATAATCCTCTAGCTTTGGCTTTTCTATGTGAAACTTGTATTCGTTGTACGAATAATGAGAAGATTCATGAATACTCTAGTGTACTGCATCAGTTTGACAAATAATACACATAAAAGTTAGGACCGAGAATGGTCAATCGAAAATCGAACTTGTAATATATTGCTTCGTGGTGAATTTATCGTCAGATGTATTTGATTGTACGAATAGAATGAGGTCTTTTGAATAGTATCTACTTTATACGTTGATAATATTTGCATTTTTATTCATTGCTTTTTGACAATATAATTCATCAAAATATTTTACGCCGTTTAAGATAACGTTGGAGAGATAAATGTTATACAGTTTAAGTTGGAGAGGGGGAAACGACTAATGTTCTTTGGCTTTAGAATATGAGCTTTTAAAAATGTCAAGGTTGGAGACTTGTAGAAGACAAATCGTACAAACGAGGGTTCGAAGCAAAGTTTTGAGGTCAGGATGAATAAAAAAAAAAAAAGGAAAAGGGAATTGAGATGAAAATAAAGAAACGAAAAATAAGGCATATGGATTCCCATTGGAGGTAGTGACTTTTATCCGTGATGAATGAAGCGACGACAGCCTTTTCCGACACTGCAATACTTTGGCTGTCAGGAGACGCAGACGCACATGCAATCTTGACACTTGTACCATGCAATCGGATTATTGTTTGAAATAGCTTTAGAGAAACTAAAAATAACTTTAGTTGTACAATAACTCATTAAATGTTTATCACTTGAGAAAATAAAGCTTCACTTATTTTTCTTTTGTTAGAAATGATTATTGAGAAAAACAAAAAATAATAATCATTAAAGAAATGGATTGCTATTAAAAAAAAAAAAAATTCATACACTTTTTTTTCCCTTAGGAGTAGAATTTTTTAATAATTTTTAAAAATCAGTCAGGTATTTAAGATTTTTATGTAGGTTATGATATAAAAAGGATTGAATAGAAAAAAATATTAAAATATTTTCAAGTATTTGCAATTTAAAAATATATTTTATTCCTTCTTTTAGATTTAAAATCATGTGGATTAGAGATAAAAGTATCACTTCTTGAAATAAATGAATATTTATGAATTTCCAGCTCTTCATATCTTTTCGCAATTAAAATAATGCAGTGAAGTGTACGTTATTTTACTATAGCTTTTATTAAGTTTATTTTCGTAAATGAAATATTACATTTTTAATTATTTGATAAATCTCTTAAAATAACGATGAATTTTATAATAAGTTCAATTATAAACATAAGAAAAAAAAATTAAGTTTATTTTTTCTTAAATTATTTTTTTTTACGATGAATATAAAAAAAAAAAAGGGAAGAAATGTTAGTATTTTTAGTATGTTAAAAAATTTAATTAATATTTCTTTAATATCCCATAAAAAGCGAAAGACGATGATAAATTTTATGTAAATACTGTTGGAAGAATTTTCATTTTAACAAGGTTATTTTGTCACTCTAAAAAATTCGTTCCTGCGTGTAGCAACTAGAAGAATGTTTGAGCATAAAAAAGTAATCTTTTAAGTTAGTGGATAGTTGAATTAGAGTGAGTAAAAAAATCTTTCAATAAGCCCAAGTTTTTAAGAATATAATATAGTATGTTTTAGTCTCATTCTACCACAGTTTCACTTTGATAACAGCCAAGTAGGCGGCTCACATGTCGAACTTATGAAAATTAATAAGAAAAATAGCTCATAAATTTGTTCCGACCGAAAATGCACGTCTGGAAACGGTAATAAAATGAGAATTATGTCGTTCGGCGTTGTTGGGGTAAAACGTTCGTCTTAGTGAAGAGGATAAGGGAGTAGACAAGGCACGCGGGTGCAATGACGCAAGAGATGTCGGAGGCTGTAGGGAGTAGCTAAAGTAGAGAAGTAAGGAGAGATGAACGTTTGTTAGTTGGTGGAATGCGTCCTCCCGTCTTCTTAACGTACGAGTTAGTCCAAGATTGCTTTAAGACGAGGGATATCAAGAAGATAAAAGGGGTACAGTCGCGAGGTACCACCCATTCCGCGAACTCGTTATTAAATTCTATGAGCACGAATATATGCCGAGGCGATGACTTATCGTGTGTTATTTTCAGCCCCTTGCCATCAGCTTGGAATTGAGGTGAGCAATAGATTCAAAAGGGTACTGGAATAGCGTACTACGATGGAGGCTCGATTAAAAAAGGAAAGAATCCTCCATTTAATATCTATTTTATCGTCATTAATCGATATAAATTTTATGATATAACAATTATATTAATTTTACTAGTATGTATTAATCTTCCTTAGTAAGAAGCAAGACTAGTTCATTCTTGGTTCAACAATAAGCCATGATTAGCTAAAGAGGTCCATTATTGAATCGGAAATAAGCCAATCTTGCTTCCATGTGAATTCTAACCACAACTGTCTCTCGATCAGCATGTTTATCAGCAATAGGTGTGAAAAAGTTTTATAATGTTTCAATAAACTATAATTAATTTTACCTTTCAAGATAATTTTCTTTTTTCTTCAATAAAATGAAAATAACGAATATTAATTGAACTTAAATTTTTAAAAATTTTTAGATAAAAATTCAAATATTGTAAAGATAACAATGAAATTAAGTTTTATTTATCTTTAAAAAAAATGACTTTACAAAATAGAACTGAATAAATTAATTTAAATGGCTCTTTTATTTGGAAGTAGAAAAAAATTTTTAATTTATTCTTATCATGCAGTTTATTGTTTGATATTAAAAAAATATTTTGTATAGTTTGAGAT